CACATTAGTAGCAGCAACTACTTTCTCGATTGTTCCATATATAACAACGTATGAAAACAGACCGACAAAGGCCGATAAAAGAATAGCAGCTGCAACCCAATCATACCAAGCAAGCTTATCTGACTTTTTGATTTTCTTAGTTATAATAAGATAGGCTGGAACGAATAGGACGATAAATGACGTAGCTGCGCCACCCACAATGACAATTACGTCATTTAGGTTGATTGGCAATAAGACCACAAGGAATGTAATTGCTGTAATTATAATTCCAGCCGTCACTATTACACCAGAGCTTTTATCACTTTGACCAGTATGCTTCTTGATCGGGCGTTTTAATGCGCTCAAAAGCACGGTTCGATATGTTATGCTCTGCCACATGAAAGCATTGATTAGCACCGGGAACATAGATAGTTTAATGCCAGCGATTAACCATTTGAAGATAGATTGTAACGAGCTATTGACTTTGGAACCGGAAGGATCAGAGAGTATTTGGCTGAGTTCACTTAAGATATCTTTAGGTGAGTAGGACGGATTACTGGCATTAACCGGGTTGTACACCACAAAGTATCCAATAGCTCCAATTCCCAAAAAGAAGAGACCCATAATCACTAGAGCCCCAAAAGCCACTGATACTAAGGTTCGTTTACGTTTAGCTTGCATTTTAGATTGGTAGATAGGAATGTTTTGATGGGAGCAAAGGGCAAACAACATTGAGGCCGTTCCACTTATGAAACTCAAGCTTGGGAAGTGCACTCCAGCAGCCAAACCCTTTACTGACTCTGAAGTAAAGGTCTCAGGCGTATTACTAGCAGTATTAGGATTGAAAATAATAAGCAAAAGCATAGATAAGACTATCCCAAATAAAACTGCAATGCAAAGAGCTGATAAAGTCGTAATGACTTTACTGTCCTTTCCAGGCCGCTTTATTGCATGTTTACCACAGACTAGTACAATCAATCCTGAGACTGCATAAATAATGACATTTTGCTTAGTTGTATCTATCCAATCGGCCGGCGTAAGAAACTTAATAATGTCAGCCGACCAAATAAACAACAATCCCATATAGATAATAAGCGAGGCTGCTCCCTGGAACCCAATAGAGAAGCTCAGTAGCTTCTGAACCGTACCCGATCCTTTATCAATCAAAATGGGATAATCTAGTCCTCCTTTGTCTTCAACACCCGCCTCCTGGTCATCCGGACTCTTATCAAGTCTAAAACGCTCATAAAGACGTTGTTCCTCTTTCCTTTGTGCTAGTAATTTCTTCTCTTCTTCAAGGGTGCGTATCTTGCGATAAACTGCCTGCGATATGTAAGTCAAGCTTAGTCCACATAGCCCGATGGCCAGAACCCAGGCCAGTATTCCTCCGGCAAACACACCACTATGCATGTACAGAACCCCTGCTCCTAAGATAGCAGACATGGCCACTGTATATGCTTTAAACCCGGAAAGCTTATCAGATCCTTCTTCAGTATTTCTAGAGTTAGCTCCTATATCAATAGGAACTTGTACAACTACATTATTAGATTTGGTATCCATTATTTGTAAATTTCAAAATGAATTTATAATCAACCACAAGTTGTCATTTCCTTATAAGGAAAAGATAACTTTTTAACAATGCTATTTTGTTTCTAACCCAATGCTAACCCAATCTTTACCGGCCCCCAACAAATTAATATAACCCAATACTAACCCAATAGCCTCAACTCAGCTACCTCAACATAAGGCCACCTGGTATTGCCATTTGATAAAGCACAAACTCAAACCTAAACTAAACCTAAACCTAAACCTAAACCAAATCAAATCAAACTTCATTTTATCTTATATATCCTAATTAGGAAATTATAGTGCACATAGGTAGGAATAGTTCCTATGCCTAATACAATACTAACCTAGTGACATGCTTCAATACGACATAGTCGGCCATTTATTGTGTGTAGATGACGATATGACGTCATACTTAAATTTTAATAATTCGGCTACTACTGGGTTAGATTGGGTTAAAATTTGATATGGTTTGAATTCTCTACAAACACAATACTAACACAACCCAATCACTACTTAGTACTAACTTAATATGACGTCACCACACACACACACTCATATTTACTTAATAAAAGGCACTACTTCTTGCAATGAATGTCTTTAAAGAGTATGTATCGACTAATAAACCACCTACTAACCCAATACTAACTCAACTTTAATCTACTAATTAACAACTGCATTAAAAGAACAACATAAGGTTTATTTCTCTTCTAGCCTCTTCTTCAGAGTGCTGATCATATTAAGCAAAATAGCTCTTTGCTCTTCCAGAATAGACATAACGGCATCGGACTTATCAACATTAAAAACTCGTTTGTAAACTGATATGTTTTCAGTAAACGCATTAAGACTCTCACTCAGCAGACTAGCTCGTTTCTCTAATTGTTCGTACTGAATAGCAGCCGGTTCAGCCTCTTTGCCTAAAGCCTTCCCAATTTGCTCTAAAACCTCCACTAACAACAAGTTGTACTTCTCCATAACATTGGAAATCCGATGGGTCAGCTTAATTGTCCCACATTCAACTAACTCATTAACTTTATCCCCTAAATACTTCCTACTATGTTTGAGCTTCTCAATAACCATTTTCTGCTTATCTATACGGGCATAAAGGTCTTCATATCCAAACACAATACAAGGCGTCAAGTACCCAGGTGAAGGATTCTGCTTCTCAGCTTGCTCCCAAATATCCTGAGGTACATGGGCCGGTTTCATAGGCGCCATCCCATTCGTATCAATAATATCATAAAAAGTATAGATAAACTTGTAAAACTGACTATTCCGGTCATAAGACTTCTCTAAATAATCTATCGTGCAAAGAACATCTTCAGGATTAGGAGTGTTATTGGATGAAAGAGCGGCATTAAGTGTAGAACAAGGTTTATGGAACCCAGTAAAGGAAGAGTTAGTATTAAAGCCCGTATTAGTCTGACCAAAAGAACCAATCGGATTACCAGTGACTCCCCAATTAGTATTGCCACCTAATGTATTGCCACCTAGAGTATTACCACCTAAAGTATTAGTATTATTAAAAGAAGATGGTTGCATAGCTAAACCAGAAGTATTACCAAAACCAGTGCTAGTATAGTTGGAATTACTTCCACCAAGATTATTACCTCCTAAATTGGTACCAAATCCAGTTGTATTAATAGTTGGATTGGTAGTACTAGAGGGCCAGGCATTAGTATTAGTACCTAGATTGTTATAATTAGATAAGCCTCCTAAACCTGAGTTCTGGGCTAGTTGGGAAGTATTAGATTGAGTTGACTGTCCGAATAAGTTGGTGTTTGTTTGACCAAATTGACTGGTTTGTTGTAATGATTGGGGCTGAGTTTGAACTTGATTTTGGCCAAATTGATTGAAAGATTGGGGCTGAGATTGGTTGAATTGTGGGTTTTGTTGTTGTGTTTGGCCGAATTGAGTTGGTTGTTGACCAAATTGGGATGGTTGTTGACCGAATTGTGAAACTGACTGTCCAGAATTTTGGGAGGATAGTGTTGAGTTCTGATTCTGTTGGTTGGAGAAGAAGGACATACTCTGAAATAAAAAAGTGGCTAAATTGTGTTTACTAGTGAGATAGATTGAGATTGAGTTGTGTTATGTTAAGTTGAGATTGGGTTTGGGTTGAGTGGGGTTGTGTTATGTTAAGTTGAGTGGGTTTGGGTGGGGTTGAGTTGTGTGAGGTTGAGTTTGGATTGAGTTGAGTTGCTGATTTGCTCCTACTAAGTTGCTAATGTGAAGAATACTGTTGGTTATTGTTGGTTACTGCTGGGTCACTAAGGTGTTATTACGCACCTAATATTAGGCTGTTAATTTGGTAGTAGGTTTGTACCACGTTGGTATTGGATAGTTTAGGACATGTGTGAGTTAAGGGGGTGGCCAATTAGTGGGGGGTAAATAATGATAAGAAGGTAAATAGACCAATTAGAATTTGAAAGCCAGACAAGGTAAACTGATCGGTGGTGGGGCAAAGTATTTAAAGAGGGAAACAGTGACTGCTATGAAACAAATGGTAGGCCGTAGATTCTTAGTTATTCTTGCTATTACTGCCTTGGTTCTGTGCGCAGTAGGTTCGGAACCAAACAATACTGAAGATATTGAAACCCTGGACCCAGAACAGAACCAGCCGGGCTCGGGACGGGATGGAAAGTCTAATGCTAACCACGACCAAGACCAAGATATGGACAAGTCTAAGAACAATTCTCATTCTCATGCCGACCCTAGCGACGGCAGTATGACTACTAACGTTGTCAGCTCAGAGTCAAGTAGTTGGGCAATTTTCAGCTCGCCAGCTCCCACAACGGCTGGAGGTATCTTTTCCCAGTCTGTTTTCATACCTATTGATATAGGAAACAATGGGTATATACTAAGTGCTGGGCATATCGTTATTGACACAATCGCCTACGTACCTCTCTTCTTTGTCAACGGGTTCCGGTACGTATTTAGTTCTTTTAGTCGTAGCTCATCTTCCAGTTCGGGTGCGCCAATGTAAATAGCCCCAGTATTATCTTGACCTAGCCCTGTCCCAGCCTAAAATTGATTCCAACTCGTCCCAACCTAGTGTAGCAGATAGATAAAGAGATGGTCAATAAAATGGTTCACTTAATTTTTCCCAATGCGCGTAGTCTTTCGAGGTGGATTAGAGGATTATATGCTGTCTGAAACACTTCAACTAGACATAGAAAAGCTCTCAAAGCCAACAGTTGGTGATTTAATTCTCTTTATTGAACAGCACCATATTAAGAATGCTTATCGGCACTTTTCCAGTAACGGCGAGCTAGAAGGCGGTATTCTTTGTCTGGTTAACGAGTGTGACTGGGATCTTCTTGATCGTGAGAATGCCACTCTGACTAATTCTGATACTATTCATTTTATTACGACTATGCATGGTGGCTAAGATAAGTTACTGGTCTTTGGCCCGTCTAATATACCAACCCGATAGCACATATTATTCTACCAGAAGAACTAGGACACATTAATAGCAATAAATCAGTTAGCTTATCTTAACTTTAGTTTTGGTAGAATTGAGTTGGTATTTGGATTGAGTTGAGTTAGGGTGGGTTGATATGGGATTGAGTTGAGTTAAGTTGAGCTACTAACCTATTGGTCGTTAAATCATACTTCATTCATAATCCAAACTCAACTCAACTTAACTTAACTTAAATCAACCTAAAATCAAAACACTCAAGATAATCGAAAGACATAAACCAATGCTAACCCAACTCGATGCTAAATATAAACACTCTCTACAATGCTAGATTGACTATTAAAGACTTTATTCGACTAACTGGTGCTATACACAGTTAAGTTGTATCCTGGGTTAAGTAAAATAGAGACAAAGAAAGAGATAATGTGCTTGCCAATGTTTTTGATTGGCTCACTTCTTTTGAACTCCATTTTGAGCCGGATCTTCTCTAAACTGCAGAGGGCTAAAAGACCTAGTAAAATAGCAAAGAAGATCTTGTTCATATAGATAGTAAAAAGCGTCGTAACCACTAAGTAGGTTAGAATAGTTGATAGTTGCGGTAGTTGGGACATTAGTTGTTGAAGACGTTGGGATGTTCTTTGCCTCTTACGGAGCATATAGAGCTTCCCATTAAAGGAGACTAAAGAAGAACGTGGGACTGCATAAAGCTTCCCAGTGCCATCTTTGACCCAAACAGATCGGTCGCTGGCTTCTTGTGTCTCGTTAGGGGACGAGTTAACTTCAGATCGGATTGACGCGTGGTTTTGATTCTCTTTGGCCGTGTCCAAGTTAGCTAGTGGTTCTTCTTTTGCCTGGTTAGAGAGAGGAGATGAGTCTGCCATATTCAATTTTTTAATAGGCGGGGTGTTTATGATAGCCGTTTTTGTATCTGTACTTGCTTGGTTATCTCTTTCTTGAGTTTCTCGGGGCATTCTTTTGATTTCGATCGTGATTTCTGAATTATTAGTCTTTTTGGCCAACTCGGCTAGTGATACTTCATTGGTTAGTATCTCTCCCATATGGAGTAAAGTTAGTGTTTGATTGTCACAACGGGACTGATGCAAGTATCTTTCTTCCGCTATTCTTTTTAACTCAGCAATCGTAGTGTTCTCAGCTACTGAACATTCAGAGATTTGGTCGTTCAGAGTAAGCTTGACTTTGCGCTGCTCCATGGCTATTTTTTGGTCCGCCCATTTATAGATAAGGAGGCCAATTAGGAATGTTTGCAATAAACCAATTAAATCAAAACAAAACAAAGACGAATGAGTTATGGGTCTTGTAGAAACCAAATACTGATGACAGATTAGAGAGATCTAGCCTATACTTTATTGTTTTGCCGATAGAGATTCAATCTGGAACTCTCTATCATAATGGGATCTGAAAGGAAACTCACTCGTAACCCATGCAGGACCGCTTCCATAGCATACTGCCCCGGCACCCGATTAGCCTTCTCAAACTCCAAGTACTTAACCATTTGCCAAATCAAGATAGGATTATGGTAAAGCTTATCTACGCACTTAATAAACTCATAAAGAGTCGGATGAAGAATTATCTTATCTTCATTTGCATCCACAATATTAACAGCTGCATCGGACATAAACCATTTAATAATCTCCTTGTTGATTGTTAAGTGCTTAACAGGCACATAGCGCATCTCCTTGCACTTAACATAGAGCAGTTTAGTTGACTTGATGTTCAGACAAAGGTCTTTAGCACTGCCGACTTTAAAGTGCTCGGTCAAGGCAGAACAGTCCTTGCACTGCCGCGTACAGGCCTGGCGGCTGCAAGTGTTCTTAATAGTCACTCCCGGGATGAGTTCGTTAATGAATCGCCCCCAAGTGGCTAAAACTGGGTCATAGGTGGTGATTAAAACAGAATCTTCTTCCAAGGCGGCAATGATTTCTTCAGCCCAGAAGAAGATAAGCTCTTTGCGCAGGACGTGGTGGGGAACAAGCATAAAAATAAAATCAAGCATGGAGAAGTGCTTGTATGATACGCGTTAGCATTTGAATCAAAAGCATATCAGTGAGAGATAAAGTTGCGATAGCTACGATAGCATTGACCGAAAGTGGGAGTAAGTCCAGTAAGTTAGTGGCATACTTAATTAGATAAGTTCGGGCCAGTGGTGTATCAGAGATAGCTAAAAGTAAAATCAAAAGCAAGATAGTATGGATAAGGAAGAAAGCAATAAAAAGAGGATTTGATCTTTTGCTACTCCGGAATGGTCCACCAGGTGTATAGCAGAAGCCACTGTAGAGGATTTGGACATTGAAAATGAAAAAGGTAGCTGTGCCTATCTGGGAGCACTCACAAAGATGGCCGGTTTTGAAAGGCGGTTCCGTCCGGGTATGACCAAAGTACTGCATAAAGTAGATGATAAATAACTGGTGGAGGGCATGAATAAAACAATGAATAAAGATAGAGATAATAATAAGTTTGGTAGCCAGCCGTTTTTTAGGACGACGTCGAGTCATCTTATGGCTGCTCTGGAAACGGGACATAATAATACCTAAGGGAATAGCAATGAAAATATCGGAGTAGATACTTTGGCGGTCGGACAGGAAAAGCAAATGGGTTTGAAGGAGGATAAGAGCAATAAATTGGGTGATAGTTAAGATAAGGATTTGTTCTATTTTGTTGATAGTAGTGATGATTGTGCATTTACCTTCTTTGATAATACTAAGGATACTAGTGATTTCCGGGTGGTAGGAGACGTAAGAGGCCGCACAGAACTCGCCGGCATTACCCGTATCACTGGAGAGGGAAAGGCCAATATCTGCGGTTTGAATGGCCATACAATCGTTAGCACCATCTCCTACGAAGCAAACGAGTTCATTCTGCTTGTACATGGCTACAACACGGCTTTTTTGGGAGGGGTTCATCCGGGCGTAGACTTTGCAGCGCTTCTCAATGAGTTTGCGGTAGTCGTGTGATTGCATGAGTAGGTCAAAAGTCTGGCCTTCAACTGCAATGACAAAATCAAGGTAGGAGGCATAGTCATTACCTTTGCGGAGTTTAAGAACCATTTTATCAAAGATGACGTCATCAAAGTTTTTGCATTCCCAGATAAGATCTTTGGCCGTTAAGGCCTGGGGAGTAGGTTTAGGGATAGTGGGGTAGATAACGGGTAAGTGCCGTTCAATAATACTGCAATTAGTAGCTACGGAAATGGCAGTGAGAAGGGCGTCGCCGGTGCACATAATACTTTCAATCCCGGAAGTAGTAAGAGTAGAGATGGTTTTAGCCGTATCTTTCTTGAGTCGGTTTTCAAAAACAAGGAGGCCCAGCCAAGATAGATCTTTTTCCAGGGCTGGGAGATCTTCATTAGGATTAGTAAGTGGCTTACCGGCCAGGGCAATTACACGGTATCCGTCGATAAGGTATTTGTCGATGGTTGATTGGTGGCTCTCGGGAAGTGTACTGGGATGACAAAGCATCTCAATCACTTCGGGAGAGCCCTTACAAAAAAAGTGATAGCCGGTTGGAATGGCCGCCACTACACCCATGCGCCGATTATTAGGATCAAAATCAAAAAGTTTGATAATACTACCTATCTCTTGGTTTTGGCTAGTAATGGTTTTTTGCCGGCCTAATGGTGTAACTTGGTAGGTAATTTCAGCCTTGGAAAAATGAATGAGCTTGATATCTAGTGGATCGCCTAGTTGCTTATCTTCAATTGTCTCAACTGAATGACAGAGTTGTAGACCAGTTCTTACCTGGTCTGGTAAGTCCTCTACCTCCCGAAACTCTTGCTCATTACTATTAATGCAACGAATAGCCAGACCTTCTTCCGTAAGAGTACCTGTCTTATCAAAACAAACCCGAGCAATACTCCCAGATATGTTAGTGGCCGCCAAGTCTTTACAGATAATCTTCTTCTTCTGCAACCGCTTAGCACACACGGACATACCTACGGAAATAGAAGTGGGTAAAGATGGCGAAACAATCGCGTACAACAAATCAAAGATATAACAAACAGAAACAAAAACACCCAAACCTTGCTTAACCAAGTAACAAAAGATCACTCCTAAAAATGGAGTTGAAAGCACTGCAGTAGCGCCAATCAACTTAATAGTATCAAAATAAACAGGGGGTCGAGTTACTTTCTGATTACTCAAGTTCCGGAAGGCTTTACCTTTAGCCGATTGAAAGGATGTTTTAGTCGCCTCAACAATCGCAAAGTTGCCATTACTAACGTACTTATCAATAGTAGAACAAGTCAGTAGTGTATCTTCCCTATCTGACATAGCTTGCAGTACAATTGTCCCCCCAAGGACTTCAGCCCCAGGTTTCTTCAGGACCGGCACACTCTCACCCGTTACAAACCCTTCATCCACGGCTAAAGTACCTTTCAGTACAGTACAGTCACAAGGCGCCTCTAAAAAAGGTACTAGGACTAACTTATCACCTACCACTACATCTGTTGATCTTATCTCCATCCCTAAACCATCACTACCCAGTAAAAAGACTGTTTTTGTCTGTTTAGCTAGCTTACGTGTCTCTTTGTTCTTCTTCAAAGCCCGTTGGGCTTCAATCATAACCGTATACATCATTAACATAAAGATCAAACCGGCATAAACATAGTACTTAATCACAATCCATAAACCGATTCCAAAGATCGTATATACATTCACTCCATTAAACATAGCATTAAAACAGATCAGTAAACTATTCTCTACTGGCATTGGAATCTCATTCCGGCCAAAAAAGATCTCTTTCTCTTTGCGCGTTAGTAGTTCAATGTACTTGTCCACCTCGGGTACTTCGTAGCGTTGGGAAACCCAGTTGAAGATTCGTCGCGTATGATCGATATACACAATCATATAGGCTCCGTTTTGAATGTACTCATACGCTATACTGCCAACTACGTCCTTTCCCAGCTTTTCCTTGTAGACGGGATAGAGTTGACCGTTATACTCGACCAAATCAGCTGAACTTTGGGGGTGAGCATAGCTTTCAAAAACCAGCCGGATCTTCGGAAAGAACGTGCAGAGAATATGAAAAATACCAACTGACATCGATGAAACAATATAGTATACAGCGGGGGGAAATCGTCGTTTTCTTCCACGAATCAAAAACTCTTCTGTCAGTTCTTTCTGAAATCTCACCATGAGTAGTAGGGGGTAAAAAATTAAAGCAACAAAAGGCTAGTACGTGCTCCTTTAGTACCCCTGTATCTCCTCTAATTAAGGAGTTAATCTTGTTTACTTATTTATCTAGTTGTTTTATTTGTGATTATCTCTTTGTTAAATATTGAAATTATGTTGTTTATTTTTACTATCTGGAAGTTGATCTGATCACTGAAATTTTGTTTTCAGTGTTTAGTCTGGTCTTACTGTTTTAAGATAGGTTGTCTGGGTTTTAGTGATAGATTAAGTAAATGGTTTAGTTAAGTTTTAGTGGGTTGAGTTAAGTTGACGTGTTTTCCTTGTTTAGAATGTGACCTCATTAAGTTAGTATTAAGTTAAGTTGGGTTGAGTTAAGTTTAGATTGGGTTGAATTGAGTTGAGTTAGTACTAAGTTAGTATTGTATTGAGTTGAGTTGGTATAAGATGACTCAAGTAAATGTGGTGTGTATTAGATTTAGATAGGATGAGGTAGATGAGGTAGATAAGCTAAAGTAGATAGGTGACTGAATGAATGAGTGAGTAGCTTCTAATTAGTTGTAGTACTTGCTGGTGGAAACTTGGCGGAAGAATTGTCTGGCTAGGGAAATGGACATGTCAATACTTAAATTGGTGCTTTCGTCCTCAAGATGTCTTTGCACCCAACGTGGAAGTTGTTGCTTCTTTTCGCTGACATTGAAACGTCGATCGGCTAGAACGGCTAGACCATAATCACGACTGGATCTTAGTACTCGGCCTATACACTGCGCGGCTTGGCGCATGGCATCAAATGAAAGAAACTCACTCTCCCGTACACCAAACTCTTCAGCTAGAAACTCTAAGCGCTTCTTCAACTGGGGACTTTCTGTATACTGAAATGGTACACCAAAAACAAGTACAGCTCGGCCATAACATCCTGAGAAGTCAACTCCTTCTGAGACTTTGCCCCGAGCTACACTTAGCATAATAGCTCCACGACCGATTTCACAGGCTGTTTTGTACCCGGCTAGAGCTCGTTCAGTCTCTTCATGGTCAAGTGACTCGGCAAAGATAAGCTTCTTTTCAATGATCTTCTTGATCATTCCACTTTCAGTCCAGGCTGAGACGGCCTCTTCCATGTACTTGTAAGAAGGAAAGAAGCAAGCTAGTCCATCAGGAACTACTGCGGCCATTTCCAGCAGTAAGTTACCATAATTCCGGACAACTGCTGGTTCACTGCGCAAAGAAAAGCCACTACTGATTTCATTACTACCAGTCATAGCTAAAGTCATTTGGTCACTGCCTTTAGTAACTATCAGCACACCTAACCCCCGTCGATTAGTAACATCTATCTCAACACTTTTAACCGGTGCAAAGTTCAATAAACGCGGATAGATAGAAATTGGACTTAAAGTACCACTAGTAATAATAACATTCTTATACGTACTAAACACGCGCTGGATAGCAATAGAAGCATCCAAGCAACAAAGTCTTAAAATAGGCTCATAAGCCGAAAAGGAATTGAACGGTTCAAAAATCACTGAGAATCCTCGTTTGAACTGAGCAGCTAACGAACAAAAATCACAGATTTGAGATAATTCTTGAAAATCACCAAAAACTGAAAGTTGGGCTAATTCTGAACTATTTAGTTGTTCAGTTGAATCTTGCTTGAGTTTAGTCCTATCCAATGCACTAAGTTCTGAAACTTGAGCAATAACAGCTCTTAGTTGCTTAGAAAGATGGACTAAAGCCGAATACTCAACAAAAACAGTGCTTTCTAAAGACCAAATAAATGATTCAGTTGTTTCCGCCGTAAGATGGACTGTTTTTAATCGGGTTTTAAAGAACTCAATCACTCGTTTAGCTGCTGAGATAAATCCACGCGTAGTTCGTAATGAACCAGGAATTTGTGAAGTCTTGGAACGAGAACAGGCATGTGAGTCTTCAGCAAAAGAACTATCTATCCCAGCCGGCTTATCCAGACGAGTGTTTTGATAACTAGCCATAGAAAGACTGCCGATATTCCCAGGTCCACTTATTCGAGTAATATCTGCGGCCTGTAGAAGACTTTCCATATCGCAAATACTCTTCCAGGCGGCATCAAGTGTACTCCGCGTAATTCCTACACTCAAAGCTTCAATACACGCACTATCAATATTATGGGCCTCATCAAAAACAACAATACAATTTGAACCCAAGCCAGCACTGACTAAGTTACTAATCCGAGGATCAATCATGTAATTATAAGTATAAACCAGACAATCAGCTAAAGGAGAGACAGATCGGGCTAAGTAGTAAGGACATTTACCCTGAGTTGTACCCATAGCCACCAGATCTTCTAAAGTATGAATCCCAGGAGGAATAGTCGGATCTTTAGCTAGTTCAGTATAGTAGGGACAGGTTGATCGAATACGATGGCAGCCGGCATTGATTTCACGTGGTGTATGACCTTCACGTACTTCATTATTCACACAAAGAGTCCGTCGGGCAGCTAAACCCAAGCCAGTATATTCCAGCTTAGGAATGTACTGCTGAATGTAGTTGTAGAGTCGTTTAAGTTCGTGTAAGACTTTCTCTAATTCAGCCGTTGTACGCGTACAGTATACAATTTTGAAGACTCCATTGGGTCGTTTTAAGGTTGAGTCTTTCAGATTAGCTGAGCCAACCCCATGAGTAGACAAGTGAATTTGGTAACTAACTAGAAAACTAAGAATAGCTAGTGTTTTACCCGTTCCCGTGGGCATTTCAATGAGGCAATGGCCTTTACCTTGTGCAACTTCAAAAAGCTCTTTGATGTACTGTAATTGTTCTGGGTATATTCGCTCCATTGGAAAGAATACTTCGAGTTCACCAAGTTGAACGATCATCACTGAATAAAAATAATGCTAGCTATGTAAGGCATGCGGCTAGTAGGAGTTAAGTTTAATGGCTGCTAAGTCTTCGAGTTAATGTATGAGATAATTCTCTAGTTCACCAGATAGCAAGTTAAATTTAGGAGTATTACATCTAAATGATATTCAAGGAATTATAAAATGAAAGCAAAGCCACCATAATTCCAATTCTGAAGATCTTAATATAGTTTTACAATTGAGTTGGGTTTAGATTGGGTTGATATTGAGTTGAGTTTAGATTAGGTTGATATTGAGTTAGTATTGAGTTGGTATTAAGTTAGTATTGAGTTGTGTTTGGTATTGGGTTGTGTTTAGTATTGTATTAGGTTGGCATTAAGTTAGTATTGAGTTGAGTTGGAATAAGACAGCTCAAATGGATAATATAAGATAAGGTAGGTGAAGTTGAGTTAAGTTGTGATGCTAATCCAAATAGATAAGATATGTAACAACAACTAGACTATAACAACAACTAAATTATAACAACTAAACTATAACAATCTAAACTATAGTAATATAATAACATAAGTGGTAGATAAAGAAAGATGGTCTGGCAATTGATGAATGCTATTTATTATAAACGAGGTTCGTATTCCATGGCATTGGGATCAACAGGAGCCTGGACAGGCTTACCTTCTAGAGATCGTTGCGGTACAGTAAGAAGGAGATTAGCCGATGCATTTTCAAGTTCTTCTCCTACTTGTGGTACTGGAGTGCAGAACCGGATTTTACCTATCTGTAAATCACGAATCAACATAAAAGAAGAAGTACGTTTATCAGGCACACCTCCTCGAGCCATACGTCCCCATTTAATAGCTAGAGAAATAAGTAGTTCATCAGCTGAACGAGGTTCTTCCACCCCATAAAGAATAGATAAAGTTCTAGCTGGAATCTTTTGGAAAATCAAAGCCACTATCTCCTCTGGATCTACTTCAGACGTACTAGCCCGTAAAGCATTACTAATTGCACTTCCTTTTTGATAAATCACTCCTGGTGAATCAATCAGTCTTATTGAACTATCCAGTACGATCTGCTGCAAGACTTTAGTCACTCCAGGAGTATTCTTAACCTCACAAGCCTTCTCTCGTTTCAAAGAGTTAATCAAACTACTCTTACCCACATTAGGACACCCAATAATACCAATTGTAAGACTTACTCCCCCACGCGTATAGTTCTTAAGTAAACTCATTAATTCCTTCACTCCGTAAGCCTCAGCCTTCAACTCAGTCTTCTCAGTATGTCCTAAGTGACTACGCTGGCCCTGAGTAGAAGCTTTAAAGGGCAGAGCCGGGGCAATAGTCTTAAGATAGGTCAACCAGCCATTCCAGTTTTCACGATCAACCAAATCTATCTTATTCAAAACAAAGACAAGTTTTTTACCCTTATCTCTAATAGCTTTCTCTATCTCGGGCGCTCGACTGTTAATGGGATCACGTGCATCTAAGACTTGAATAATCACATCGGCTTCATTAAGGACTTTATGCACTTCTTTTAAGTACCGCCGGGAAATATCAACTGTTTCTTTTTCTTGGGGTTCATTTGCTTTACGTTCTTCATAGAGTTTCTGTCTTCTTTCAGCATTAGCTCTGATTTCCTTAAGTTCTTGTAACTCTTCTTTTGTTTTGATAAGGCCGTAGGGCATGGCATCTTCTCTTTTCTGACGTTTTCGCTCTTCCCGGCGCTTGGCCCGGTTTTCTTGGACAATTTTACGTTCTCTAGTTACTCTCTGCTTAGTAGTACAACGTTTACTTAATCTCTTTTTCTCTTTCATATGCAAATTTTTAGGCCAATGTCTATATATGGTAATATTTTGGCGAAATAAATCGGAATTTTCATTGAAATAACAAACATATTATTGAGTTAAGTTAAGTTAGGTTGGGTTGAGTTACTGTAGTGGCAAGTTAATATTGGGTTGGGTTACTGTGATGTTAATATTTAGATTAGGTTAAGTTAAGTTTGAGTTATGTTAAGTTAAGATAAGATAATATTTAGATTAGGTTGAGTTATGTTAATATTTAGATAAGAGTAAAGTAAGTTTATTATATCTCAATGACATAGATCTAAATGGCGAGACCAATAGGTTAGTATTAGTGCATTAACCAATACGTATGCCATTAAGGATATTTATGTTGCGGCAGGATGACGTCATATTAAGTTGAGTTGGTATGGTATTAAGTTAAGTTGATATTGGTATGATATTGAGTTGGTATTAGCAGCAATCAAGTTGGTCTTGTGAAGAGTAGGTAGTGGTAATGATACAAGCAATACAATAACATAATCTTATCTTAACATAATCTTATCTTAATATAGTCTTGTCTTAAGCAAGCCAGAATATAATCTTATCTTAAGCAAACTAAACCAGAACATAACCTTATCATAAGCAAACCAAACTAAACCAGAACATAACACAACCAAATCTTATCTTAACATAACTAAATCTTATCTTAATAAAAACCAAACCAAAACAAACCAAACCAGATCTTATCTTGATATGGTAACAATTGAACATTTGTGCCATTTATTGATTTAGGCCGCCATGGCATAGTCTTCCTCGTCAATGGTGGCATCCTGGTACTGCTGGTACTCGCTGTACAGATCGTTCATGTTCGATTCGGCCTCAGTAAACTCCATCTCATCCATACCTTCACCCGTATACCAGTGCAAGAAAGCCTTCTTCCGGAACATCACACTAAACTGATCACTTATCCGTTTGAATAACTCCTGAATAGCCGTACTGTTCCCAATAAAGGTCGAAGACATTTCTAAGCCCGAAGGTGAAATATCACAAACTGAAGTCTTCACATTATGAGGAATCCATTCCACAAAGTTAGCAAAGTTCTTGCGCTGAATACTAAGCATCTGCTCATCCACATCTTTCATACTTATCTTACCCCGGAACATAGCAGCTACAGTCAAATAACGACCTTTCTTCGGATCACAAGCTGCCATCATATTACGTGAACTAAACATCTGCTGTGTTAAGTCCGTTACAGAACAAGCCCGATAAGCCGTTGATCCCTGAGCCGTTAAAGGGGCAAAACCAACCATAAAGAAGTGCAAACGAGGAAAAGGAATCATATTAACGGCTAATTTACGTAAATCAGCATTAAGTTGTCCTGGGAAACGTAATGAAGTTGTTATACCACTCATTACTACTGAAACCAACCGGTTTAAGTCTCCATAGCCAGGATTAGCCAATTTCATTGTATTAAAACAGATATCGTATAAAGCTTCATTATCAATGCAAAAGGTCTCATCACTATTCTCCACTAGTTGATGAATACTTAAAGTAGCATTATATGGTTCAACTACTGTATCACTTACCTTAGGAGAAGGAACTACACTAAAAGTACACATCATTCTTTCTGGAAACTCTTCCCTTATCTTACTGACTAGTAAAGTACCCATTCCAGCCCCTGTACCACCACCAAGGGAATGAGTTACTTGGAATCCTTGAAGACAATCGCAATTCTCAGCCTCCTTCCTAATTACGTCCATAACTGAATCGACTAGTTCAGCTCCTTCTGTATAATGACCTTTAGCCCAATTATTACCAGCTCCAGATTGGCCGTGAATGAAATTATCAGGACGGAAAAGTCGACCAAAAGGACTTTCACGAATGACGTCCATTGTGCCTGGTTCAAGATCTACCAGGACTGCTCGAGGGACATATTTACGAGTAGAAGATTCATTGTAATAAACTGAGATCTTATCTAATTGATAGGGACTGTGACCAAAATATTGACCTTCACCATTGATACCGTGTTCTTCGCTAATGACTTCCCAAAACTTCGATCCAATTTGGTTACCGCATTGACCAGTTTGAAGATGGACTATTTCTCGCATGACAGGGGCATAGAAAATTAAACTTTAAGTTTCAAACAATCGGATGTATATTGGGTTATATACACATGATAATGAGTTGGTTTATGAGAGTAATAGTATGGGGATGGAGAGGATTTTAGCTTATGCAGCTACGGATATTTTAGATAAGATTGTAGGTCGTAGTAATTATAGTTTATTTAGTGAGATAGTGAGATATGAGGGTCGGAGTGTGAATGGAGTTGTTTTAGCTAATGGGTATAAGGGGTTTATGGTATATGGAGAAGGAGAAGGGATAAGTCAAGAGGAGATGAATGAAGTAATTATGGGCCTGAAGAACAAAATACTAGCTAGAGATTATGATGAGGTGGTATTGAGGTGAGTGGTGTTTAGTATTGAGTTGAGTTAGTACTTGGACTTATAGTTAAATAAAGATAGAGGTGTAATTGGGATGTTATGTTGGGTGGTAGAATTGAGGGACTTAATAGGGTCTTGCTTGGTCTTACTCAAATTAATATAGTACTAGTGGGTATAAGTAGTAGTAAGTAGTAGTAGTGCTTAGTACTAAGTCCATCTTAACTAGTACTTAACTTATACGTACTCTATTAAAGATATTCCTTGGGATAAGTAGAGTCTTTTATTGAGTAAATACGGTTGGGGTGGGTTGGTATAGGATGACGTCATATTAAGTTGGTATTAGTTTAGTATTAAGTTAGTATTAGTTTAGTACTACTAAGTAGTGAGTGGCTTACTAGTAATCAGATTGATCGTATTGGTTTAGTATTGGTATTGGTATAGTGGTGGTATGATGCTACTGCAGTTAGTACGTTGCTCTATTCCAGTTCACTCTGTCCTATCCAGTACCAACACAATACCAATTCAATACTATTGTAATGTAACATAATGCAATGTGATAGGTGAGTAGATGTGTGTGGATGGATAATTTATTCATTATGGGTTTAGATGATGTGGAATTGAGTGGTGGGGGTATAGATGGATTCTTGGTTGAGGTCTTTGGAGAGATCGGAAATGCCTTTGTAGGGGAGATAGAAATAAACTAGATTGTCATGCCAGACTAAAGTTTTGAGCCATTCTTGATTGATAGTGGATGGAGTATAATTGGGTTCGATGAAAATAAAGCTAGATAGTGGTGCGCTGATAAGTCGTCGAGAATTCATGAATGTACATTGTTGTTGGCAGCATGGTGAGTCTTTGTTTGGGCGGTTGTATATTTCGAGGATGCAGATGCTGCAGAGTGGGTGGCCGCATTGAAGGTAGCAGAGTAGAATGTCGTTGTCGGTTGGTTTGGTTGGGCTGTTAGTATTCGTAGTACACATAAACCGTTTCCAGCCTATTCTACTTGATACTGGATGAAGTCTTCGTGAACAAGCAGTACAGACAATTGCTTGGCCCTTTTTCTTGAGTTGACGGGTGGTTGCTTGGAGAGATTCTTTGGGGCGGAAATGGTCAGGAATAAGATCTTTGAATTTATCTGGGCGGACTGCTAGTTGGCGAAGAGTTGTATAGGCTACGACGGTGCAATCTACTTCAGAATTAGTAGTAAGTGTGTCTTCATTATCTGGACATGGTCGGATTAATAGTTCAATAGGTGGAGTGGTTGGAGTTGTATCTTCTAGTCGAACCGTAAGGAGTACTTCCTGGGCACGGAGTAAATAGTTGCGTGATGTTATTGTCTTTTGTTCCTTTTTGGGTATTATGGCGTTGGTTAGTCGTAAGACATTTAGATTACTAAATCGCCAAGTTATCCAGCGAAGCACAGTTACTAAGTTTGGTTCAGTCAGTACCTGGTTGCTGCCGAAGCGTAAGAATAGCTTTTGCACGGAGTAGTTGTAGAATTCAATCGGCTGGTTGGACAATAACTGGTTTGGGAGTGTTAGATACTGGCAAGCAGCTTGGCAGCGAAGTAAGTCGGCTTTGATCGCTTCTAAAGTAACGTTATAAAGTGTTGAATTATCTCTGGCCAATATAATGGCATTCATAAGGGAGGTTGAGGTGCGGATAGTCTGGGCTTTGGGATGAACAATCTGGTACTGAATACCATATCTCAAAAACGTGCTCAAAACATCACTGTGTAAACTAATTTCGGTGCTGTCCAGTTGAAGGACTAGTTTTCGTAGAGTTAACTCGCGAGCTAACTTATCTTCTAGTCGGTCTGAGTTTGTATACTCGAAGAATGAAAACCCTTGGATTGCCGCTTGGTTATGGTAGTAGATAACTTCATTGAGTTCAAGAAAGTCGTTGATTACGAGTGACGCAATACTTTGGAATCTGGGAAGGGCCAAAACTTGAGCAATGGCGAGGTTAGTGAATCGTTGGTTCATAATGTAGACTTGCATTGAATCTTGAAAGATGTAACTGCCTAGCATCCAGTAAATAATGCGCTCATCGACATTGTTTAAGACTAAAATGTCGACATCTAAGTGCCATTTCGGCCCCCGGCGGGGTTCTCTTTTTAGAACGTCTAGATCAAACTCGCTAGTGATTTGGTTGTTGTCATATAAATTTGAGAGTCTGAGTTCATGAGCTGTGATGTTTTGGAATAAAACTAGTAGAACAATGCATGTTTCAATCTGTCCATCGTACGGTGTTGGGTGTCCATCAATCCGGATATTGGTATAGGTGATATTTTGGCAAAAGCATAAGTAGTGTTTAGCTTGGTAGTAGTTAAGATCTGAATCTACCTGGGGATTATCAAGCCGAATAATAAGTGGCTTTGGAAATTTCCATCCTGGGATGCTGAGCGTCTTTCCTTCGCATCTAATATGTTGTTCCTGGATCTCGTCGAGAACCGCTCGTGATAAATTCGATAGATGGCACAGTATCTTGATAGTGGTGAAAAAGTCGTTGCGATTCTCTTTATAGTCGATCTGGACGTTAGAAACGGCAATGCCTAAGTTAGCAAAGGTTGTGGTACTGTAGAGTTGTGTATAGTAGTCAAAAGGGTCACATGACATATAGTCGGGAATATTGAAAATGGCCTTGGCAGCACAGAGTCGGGGCTTAGGGGGACTCTGCTTATTAAGGGCATCCATCATAATCTCATTAGAGTCCTGGTTGATATCAGGACCCATAATAGTGTTTACTTCGATTAAAGACTTACTGTGCCGGCCTAAATAGAAAATGGTCCGCCAGTTTGCTTGCAAAGCTAGCGTTGGATGTTTAGTTGTAACATCCTTAAGACCAGTTAGGGCAATCTTTGTGCCGGTAAAGTCTTTGATCGTAATCTGGCTACATTTGGTCGATGAGTTCTGTAGAAACCCGAAATCAATACTCACACTAGCAGGTAAATGTTCAAAGGCAAGGGTGTAATCGCCGGTCAGCGAAAACTTGCTAATGTGGGCGACAGAGTGAAACGTTTCCTTCTCTAAATTAATGCCTATAACTGGCCGCAATAAGACAATAGAACTCAAGATCCGCTCAAAAAGTCCAATATCTGCTACGGACGAAAACTTAAGTGTACAGGCGGTTGTATAGTCAGCGTGATCAAGTGTATTCTGGGCCTCTATCCGAGCAGCGGCCAAACCTTTCGAACTAGCCTTCTCTTTCGTTTCCTGGGACGCGTTCAGATCAAAGCATAGGGTTGAGCAGTCAAAGATATGGATAGCTCGAGATAGAATTTGCAAACTTACCACATAGCGGCTTGCATTATTGAATTCATAACTAATAATGGCCGTTGTAGTCCTAATAGTTGCAATCTTTCTCAACTCGTCTAAATCAGCCCTTGCCCGGTCTTCCTCTATATAGATAGGCAGTCCAAAGAAAACACAGCTGTCAGCGTATTCTATCACATACAAGGGAGTGTTTGATAACGAAGGATTTTGATCAGATCTTGTGTTAGAGACGGGTGTCTCCTTATAGACGGCATCAAGTGGCTGGCTTAGTGTGTAGGGCCGAACATTTATGGCATAGTGCTGATTACAAAACCAAAACCCAATTGGGGTTAGAGTTTCAACAATCTCCTCTGCAGTTGGTAGCTCTGAATAAGCTACCATACTTGATCCATCCACTTTACTCAGTAGTACGATCAAGACACACATAATCCGACCAATCCAGTATAGACCGGCAACAACGCGATGAAGCTTATGTATCGGCAAACAGTCCCGAGAAGCAATAAAGCGTTCCAACTCATATTTTGAATTATTTTGAAGATAGGCATCCAATAACTTACTCAGGCGTAGAGATAAGAACATAAGCCATCGAAAGAAAAAAGAAGATAAGCAAGTGTCACACCCTTATCTCAAAAGACTTTAATCATGATTAGCCCTACTTTCTTAATCATGGCTACTTTGAATTTTCACAAGATTGGCACCATTAGTACTTCCATCAATAATTACAGCAACACAATACCAATACTAAAACCAACCAAATACTAACACAATACTAACACAATACTAACACAACACCAACACAAAACAAACTTGTCCTTGTTAGTGCAATAGATCTTGACTAGGTTTGGCTAGAGGTAATTTTGACAACTCAAACCTTTTGGTCTTCTGCACCCCATACCAACCCAATACCAACTCATACTCATCCTCTCCTAGTACCATACACCCACCCACACCAATACACCTTAACATACACTCCCTCTAATCCAAACACTAACCCAATCCTAACCCAGCCCAATCCAATCTAATCTCAATATAAGCAAGAAGTGTGGGTTTGTTTTTTATGCATAGTTTGGATTCTGGCCGTATGCTTATAAGAAATGGTAGTTCTAGTGTCCTCCTAACGTACTTAAGAAACACAACTGAGGAGGGAGACACCGAGGCCAAAGTGTGTGTAGTAAAGAAAATGAACTGGACAAAGAATGAGAACCTACGAGGCGGCCGAGAGTTCTACGGAATCTACGGGGAGATAGAAGCAAACCATGGCAAGTACTTAATCTATATCAAAGACAGAAAGAAGGTCGGAGAGTTACAGGGTCGAAATGTTTATGAAGTTGTAGCAGGCGAAACTATCTTCTTATCTGGCAAGGAAGATAAGATGGTCTATGAACTAGTGCAGGAGTTCTTTAAGACTCCCGGACTGTTCTTCTCAGACTTAGATCTATCCGGACCTTTAGGCAGTCCAGATAGTAAAGAGGAGAATACTGATTTTATCTTCAACTATATCCCCCTAGCCAAGTTCGGCCAGAAAGAGGATGCCAAAGACGCCGAACTATTTGGAGTACGAATTATTCAAGGATACTTTGGCCAGCTCAATCTAAACTGGGACAGTGAAGTCAAGTGCTGTTTATTGAGTCGACGTAGTTGGAAGAACACAGGCACTCGGTTCTGTGCCCGTGGTTCCGATGCCACCGGCCATGCAGCCAACAGTGTAGAAACTATCTTTCAGTTTGAGAAGAACAAACAGACTCATTCCTTTTTGCAGATAAGAGGATCAATTCCTCTTTCTTGGGAACAGAAGATAAACTTATCGTATAAACCGCCAGTCAAAATGGGAGACCCCGAGATTAGTCACCAACTATTCCGTAAACACCTTGAAGTCCTCAGTAAGAGATACGGCGATGTAGTCTTTTTGACTCTTTTAGATGCAACTGGCCACGAAGAAGAGCTTAATAATATCTATATAGACGAGTTAAAGCGAAATAAAGTGGACTACTATGCAGTGGACTACCACCGCATGATGAAAAGTCCCGAAGAGCGACGAGTGTTTAAACAGGCACTACAAGAACTACTTCTGAAAAACAAGGTCATTCGAACCAACTGTGTGGATTGCTTAGACCGAACTAACGTCGTACAAAGTCAACTGGCCAAGATAAAGATGCTGCACTTCCTGAACCTACCTGCATTTGGCGAGCAAGGCCAAGTTCTAGATGTCGATGACTATTTAGCCGTATCTGAAGTCCGTAAGCTAGGCCAGCTATGGAACCAAAATGCCAATGCACTGGCCATGCAGTATACTGGTACTTCCGCACTGAAAAACGACTTAACTGCGCATGGTGTACGTACATTCCGCGGAATGATCCAGGATGCCATTAGTAGTGGCAAGCGGTACGTCAACAACAATTTCACTGACGGGCGTATGCAAGAGATCATTGAAATCCTTACGGGAGCCCGACACCACCTGGGAAACTGTTCTAGGGGAGACAGAAGAGTTAGCATCTTTTTAGGAGCCTTCATAGCAGCCGCTATTATGGCAACGGCCTACCATCCCATTCTATTGGTTATATTACTCGCCTGCCTCATTCTGGCCGGAAAGAGACTCCTCAGTCTCTTCCTTAGTTTTCCGTCTCCCCTCTCTTCATCCCCATCCAACTCTTCTAAGTCCCAATCCACTAAATCCCAAACCCAATCCCACTCCAAGCCCAATACTAACCACTCCAAGCCCAATAATAAGGCTACACCACCTCCTAAAACAGACATGCCCAAGAAATAAGCATTATTAACTGGTCTTACGTTAGTATTAGATTGAGTTAAGTTAAGTTAAGTTGAGTTAAGTTACTACCATACTAACCCAATACCAAGACCAACTTAATCCTATCATCAAATAAATCGTTTGCCTATTAGTACTAACCCAAGTCTAACTCAATATATTATTATTAAGATAACCAAACAAAATCAAACCTTACCTCAACCTAGTTCAAAAGTCATACTACACTATAATACAACACAATATCAAGTCATATCAAATTAAACCAACCTAAATCCATTCATAATACTACCTGACACCTAAATATGTCCATCTTATGTTTGTTTTTATTATTCCTTAAATGGTACATTTATTTTCCTTATATGGTAATATCAAAAGCTAGAAGGTCTTAAATTGCATTTTTATTTATTTATCATGGACAAATCAAGTGAAATCGAAATTCTAGCCTGGTTAAAGGAGGTTCTATCGCTTAAAATCGATGAAAAACGCGAAGATCTCATGGAACTTCTCACTAGTGGCGTTGTTTTGTGTAATGTTATCAACAAATTTATGCCAAAGACTTGTTTAGCTAAGGAATCTTCTATTGTTTTCAAGCGGATGGAGAATATTGAGATGTTTTTGAAAGCCGCCAAATCAATAGGAGTTTTAGATAGCGAACTTTTCCAAACTGTCGACTTGGTTTATCCAGATAAAAGGAATCCAAAACAAGTGGCTATCTGTATCTACTCTTTAAGTCGAAACTTGAAAAAGAAGTTCCCAGGCAGTAAGTACAAAGTCATTGGCCCCAAACTAGCTGAGAAGCAAACGCGGACTTTTAGTGAGGAGCAACTGGAAATGGGCAAGCGAATCATTAGTGTGCAAATGGGTACAAACAAAGGCGCCACCCAATCCGGACTTGGATCTGGCCACCGCCAAATAACACCAGAAAACCAGCTATAATATCAGCTATAATAAAGATAGTGTGTGCTAGTAGTATTTTAAGTTGTATTAGATTGAGTTGTGGTTGAGTTTAGATTGAGTTGGGTTTAGTATAGATTGAGTTGAGTTTAAGTTGGCATTAGGTTGGTATTGAGTTTAGTATAGGATTAAAGTGGTATTAAGTTGAGTTTAAGTTGGTATCAAGTTTAGTATAGGATTAAAATGGTATTAAGTTGAGTTGAGTTGAGCTGAGTTTAGTATAGGATTAAAATGGTATTAAGTTGGTATTAAGTTAATCTAACCATTTAGGGTTAGGGTGCCCTATTTAGTGAATGTATGGGTGGGTTAGTATATGGTGAGATGGAATGTATGCTGGCTGGGATTTTGGTTGGGGTTGATTTGGTGGGTTAGTTTGGTGCTTGGTGATAACTTTCATTCACTTAGTAATGGACGGGTGGTTTGTAATGGAGAAATAATAGCTGATAAGTGTGCTGATGAGAGATGGAAGATTTCATACTTGGGTACTGATGAGAACATTCAGATTTATGAGTATAGGGATGTGATTTATATTGAAGGTGCTATCAAAACTGATCGGGATGAAGTTCATGAACAGGGATCTATTTACTTTCCGAAAGGATACAGATTAGTGCTGCATAGTGATCGGGTTTTTCCTTTTTTGGGCGGAACACCAGATAAAGTTGTTAAAGTAGGAATTACCATATTAGGAATGTTGGTTTTTTCTTTGGCAAGCTATAAAGTGTGGGGTTCTAATTTTCAAAATGGATTTATCAAACTTGCCTAGTGTTTGTGAGGTTTATGGTCTTGATGATAGTGCTAATGTTGGTTATTTATTTGCTTTGTTCATGTGTCGAGATGTTAATTCACTTTGGATTGAAAAAGGCCCGACTAATACGATTAAAAGAAGTACTCAGCTTGGCCATGACTTACGCACAATGTTTATTCAGCGTATAGAAAGTCTCCAAGCTTTAGTTAGCTGTTTTCGTTTGAAACTCACCTCTAAACTAACTAGAGAGCACCAAATCAAAATCATTGTGATTAATCGCTTTTCAGACTACTATGAAGACGCAAAAGAATCCAAAGAGTCTCTGGCTAGTATAGATGCACTACTGGCTGATTTCAAACGGGCGTACATTAAGTACAGAATACACACTATTATCATTAATACGGCTAAAAAGACTCTCTTCCCTTACGAGCATGTTCGTCCTTTCTTTACTTCAGCCCAATGGCGCAATATGATCCCAGCCCAGTTTTTAATTGAGCCCCAAGGATTCAGTGCCACACATCTACGAGTTATTGTGCAAAAACCTACGGCTACTCCTCCGCATGAGTTCACTATTCCTAATCTAGCGCATAATCCACCCCCCAAGGCCAACAAGGTCTAGAGCCAGTTGTAATAATAAGATACCACAATACATATATAGTTTCAATTATCTTTATTATCTCTTTCTACAACCTTTACTCTCTCAACCTCTACACTCTCAATCTTTACTGTCTCTACTACCTTTAACTTTGTATATGTTGTTGTAAGTCTATCCACACTTCATTTCACTTCCTATTAAACTTAGCACAGCACTGAACCCAAATACCAACTCAGTACCAACTCTAATACCAACCCCATACCAACTTAACTTCATTTAAACCCTCTAAAACCCCCTAAAACGTCACCACAACCCAATCTAACCCCAATTTTTTATGGCTATTTCGATCCCCTCGTTTCTACTGCGACGAGCCCTCAAGACTAGGTCCTTAACCCACCTTAAAGGAGTCAAGGAAGTCTTCTTGTGCGGTAAAATCATTCGGCGCACTCGTGCTACAGCTGTCATCTATGACTCATTTTGTGGAATTTCTGTCTACTGCCGCGAAGAAGCACTGCGAGCCCAAATAGACCGTAGCATCACCGAAAGCTTCTTAGTTCGACTCCATTGCTCTTTAGAAAGACTCCCTCGGCCTTATCTCAAAGTTCTCAGTTTAACCAAAATTACCTTCCAAGAAGAAATCTATCGCACCCTAGAGTCCATGGCCTACTGGACCCAGATCCTGTTACAAAAACAACCAAAGTAACTGAGATCAACAAACACAAACCTACATAAAAGAAAAGAGACAAACAAGCGCATGCTCTGGGTCCCGGCACTGAAGACCAAAAAGAGGGAGACTTCTGATATGGAAGACCTAGAGGTCCTAGGCAGCATTGCTTTTGATTTGCAGATAAACAAGGAAGATCGAATTAAAAAGGCATTTGTTTCATTAGTAGACAAATTAGGTACACCTGAATTTCTTCCTGAATACTCCGAACTCTATCAGTATATTCTTACTCTTGCCAAAGTCAAAGAACAAGCCGATCTTCTGTGGCCAGGCTCCCTTATAGAAGAAATCTATCCAGCTCTTTCATCCAGCTGTCCTTTTCAAGATACTTCAGATACTCCACTTGCCTTCACTGAAATTGCCACTACTAATGTCCATCACAAGACATCTGAACTTGATTCAACGCCGCATTTGGTTTAAACCAACTGTATCTTCTTTACTGTCCATACTAACCACACCAGACCTTTGCAAATCCACCCATCATCTTCTATTCTTTGTTTGTCTTGCCCACCTTCTATTATTCCTTTCGACTGATTCTTTCGACCTCAGTCGTACCAATAACACCAACACAATCTACTACAAACAAAACCATATCCCAAGACAAGCGAAACATTATATAAATTCAACAATATCTAACTACTATTTAATTACTATCTAACTACTATCTAAATACTATCTAACTATCAAAACAAGCAAATCAATGTATAGCTCGGTGCAGGAATTATTTTCAGAATGGGAATTCATAAGCTTTGTGAAGTTATAAGAGAAAGAGCTCCTCAGGCCATTTCACAGACACAAATCGGGAAGTATAGAGGTTGGAAAGTCGCGATTGATGCAAGTATGATTCTTTATCAATCTTTAGTAGCAATTAGATATGGAAAAGATAGTCTTACTAATGCCCAAGGAGAAACAACTGCCCATATACAAGGGATTCTTTATAAGACCGTGAACTTACTGGAGAAGGGAGTTACTCCCCTTTTTGTGTTTGATGGGGTTGCGCCGGATCTCAAAACAGAACTTCTAGATAAGCGGAAAGAAAGAAAAGTACAAGCTGAGAAAGCTTTACAACTGGCAGAGGATCTGCAAGAGATAGAAAAACTCGCTAAAAGAACAGTTAGAGCCACTAAGTACCATGTTGATTCGGCCCAGGAACTTCTAAGGTGTTTGGGCGTACCCTATCTAGTAGCACCAGGCGAAGCCGAAGCCTACTGCTCCATTTTGAACAGCACGGGCATAGTTGATGGTGTGGTTACTGAAGACATGGATGCACTAGCTTTTGGGGCCAAAGTACTACTGCGTAACTTCCTACCGGCTTTAATGAAGAAAGGGTCTATAATGGAGATTAAACTCGACCGTGTACTAGCTGATATGAAATTAGACCAGGACTCGTTTGTTGATCTATGTATTCTGCTTGGATGTGATTATTGCAAAAGCCCTAAAGGTGTCGGCCCAAAAAAGGCATTTGAGCTCATTCGTGATTTCAAAAGTATCAACAATCTTATCGCCAATAACAAAATCAGTGCTGAAAACAGTTCAATCTATAAAGAAGCCAAAGACTTATTCTTCCTGGAAGAGCCATCCACCCATATTCCCACCACTCTTACCCCTCTCAAGCCTGAAGATTTAACGACCTTCCTTGTTCAGCAGAATAACTTTGATCCGACTAAAGTAAGTAATGTGATTGCCCGTATGGAGCGCATTCAGCAAACCAAGCCACAAAAAGGCTTACTGGCTTTCTTTAAGCCCAAATAAATATTGAGTTCTTATCTACTCACCATAACTCTACTATTTACTATCTATCTACTTAATCAGGCACTAGCCCAATTGCTTTTTCACTGCCATCTCATTCCTACTGTCTTCTTCCCCAAGATCCTCACTAAAGTCCACCCCCGGCTCTCTTTCGAGCATTTCCGGCTGCTCAGGATGAGTGGTTGAAACTAAGCTTACTTGCAGTTGCCGAGACGGTCTTGTCTGCCAGAACAACCAGATGCAATAACTCCCCAGTCCAATAAACCCCAACTGAACTCCCCAAAACAGAATTGCTCTCTTCTCCATTCCCACTAACTTCACTTCCTATTTACTTCACTTTAGTTCAGTCTCAGAATACTAACCTAAGTCTCAGTGTATCAGTCAGTCTCAGATATTCACTCAATAGTCGGCAGACTTTTACAGCCCATGCAGTCCATTCAAGCAAAGACTACTCGACTATTATCTGCTGCTTCAGCTGCACTAACTGCCTTAACGATCATTGGTCTTCCGATTATTCTAGCTCTTGAAGCCGCGGCTAAACGCCGCTCCAACCGTCCTCTTGATGCCAAGTAGCACATAGCTATTTCACAACTAAATCACAAATAAACAAGTATCAATCAATTTAAACATTATCTCAAGTCTAGTACCACCAATTCAATACTAATTCTGCATTTGGATCTACCCATCACATTATGCCAAGACAAGAAATACCTACTCGACTGGCGAGAGTAGTTTTTAATAGAACTCGTCTTGGCCAATCTGCAGTCTCATTCTAAGATCAGAACACTTTGGAGAATTAAGGCGGTTTAGAGTCTTTGATTGGGTTAGTATTGGGCTAGTATTGGCTAAGAAAGGTCTTTATTAGTTAGAAGTTAGTTGAGAATTGGGTTAGTATTGGGTATGGGTTGGTATTTGCTGGATTAGGGGATAGTGCTGGGCTTAGCATTTATATAACGAGCATAAAATAGATAATCCTTTCCTCAGTGTAGATACGAAAGTTGAATCGAGCAGGAGCAGTATAAAATACGATAGGCAGGTTAGATTTCTCTAGCGCGTTGCTGTTACATGACAGTTGTTGGTAAGACGCTCTATGCTGGGTGAGTAAAGCATGTGATACTTTATATACGGTAACTTGATCGGCAGTAATGTCAAGCTGATTGCCTACTATGCAAAGGGAAGGAATATGCACTGCTCGACCGTAAGTAAGGGATACATAGGATAATAAAATGTCAATAGAGAAGGTCACCTTTTTAGTTAAGATCTCAGCTGGCATATCTACAGATAGGGGCTGTAGGTACCCATCAAGGTTTATGACATAAGTCTTCAAATAATCAATAAGTATCGGGGGGTTTCCGGCTGCATGTGAAAGCTCAGTGATAATGGATAAACTGCTGCAAACTGGAAGGGCTTTATCTTTAGTGGTTTTACCTCCTAGGCGAATAACAGTATCCTTTTCACCGGTTAGTAATATTCTGAGAGTATAACCATCTTTCCAGTTGACGTTATCAAGAAAATCTATCTTGTTCAGGCGGGGATGAACTATATCTATCTTGGCTACAAGGAAGTGAGTTACTAGTGGCCAAATAGATTTCTGCATACGTGACGTGAGCTTATTGAGATATAACTCAACACTGCCTCGTGATTTATCGAGCTGCTTGATTCGTTCTTGGACCTGCTGGCATTTGGCAAGATCGTCAGATGTCATAACTGAGTCTGTGCACGAAGAGTCCTCGTCAAATTTCATGCAAAGGTAGATATCTGTCTGGAAAGAATGTATAGGATCTTCAAATAGTGCTAAGAGTTCTAATAAGACCAGCAAAGGATCGGAGTCCTGAAGCTCATAGACATCAATCCGTTTGACATTGATGTTGATTTTACTGTGTAGCCTTAAAGCAAGCAGTAATACATTCAACTCAGACGTCGGCCATTCAACAATCCAAGCGATCTTATCCTTATGCTGCTCACTCTTATCAGTTAATGACTTACTACTATCCCACCTGAATTCCAGATAGAGAGTTCCGTTGTCTTGCCATAAAAGTATCGCCTCAACATCACCAACCGACCTGTTTAGGTTGAATTCAGATGTAGCTAAACCGGGCTCATTCTCACACCAAGGTTTAACTTTAGCCAGTACCATGAATAGTTCTAGAGCCATATCCTTGAAACATTCAATTCTCCAGGACATCACGTCTTGATCGCATACATTCGAAGCCGAATCGCTGCAACTTTGCACCACGGGCCGTGCTTGGTATAGTTCTACGTCCATGTCATTATTCAGTAATCCTTCAAAGTATATATCCAAAGCATCCATATGTTCAGCTAGAACTTCTGGCAGATCAGTACCAGCAATATATCTCATTTTCTCTAGTTCTTTCGTTATACTATTCTTGATTTGTTCTTTTAATGCATTGGGCCGGTATAACTCGCCCAATTTGACTAGATAGGCTTTAGCACTAACCATTTCTTTTACATCACCATTTTCGAATGGGTCGAATCCAAGCATTCGTAGTCGTGTTTGTAGATTAGACGAACCTCTTTTAATAGTCATTCGATTTGCTTGATCTGCTATCATACTTATGATATCCATTTCCGTATCAACCGGAACTCTACCATGAAAACTCTCTTCTAAGTATCCTTCTAGCTTCTGTATTAGTGCAATCACACATTCCTGTAGAATTACTTCATTGATTAGTGTGTAGCTCAAATTACGATGTTTACCTTCTAAAGGACGCACTATCTCAATCGGTGTATCAAATAGACTTTGAGCTAAGTTATTCTGGTTAAGACTCTTTAGTTCTTCAGTCTCACGCCCGCTTTCTATTTGACACTCCACCACTGTCTTTATTCGGGATAATTGGATGTCCATTAAGTATAACAAAGTCTGTATTGTCTCAATTATTCTACTGGATGCCCGTGTTTGGTTAAGTCCTTGACATTCATCCTTACTTTCAGAAGCAGGCATAGCACTACACCAAATCCAACCCAAACCAATAACTACCCCAACTACTTGATAAATCCGCCCTAAGTATCTATTTAGACTATTGTTCATTTTACAAGTTGCTATCTTAGATTTTAATTTATAACCCAATAGAGTTAATATTTAGATATGCTATGTTATGTTATGTTATGAGTTAGATATGATTTAGTTATGTTATGATTTATTAGTATATAGTATTATGTTGTTAAGACGTAAGTAATCAGATCTTGCTATTCAGTTATCTAAATAACTTAGTAGATATCTAAATAACCCAATACAACTTAGTAGATATCTAAATAACGTATAACAACATAATATAACTTCTAACAACATAATCTAACTTCTAATAACCCAATTAGATAGTCAAAATCATTAATTTTGATTTAAAAGATGTAGAAATGAACGATTTATTCAAATTTCACGTGTTTCTTGTTATCAGTATTCTCAGAAGACCAACTGCGCTTATTAAAGTTGCCATTATCACGACCACCACGAGCAAATCCACCATCCCGACGAGGACCGTTATTATTACTCCTCCTCTGCTCTGAAATCTGCGCCCTAATAGTTCTGTCCTGGAAGATCAGTTCAGTTGAGATTAACTTATCAGCCTCAGCATGACTATCAAAGGAAGCAAAGGCAAAACCCTTAGGTCTACCTGTATCCCTATCAGTAGGCACTCTTAAGTCCTTAACATTAGCATATCCCTTTAAAAACTCCATAAACTCATCCTTATCAAATTCAAAAGGAACATTACCTAAGAAAACAGTGATAGCATCATTATTATGTCTAGACTGGTACTCTCTTTCTCCACCTTCAACTACTCCTCCTGTATTACCACCACGAGGTCCACTCTTAGCCATATCTACTACTAGTCTACGGCCATCACACTCAGTCCCACTTAAGGCTAAACTGTTCTTGCAAGCCTCTTTAGTCTCAAACTCAATGTAGGCAAAGCCTTTACCTTTACCAGTCTCTCTAGCTCTAGGAATTCTTATCTCTACTATCTTACCAGACTTACTGAAGAGTTCTTGTAACTGTTCTTCAGTAGCAGAGTAGCTAATACCTTTAATAAAGATTGTTTTATCTTCAGAAGATTCTTCATCTTCTTTGATTTCTGATGATTTTGATTGATTTTTTTCGGTTGATTTTGATTGAGATAAGGAAGAAGAAGATTGTTCTGATTCAGATTCGGACTCTGTAGCTGATCCAGAGATGCTTTCGGACTCTTCGGACTCTCCTGACTCATCAGAAGCTGTTTGTTCTTCGGATCCACTATCTAAACCGGAGTCATTGGAAAGATCCTTTTGTTCCTCCTTGGTTTGCTCGGGCTTCTTTTGTACTTTTCTTGGTGCCATCGATATTGCAGGGGGTAGTTGCAAAATTTGCTTAAATAGCTGCATGAAAATCGGATTTAGACATGAGTTAATGTTTTGATTTTACTTTGAAAATTAGATAAGATTTAATTGAGTTAAGTTTAAGTGGGGTTGAGTTGGGTTGAGTTAGGATGGGTGTTGAGTTAGTTGATGGTGGTATTGAGTTTGGTTTGGTTTAGTATTAAGTTGAGTTTAGCATTGAGTCAGTTGAGTTGATGTTGAGTTGAGTTTGAGTTTAGTTAGTTTGTCCTAAGTTAGTATTGGGTTTGGTTTGGTATTAAGTTGACCTAAGTTTGACCTAAGTTAATCCTAACCCAGTCCTAAGTTGATATAATCAAATAAAGGTAGTAGTTTAGAGTTTAGTTGGTATTAAGTTGTCCTAAGTTTGACCTAAGTTAATCCTAACCGAATGAGATAAGAAATATGTCTTTATTGGATATGCCTTTGGTGGTTGAGTTGGATGGGATGTAGTTAGGGGAGAGTGAAAGTGATGGAACGGGGATGGTGTGGGGAAAGGATGACTTGAATGGGAGAAAGGGGATGGAAGGACTGGGTATGGCCGGGAATACGGAGTTGGTTATGGGAAATTTGGAAGGTGGGCTCGATTTGTAGGTGGCCGCTGATGGCATACTCGGGATGGTAGAGAAGAACTCGAGTGGGAGAGATGGAAAGAATGAAAAGAGTTTGGAGTGTACTGGGAATAAGTTCTCGGGAGAAAAGAGTTGTGGCATCTCGGGCGGCATACTTGGCACAACGGTATGATCGGTTGATGCTTTGACATGTTTCTTCTAGAACGTGTTGAGTTAGTGGGGCTTCTTGGTTTTGCATGAGATTATGAAGGGTTCGATGGACAATTACATCGGCATAACGACGAATAGGTGAGGTAAAATGGGTGTAATTATCCATGGCAAGTCCATAATGGGTCTTGTTAGTGACTGAAGAGGGTGCATAGAGAGCTTGGGTCATACAACGGGCAGCCCAAGCACCAATAATAGCTGCTAGTTGGGGATTAGAAGTAAATTGGTCGAAGGCCGTCATTAAGGCCTTGGGGTGCTGTGGATCAAGAGTAATGGTGGGAACTAAGTGTTGCAGAGCTTCTTCTAGTTCATGGAAGGCTTCTTTGGCGGGAAGAGGGTGGTACCGGATTAAAGACTCTTTGGGATAAGCACTGGAAATCTTCTCGGCAACACATTGGTTGGCCAGTAACATAAACTCTTCTACTAAGAAGTGAGTATCGTACTCTGGTGCATACTTCTCTTCTACTTGAATGAACTGGCTGGGATTCTGGGCTAGATCGCTTAGTTGGAGAATAGATTGGGGTTGGCCTTCAGTTGGTCGGGGAATACTAATGCGTGAGTCGGAGGAGTGGATGACTAGGGCGCCGTTCTGGTGACGACGTGTGCGAAGGTGGTGGGAGACTTCTTTAAGGAGTCGGAGTGACTCAGTAAGTGCGGGAGTAAGCCGAGTGGCTTGGGAAGGACAGGTGCCGTCTTTGAGAATTTGGGCGGCTTGACTGTAAGTAAATGATGCTTTTGATTTTATAACTGTTTTTTTGAACTGTGTATCTAAGATTTGTAATTGGTTGTTAGTAAGACTAACTGTCCAAATAACTGAAAAAGTAAGTCTGTCCTTATCTTGGTGGAGAGAACATAAATCTGTGCCTAGCAGGGGTGGTAACATATCTATACGCCGATTGGGTAAATAAACTGTACAGCCACGAATACGACCTTCTCTATCTAAAGCAGAGTTAGCTGGGACAAAATGACCAACATCTGCAATATGCACACCAATTTCAATCTGGCCATTAGGAAGTACTTGGGCATGTAAAGCATCATCAATATCTGTGCACCCGGGTGGATCAATACTAGCAATAGGAAGATGGCGTAAATCTTCTCTTCCCACTAAATCTTGGTCTGAAACTGTCCAAGTTTGAGCGGGCAGTTCCTGGAGAGCTTCTTCTTCAAAATCTTGATCTAGAATGCAATTAGCAGCTAGTAAAGCTTGAGTTTCACTTTTAATTAGACCTTCTGGGCCTACAGCTTTGATTAAACGGCCAATTGGATACTTACTAGTAGTTGGCCAAGCTTCAATCCAGGCTAGTACTAGTTGTTTACTTAAACCAGTCGTACTTGGACAACAAACTTGGAAGACTGGAATAGCTTCATTCAATGGCTGAATAAGTAAATGGTGATTATCTAAGACTTGTAGCACAGTTCCAGCTAGAACTTTACGTGCTCGTTTATCAATACTAACAACTCGACCTTCACTAGCACTAGCTTGAGTTACTGTTCCTACAACGATTTGGTCGCCATCTAAAGCTCGACCCATCTGTTCATAAGCAATGTTTATATCTCGCTGCAATCCTTCTACACCGCACTGCACACGCCCCGGACCATCTTTATACTGAACAGATACTATTCCTGTCTCCAACCACTCATCTACTTCACTTACTCCATCTACTCCACTCACTCCACCTACCTCACCCATTGTATCTTTGCACTCGGTCTCACATGCTTCAACTACTAAGTTGCACTCCTTATTACCACAAGTGGCTTGAACTAGTGTGTGAATAGGCCGAAAGACATATGACGGAATGTGCTGGCTGTACCATTGACTCAATCCATCCGTATACTCAGTATCATCTGGTAGATTTTGAATGAATTCTTGCACGACTTGTGCATTACGATCCTCTACTACCGGCCAATTACGCCTATCAATTACACGATTAACCCGTCGATAAACACTAGGATACTTTACTTGTAGACTTTCTAGTACTTGCCGTGAAATAAGTAAAGGAATAAACTCGCCTTCTTCTAACCAAGGCACCCAATCAGACAAGAACCTTTCATTTGGCACCCAAAACTCGCCTTTTCCACAAGTTATACCCTTTCTAAGACCTACTAAACCCTTCCCACAACAACTAAATCCACATAAGAACTCTTTCTGCAAATACACTTCATTTGGCACTCTTTGCACTCGGCCAGATCTAGATAACTTATACGATGCAGAGACTAAACGATCCATTCGAAAACTTTTTCGGGAATGGATGAAGTAACCGAGTTTGTACATTCTAAAGTCATGGTAAAGACTTATAACGGTGTTTCTTATCAAGGTGTTCTTTTAGGTATTGATCCTTATTTAAATGTTGTTTTACAAGACGTGCTAATTAATTCACAAGTAAAGAAATCATCCCTCTTTATTAAAGGCTCAAATGTACTGTATATTGGGTTGAATGTGAATTGAATTCAGAATTCGGAATTTTGAATTTGGAATTTGGAATTTTCAAATTTGAATTAAGTTGTGTTAGATTGTGTTGGGTTATGTTGTGTTTAGATTGAGTTAGTATTGTGTTTAGATTGGGTTTGGATTGAGTTAAGTTGTGTTAAGTTGATTTGGTGTTTATAATTCTGGATTAGGTATTGAATAAATGGATTAGTAGTTGATATTAAGTTGGTAGTTGATTGTTGATTTTGAATAAATGGATTGGTAGTTGATTGTGATATTGGGGTGTTAGTTGGAATCATCGGAGGCTTCTTCGGCGCTTTGAAGGATGTCAAAGTTGAATGTTTCTGAATGGGTGTTGGTTGATGGTTGGGATGTTTGAATTGGTTTGAGATTCATCATTTGCTCGATGAGCCACTTGATCTTGCGTCGGTTAAAGTCTGCGGTGGGTTTAGTTTGAATGGTAGTGGTGGTAGTATTGGTGGTAGTTGGTGAGAATGGTGGGGGATGGGAATGGATATGGGTGGAAGTGGGAGGATGGGTTCGGGTGTAGGTTTTGATGGCCGTAAGAAGAATGTCTAGTTTGGGGGAGTGACTGGTATGGTGGAGAGAAGTAGAGTGGTGAGATCGACGGGGTAAGTCTGGTTTGCAGATAGGGGTGGAAGTGGTCGATTGGGTTTGGGAATCTCTCTTTTTGGGATGATTTAGGCCTCTTTGGAGACTTGATTTGATTCTTCGGCGCCAAGGATCATGAATGGATAGTTGCTCTATTGCGTTAATGATTTCGCTTAAATCATCGTCTTCTTCCATTGTGTTGTCCTTCAATTTGTGCACAAAAGTCTTCTTGGTTAAATGGTCAAGCTTAGATTGGGTTGGGTTTGGGTTGGGTTAGTATTGGGTTAGTGTTGAATTGGGCTGGGTTAGTGTTGGATTGGGTTGTGTGATTTTAAGATTAAAACTGAGATGATATTAGGTTGTGATAGGATTGGATTGGTCGACTAAACAGTCTGGCTTGAAATTGAATTAATATTGGTATGATATGGTATGGTATGGTGTTGGATAGGGAGGAGAAGTAAAACCCTACTCTAGTGTAATGCAACTTAAATTGGTTTTGATGGGATGGGTTGGATTAGATTGGATTGGTAGTTGATATATGTCCTATTGAGTTCGAATTTATAATAGTAATTTCTTTGTCGATATTACCCAATGAGGAAATATTTGGAATGGTCTTGGGTTTGTCTTAACTGTATACTAAATTGAATGTACTCCTGGATGGTCATCTGATGCAAATATAAGTAAATGTTTACTCTAATATCAATACTATCACAATCCTATTCTAATCTAAGATTTAATTTGCCGGTATCTATTAATCCAATGCAAATATTAAGTTTTATTGATCTTCTTATGGTTTCTATTCAGCCAATGAACAAAAATAGATGGATATCCCTTAGATTGGCCATGGCTGTGTTTATTTTAGTTGCGGCATGTTCACTGTTGTTTATAGCTTGGATTTGTGAATCTGATCGGCCTGCGGTACAGGATTTAGTTAGTACTATTGATGGCGATAAGAATTGTAAACAGCTGATTTTGCCAAATGGAATTCAAACCTTACTGATTTCTGATCCTGATGCCTTAGTGGCTGGTGCTTCTCTATCAGTTAAAGTAGGACACTATGCATCTCCTGATGAATATCCGGGACTAGCTCACTTTCTGGAACACATGCTGTTTATGGGCACTAAGAAGTACCCACAAGAAAACTATCTTCATAAGTACATCCAAGATCGTGGTGGACACATCGAGGCTTTTACAACCATCTGGACCACTACGTACAGTTTTACAGTAGGTAGTGAATACCTTAATTCTACTCTGGATGTCTTTAGTGGCATCTTTAAGTATCCCTTACTGAGTAAATTAGCTATGCAACGAGAACTGAAGGCCGTTGATAATGAAGAGATTCTGGCTAAATCTAAGGAGGCTAGACGAGCGAGTTATATGATCAGAGAATTCCATTCCCCGACTTTACTTAATCGGAAACGTCTGGCCGGTCGCTTTGATCTTCTGCAAGAGGTTACACCGGCTGTGCTGCTTAAGTTTTGGTACTACTGGTACCGCCCAGAGTATATGTGTTTGGTTATTACGGGCAAGGAAAGTCTGCTTGCCTTAGAGAAGTATGCCTTGCGGTACTTCGGAGGAGTTAAATCCCGAGGAGATGTCTCTTGGCCATTTCTAGGTACACCAGCTGAAGTGTGTTCTTCGCAACCACCAACAGCTGATACAGATACACCCATGCACCAATGTTTTGATCCAAAAACATCAAACAAAGTCGTATTGTACCAGCCATTCTCTCCCGAAGAAACTGACTCTACTCTCCACATCAATATCCCTCTACCAACTACTCTTTATTCCTACGATGATAAATCAGCTACCTTTTTGGCCCGAGTGTTCAAAGATCCAGTTAGCACAGTTATTTCGTGTATACCTCCCTGGCAAACCCGGCAGAGCAATGTTCTTGTATCTGTTGATCATGAACACAATCTTCTTCGTCTTATGTATACCCAAGCACAAGGCTCTCCTGATTCCGCTCTTAAAAGTATCCCAAGACTCCTGGATAGTTTAGAAGATATAATCCAGCAACTCAAAACCCTTGATCTTGAACCGCTGTATGATTGTTTTCAAACCTGGGATGAATTGCGCTTGGAACGACTAGAATATCCCTCTCTCATGACAACACTTTATTCAACTGCCACTGCCATGCATTTCATGCCCTTTAATGAAGCTCTTACTCATCAGTACCGCTGGGGGAAGTACAACCCTGCCAAGTTGCAAGAAACTCTAGAGATCGCTTCTAAACGGTCTAACTGGCTGGTCATGCTGGAAACTCCCTATCTTCTAGAAGATGAAACTATTCAGTACGAGGGATACTACGGTATCAAATACTCTATTTCATCCTTACCTTCAAGTTCTGATTCCGACGAAGTTCAAACTGCTCGATCTGGGTTTGAGATTCAGCCATTGCTCTTTAAACCGGCTAACTTCACTAAGCTTCGCCAGGACCGGGAAAAGACCGCACTTGGTGTTGTTCTCTACAACATTGTCCCATGCACTATTCCAGGCGATCAAGACGTCCACTATGTCATCCATCAAGAAGAAGGATTCCAAGCATATCTCGTCCGCAAGAGAAGTCTCAATTCCAAGCTCGCATGCATCATTGTAGATCTTAAACTAGATGGCTTCCTTAATGATATCAAAACTTTTGTTGCTTATATCGGCGCTGCTATCTCTCATAAAAAGCAACTACAACAACTAGCTATAATTGACGATCTTATCTCCAACCAAATACCTACAATCACTATCACCTCCACCGGAGTTAGGTACACTTTCTACGGTATTCCCCTCCTAATCGAAAATATGTTGGAATTCTTCTACATTTCCTACGACCTCCATACACCGGCCTACATCCAACGCTTTGCCGAACACGCCCAAACTTACTTTACTGAACTCAAAACTCAATCCCTCTACTCCTTCGCCAGACTTCAATTAGATATCTCTATGGATGCTTTTGTTTTTGATTTAGACGAGTGCATTGCTACCGCCAGCCAACTTACTGCCCAAGATTTCCCTGATACCATTCAAGCCGATATTTCTCTTTATGCCTTCGGTAACTTAGAAGAATTCGAATTTCACCGCATTATCGCCGATACAAAGAAGTACATCATTCCTACTAAAGTCCAACCACCCGAACCTCAAAACCAACTTCAAGTCGTTCATATTGAAGCCCCAGCCCCTTCCCATACTCTAACCCGACTTATCTACATTACTCATCATGTCCACAACTTCACTCCTTACAAAAACCTCGCTATAGCCGCTCTCCTCGCCCAAATCTGCAGTTCACCGTACTTCGATACCATCCGCACCAAAAAGGCCCTTGGCTACTCTCTGTTACACGACTACCTTCTCAACAACAAGCAAGTCTTTCTTCTTTGGCGACTGCAAACTTCCGAGCCTTTCCCTAGCACCTATGCAGCCATCCAGCAGTTTATCCAAAGCACACCCACTCTCCTCCAGCAACTTACTCCCGAACAGTACCAACTCCACCAGCAATCCGCCATTCTTTTCTACCAGAAATTCCCTTCATCCATCCGTGGCTACGGTCTCAAACTAACCCATCTTTGGACCAATCTCGGGTTCGATCCCAATATTCTCAGCAATATTCAAACCGAAATATCCCAAACAACTCTCCCAGAGCTCATCGACTACGCCACCCAATACCTCAACGATCTCCTCACTATCCATATCTCAACCGATTATACCGAAGTCCTAATCCGTCATAAATAAATCTCGATCTAAATCAAAATCAACAACTTAACAATCCAATATACATCTACTACTTTGTCAACCCAAGATAAGATCTCTTTTATTATATCTTATGAATGTCCCATCACTCAACTTAACTCAACCTAACTCAACCTAACTCAACTCAACCCAACCCATCCTAACTCACCCCAATACTAACTCAACTTAACTTACCTATGTATAAATAAAACTCCAACTCAACCCAAACACATTTTCATTACAGTAAGCTTTCTTTAATTTTTAGACTTAACTTCATATCTCATTTCAGATACACCAACTAATCACAAACTAGATATCAAATTATAACTTAACATAATACAAACACAACCCAAACACCAACACACCACAATAACATAACATAACATAACATAACCCAATTTATTCATCCGCCACATAGAACAGCAGTACTGCATAATCATCTAGTAAAGAGGCAGCACCAATTGCTTCATCATCATAAACCACCCAAGGATCTTCTAGTTGACTTAAAATCAAACTAGATTTACTATCATCACTACCTAATTCAGTTACTTTCTTAACTGCTTCATTAAACTCTTCCTGAGTGTACGGTCTACTCTTAGTATAAGCCTGAGCTATATAATGACCAGCATTAACTGTTCCTTTATAAAGCACAGTTGCCACTAAAGAGTAATGTTTACTCCCCTGCTTATCATTCACTACTAATTCCCTATCTATTTTAGCACTTTTACCAGCACTATTCTCAGCCGATCCTAAAACTCGTACGGCTAAGACTCGTGGTGCTTTTAAGACCATATTCTCTCTAACCTTCTCTTTAGCCCCACAACTACACTCAACTGGTAAGTTTTCCTGACCCATTAAAACATCAACTAATTTCTGATTACTAGGTAGATACCAGAGTAATCTTGTTTCTTTTTCAGAAGTTCCAACTACTTGACAATCTTTACATCTTATCTTTGTTTCAATCTCAGCTCTAAACAAATCAGAAAGCATAGAAAAATGACCAATTTGATCATAATTCTCTATCATAACAAGTAAGTCCTCTAAAAATTCAGTTGCATCATGTTGAATACCCAGAGCATATTTAGGATAAGTACTTTCCATTACTTTCCAAAAATCAACAATTGAAAAACTATCTCTATCTCTATCTCTATCTTCAAAACCATCAAAATCATAAAAATCATCTTTTTCAAAATTATCACTACTATCTCTACCACTACCTATCTTATTACCCATTTCATTACCTCCACTAGTAATAACCTTAGCTGAATGGGCAAATACTACCCGGCGTAAGACCTTTTCTAACTGACACCCAAAACACTGTCCAGGCGATTCACAAGGTTCTATCCCCGGAAAAGATTCTAATCTCCCTATCTCCCGTTCTAAACCATACCCTAAACCATGTAAAACAGCTGAAATATAACAAGTATTACCTAAATTAGTAATTCCACCATCTTTTTGCACTAAAAGATAACTAAATCTACCTTTACCTTTCTCTTCTCCTAAATCACCTCCTAAATCCGTATCTACTCCATCAGTATTTAACAATCTTTCTATCTTATCAGTCCCAACCACTTCTTTATCACTCTTATAAACTATACGATCCATCACTCCTTCTATACTTACTAAACTATCACAACTATAACAATAAACATCACAACGTCTCTTAACCCAATCAATACTCTGTAATTTAACAAAAACTCCATGGCCACTATCTAATCTCCCATCTTTTTCAAAATGTTCCATCGCATGTCCATTTCCTTCCACTCCATACTGTTTCCGACCACAAAGTACTTCTCCACAGCACAAACACCCCCAAGTATTACTATCTATCTCACACTTCCCACAAACATCCCCAGCAAATCTCACCTTATCTTCCTTCATCATTTTAACAACTTTACCCATATCTTCTATCTTATCTTCTTTTTGATTCTTATCTTCTTTTTCTATCTTATCTTCATTTTCATTCTTATCATTCTTATCTCCATCTACCTCATCTCTACTACTACCACTTAACTCATTACCTAACCCATTACTTAAACTAACATTACCTAAACTACTACTACCCACTATCCTCTCTAAATGTAGGCACTTCTTACTATTCTCATTCCTACTACTACCTAGTCCTACTCCTAAACTACTATCACTAAGCACAGCATCCTTAACTATCTCTTTAGCCCCAGTCAAATCAAAACCAAATCTCTCTCCTAACCCAAAATCTTCTATCTCAACCAAAATATCCCCATCTCCTATCTTATCTTTACTTTTTTTGTTATTTTTAACAACAAAACCCTTATCTCTACTATCTCCCCCATCTCTATTACCCTCCAACTCTTCCCCACTCCTTCCTATCTTAACTTTAACAATCATAGATAAGTGTCCTAAACTACTATGCTTATCTATATCTCTTAAACAAATACTACTTTTACACTCACAATAAATTAAACTTCCTCCCTTATTTTTCCTTTTAGTCCTCTTTATCTTATCTCTACTGATACTATAATAACAAAAGCAACACTCATTTTTAAAGTCTACAAAGTTAAACATATTAATTCTTTAAAATCTTTTTTTTATTTTGTACCCCGGATGGAAGCAGTCGTTAAACAAAGTAGTCCTGAAGGAGTAGTTAGTACAACTCCTAATGAGTCAGTTGATAGTCATAAGGTAGCCTTTGATGAAGGTAAAATAGTCTTTGGAGTTGCACATATTTATGCTTCTCATAACGATACGTTTATTCATATAACAGATTTAACTTCTAGAGAGACTATCTGTAAAGTTACGGGTGGTATGATTGTTAAGGCAGATAAGGATGAGAGTAGTCCTTATGCTGCTATGTTTGCCGCTCAGCAAGCAGCTCAAAAGGCAAGAGCCGCTGGATTTAATGCCGTACATGTTAGGGTTAGAGCTAGTGGAGGAGTGAAGACTAAGACGCCAGGACCAGGAGCTCAGAGTGCGTTACGGTCTTTAGCTAGGAATGGGTTAAGGATTGGTCGGATTGAAGATGTTACTCCAATAGCTGCTGATCGGGTAAGGAAGAAGGGAGGAAGACGAGGAAGGAGACTCTAAGTAATAAATTAGTATCTGATTGAGTTAGTATTTGAGTTAGTTGTGGTTAGATTAGATAGGTATAATGTAGATAGGAGATAAGAGTATGTATAATGTAGTTTGTATAGTGTAGATAGTAGATAAGAGTATATAGTTTGTAGTTTGGAGATAGTAGATAAGAGTATGTATAATGTAGTATGGAGATAAGAGTATGTAAGGTGTAAATAAAGCATGAGTTCGTTTAGTTGTTGGTTTAGAGATAGTAGATAGGAGTATGTATAGTGTAGTATGGAGATGGGAGATAATAGTATGGAGATAAGAAATTGGAGATAGGAGATAGGAGTTAGTGGAAGCAGTTGAGTAGGGAGAAAAATAAACAGATGAAGGTGTAGGTGGTGAATAGGTAGGCAAAGAGGTAAATGCAGAGACAGCTGAGCATATGGTAAAGAGATAGGTACTTATGGAGGTAGGTAGAGAGAACTTGGTGGATGATTAAGTGGCGGATGTATTTGAGTAGGCTGATAAGGAAAGCAGTAGTTAGATAGGCTGCTATACAAATAAAAAGATAGATAATTAGTTTGTGCAGTAAGTAGATGTGTAGATAGCAGATAGATAAGAAAATACCAATTAGATAGCCAAACATACTGGTTGAATTGGGTTACGTTTGAGTTGGTCTGTGTAGATAAGTAAGTGAATGCATAGTTGTAAACAGATTAAGTTAGTAAACAGATTAATGAGTAGATAAGTAAATATTTAGGTTTAGATTGAGTTGGGATTGGATTGGGTTGGTGTTGGTATTGGGTTTGGGTTTGGGTTTGAGTTTGGGTTTGGTATTGGGTTTGGGTTTAGATTGGGTTTAGATTGTGTATTGTTAGATAAGAAATTAAGATTGTAAGAGTAGTTACAACTAAATCTACTAAAAACATAACTAAATTTAACCGTATCTAATCTAAAAACAAAATATAGTAGAATGTATATCTAGTTTATTTGGATTAGAGACGGCCGTACTTGGGTTTAAGGACTTGTAGAGGCATAGTTTGCTTCGTATGCGGCCAGGGACCTTGTAAACATAGAAGCTGGTTCTCTTGTCGAGCAGCAAAGTCAATAACTGGACCTACCATAACATAAGAAACAACTCCTTGCCGGACAATAGCTAGTTTTTGTTGACTAATGGCTACTAGTTCTTCTTCTGTCCAGATAAGATTAAGAATTACTCGCATAGCTATTTGTGATACTTCAACTAGTTGGTCTACTTTATACTCCATGAGAAGAACACTAGTTGGTCCTCGTACGGCTAGTAGGACTTGAGTTTGGTCTGGATGAAGAGCAATAGCTTGCACATACCCTGGAGTAGTGATAGGTAAAGCTTGGCCTGATTTAAAGTCAAACCAAACTAGACCTTCACCATGCAGAGCTACTTTGTGTTGAGGACCAGCTGAGAGGTGAAAAGGAACAAAGTCAGGACAGATAGTACTTAGTAGCCATTCCTGGTGTAAATGACCAGTTAAATCATACTGGGCTAAAACAGTCCGACCTGATCGACGTAAAACAGTAAACAAACAACCATGAAGGAATCGATGGACTAAAACTCGACCAGTAATTGACCAAAGTAAAGCTACTTCACCTTCTCTACTATGTTGGTAAGCCCATAACCCAATTCTAGTTCGGACAATAGTTACGTCATCAATTACTTCCAGACCAAGAATAGGATCTTTCATCAAGTGATTAAAGATACCTTTAATTTGACCCGATTCCTTATCTACTGCTGAGATAGACATCTTTTTACCCAAAGCAATAACAAATCTATTAGTAGTAGAGATAGCTGCGATAGCTGAAGGTAATCTTTTAGAGACTTCAACTCGACCAACTACAGGAATATCATGGGCATGAACAGCCCCATCACCACCAGCCGTAAAAATGCGACCGTTACATTCAGCTACACAAAAAACATCAGAAAGATGGGAGTCATTTTGTGACTCTAAAGTATAAAGACCAGCGGCTGAACGGGAGTAACAACTAATTCGTGAATCAGCTCCAGAAGTCATAATACGTCCGGCCACAACTACTATACCATTGATGGCTGAATCACGTACTTGTAAGACTTGCAGAACAGTTCCAGCGGATACATCCACAATATACACTTCTCCGCTTAAAGTTCCTACTGCATACTCTGATCCAAGTACTCGTACCATACAACTGATAACTACTTCATTTTTTTGATTTTGATTTGAGTCAAGATTAATATTAGTAGTAATGTTTTTGTTAAACTTATCTAAAACTCCAGCCCAGATAACTTGGCCGCCTACTACGTGATAGATCCGACCTTGGGCTCCACCAGCCACTACTTCATTCTCTGTCTCGCCAAAACAAGCAGTAAAGATAGCATGTCTTGTTCTTAGTACAACTGATTTATCAACTCTTACTTCTGAACCTCCACCTGGTACACCGTAGATAGTTAGGACTCGGCCGGATTGGGCTAGAACTCGCCAAAGTCCTGGTTCTGGTACTCGTCTGACTCCTAAACTTTGTAAAGAGATACGCCATAAACCACTAACGAGTGATCCGATAAGTAAGTCTTTGCCATCAAAACATGCACTGTGCACTCCTTTTAATCCTAAATCTAATCGTCCTACTAAGAATAAAGCACTTGTAGAGTAAATATCTACTACTCCGGACTCTCTTATCGCGGCTGTATACCCTTCCGAAACAGCTAAAGCCGTTATTTTTTCGGGTAATTCGACTTCACGCCGATGTATGTGCAAACGCATGAAAATTTTTGGCAAACTTGTCATTTAATCCAATCCCAAACCAATCTCTAGTTATTTCCTTTTTAGGTAATTTTCTGTATTTCCTTATTAGGAAAAAATCCTGATTAGGAAAAATATGTTAGTCTAGTCTGGGAAGCCAAAATATTTATGCATGTTAAAATTCACCGGTAAATAAATTGGATTGTATTGAGTTAGGTTTGAGTTGGTGTTAAGTTAGGTTGGGTTAAGTTAAGTTAAGTTAAGTTGAGTTGAGTTAAGATAAGATAAGATAATGTTAAGTTAAGATAATATTAAGTTAAGATAAGATTATTAAACGACTACTACTCTTTCTTTCACACTGAACCCTTTATTCTTTGATTGGTTAGTTTACTTTTAGATACCAACTCGTACTTCTAAAATACCAGCCCGATTAGTAGAGAATTCGAAGATATCAGAGTTTACTGAATATATTGAGTTATGACGTCATCTTCTTACTTATCATCATCATCTTGCTTATCGTCATATACCAACAATAAATGCCTAGCAAGGCCGTATTAAGGCATGCCAATGATGGAGTTTGTACTAAGCTCAGAGTATCTTCCACCCATGACTAAGTCAAGTAAAGTAAAGATAAGATAAGATACTCAAGACAATATACATGCACTAAACACCAACTCAACTCAACCCAACTCAATCCTAATACCAACTCAATATCTTTTATTTTGGTATGTATTTCATTCCGATTTATCGACTAGACGAAGTTCAATAAGTCTATTACTACTTTAAATAGTCCTTTTAAGATTGAGTTCTGACTTAAAACCAACCCAAAACTATCTTAAGCCTAACCAACCCAAAGTCATCTATTGGTCCATAGCCTAACCAGTCACCATCTCCTTCCCATCCTCTTCCCAAACCAATCCAACACCCACTCAATCTTAACCCAATCTTAACTCAATAGATAGGTTTGAATTAACAATCCAATACTTTTACAATTTTCAAATCCAAATCCAAATCCAATCTTAACCCCACACAACACCAACACCAACCCAACCCTACACAACCCCACTCAACCCAATATCAACTTAACCCAAACTCAACCCAAACACATTCCAATCAAAAGACAAGACAACCCCTTCTTAATATAATAGATTAAAAGTATAAATAGACATATGTTTCTAAAATTTGCAGCCTAAATCAAAGTCAAGATAATGATAGAGAAAACAAAAACAAAAACAGCCAAAGTTGGGCTAGGGTCCGAGATAAAAAGACATCGTACATTTATTTTGATTTTAGCACAGATAGTCATTATTACAACAGTAGTCTTCTTTTTATTCCAACGAAATTTTAAAATCGGAAAAATGCCGGCTAAGACTAGATTATTTAGCGATTTGCTAGATCTAATGCAACAAATAGACGAAGAGGTAGATGATTGTACTCGTTGGCCTACTAGACGAGAGAAAAATGAAGCATTTAGATCTATAAATTCGATTGAAGATTTAGTTCCGATTAGAATTTCAGAAATGACAGCTGTATTTCGCTACAATGGTAATGTTTCAGGACTATTCGAGATAGTCGACTTAAGAAAAGACTGGCCAATAACTAAAGGCGTAATTATTAAGCGGATTATAGTTAAGAAGGAGAACAAGCCAGAAGAAGAAGCTATTTCCCTACTAGTCCGTCATCCTTTACTGATGAAGACTTATGCGAGTCATACGACTTACTTCACTAACCATAAGAAAGTCGATCAGGAAATACTTTGGCTGATTATGGAGCCAGTTGCTACACGTATAACTAATAAGGAGATAAACAAGAACGAAGCTCGGATTAGAGAAATACTAAGGGATGTCTTACAGGGGTTGAAGTATTTACATGCTAATCGGATTGTGCATTTAGATTTGAAGTTACAGAATGTGATGGGTACGGGTGAGTTAGGGGCAGTAGGTACTCGGTATAAATTGATTGATTTTGGGTTCTCACGACAATTACCTGAAGATAAGTTAGAAGTAGTCTTTCCAGGTAAGAGTTATGGGACATTTCCTTATAAACCGCCTGAGGTTTGGCAGGAGAGTGTACATGGGTATGCGGCTGATATTTGGTGTTTAGGATGTATGGCTTTGTTTATGGCTGATGCTGAGACGGCGGGATTCTTTCAGAAAAGGGATCCGATTAGATCGGGACATACTAAGGATTATACTAAGTTTAAGAGTTTCTTAGAGGGAAGTAAGCGCTTGCCTATTTCGGCCGATGCTTCTTTAGAGTTGGTGCATTTTATCAAGATGTGTATGTTCCGAGATCGCACTAAGCGTTGGACGGTGGCTCAACTTATGGAGCATCCTTTTATTCGGGGTGTTCCCTTAAGTGATGAACAAGCCGATACAGTTGCTAGTGCGTACTATGTTTAAGACTTGATTGGGCGGTCAAATTAGGTTTGTGTTGGGTTAGTTAGAGGGTTAGTCAGGATATCAAGGCAATTTAGCGGGTCAAAGATTAAAGTAGGTCAGTTAGTAAAGTTCAATAGACATATCAACTATAGAGGTAAATTGTCCTATGGCTACTACTGCCATAATTATTGCCATTATTACTACCACTATCTATATCACTATCACTATCATTATCATTAAAGACAAAAACAGTATCACATTTAGTATATCTACATTATTACATTGGGTTAGTATATCACTAAACACAACACAATCTCATCCAGTAATCATCTAACCTATTCATTATCTAATTTACACCTATCTTAACTCAACCTAATTCAACCTATTCTACCATAACTTAACTCAACTCAACTTAACACAACCTAATTCAACCCAATACTAATTCAACCTATCCTATCCTGTCATAACACAACCTACCATAACCTAATTCAACCCGATACTAATTCAACCTATCCTATCCTACTATAACACATCCTAACTCAACCTAATTCAACCCAATACTAACTCAACTTAACATCCTATCCTGCCATAACACAACCTACCATAACCTATCCTACTATAACATAACCCAACACATCCTAATTCAACCTATCCTATCATAACTCAACACATCCTAATTCAACCTACCATAACCTAACTCAATACCAACTTAACTTAACTTAACTCTATGGGGGATAGAGAGTACTGGTGAGATATAAGGGGATAGAGATAGAGTTAAAGAAGCCGATCTCGGAATTTTTTATGTCTGAAGATACTTCACTTGCCAAACATATTGTGCCAAACATCACTTTAGGATCTATTATAGCTTATGGATCTACTTCAGTAGTACGTCAGGGTAAAGGTGGAAGTGGGACTCAGTATGCGGTTAAAATTGTTAAGATAAGTAATAGTGAAGCTGAAACGGCTGCTAAAAGAGAAGCAGCTATTCATCGAGTTCTAACTCATCCACACGTAATTGCCTTACGTGACTTTCATCCGGGTAATGGTTATGCTTACTTTGTAATGGACCATGCTGTTAATCGTGAACTGTTTAGTTATATAGATCCTGGTCGAGGAATGAGTGACGAAATCTCTCGTTTGTACTTGCGGCAGTTGTTAAGTGCTTTGGTTTATATGCACCAACGCGGGATTTGCCATCGAGATATCAAACCAGAGAATATTCTACTTGATAGTAACTATAACTTACGTTTGGCTGATTTCGGGTGTGCTACAGTTTATCGAGATGCTAAAGGCCGTCGACCTCTAACTAGACAGTGTGGCAGTACGAACTACATGGCGCCAGAAGTTTTCCATATGTCCTATGATGGCGAGAAGGCCGATGTTTGGTCTTTTGGACTTTTAGCTCTAGTGATGTGGACGGGGACAGTTCCTTGGGCTAATGCCTGTGCAGGTACTGCTGGATACGATAAGTACAAGTTAAGTCGTGATCGGGACTTTGCCCCCTTTAATGTCTTAAGTCGAGAGAAAATGGAGATCATTGATCGCATTCTCTGTATCAATGAGAGTGAACGAGTTGGATTTAGTAAGATCTGCCAGTTTCCATGGTTTGCCACTGGCAGTGCTCTAGCCTGGCCATCTGGACTAGTTAAGGATCCAGGAGCCGTAGCTTCACTTCTTCTTCCTCCTGAAATTCTAGCTCTTTCCCAACCGGATGCCTGTGTTTCACCTATTGGCCAGGCCTACAGTTCTCAGCCTGTTTTTATGAGTTATAATGATCTACCCTGTGCCACGCGTATTTATGCCCAAGTTAAAGCCAGTGAAGCCCTGCGTATTCTAGCCCGAACATTAGATGATGTTCTTATTCAGTACAAAAGATCAGGCGGCAGTTTATCTTTCACTACAGTTGATGGCCAAAAGAATCTTATCAGTGGTGAAATTATCAGTCGCAGTATCGGCAGTGAAACTCTCCTTATCTTCCAAAGAACGCACGGCAACTGTCTTGAATTCAAGAAAATGTTCAATATCGTTAAAGACAACTTCATGGAAATCCTAGAATCGCAACGCCGCCACTAACTCAATAGATCATTCACTACTACGCACTCCATCTTTTCCTGCCTACTCCCACCACCTAATACCAACCTAACACCAACCTAATACTAACCTACTACCACTGATCAGGAGCACGTCCCAGCCACTACAACAATAAACTCATTATTAAGCAACCACTCCATTATCTCAATAATATCAACTTAATATCAACTTAATACTAACACAATCAAGTGGAACATTCTTCAGATTAATTGAATAAAGCATTAACGTATTGGGGATATCGTGTAACATCCAACCTAAAATTCCATCTCATAACATCAAATTAGTATCTGCTTAACCCAAATCCATTCTGTATTTATAGTTTGAAATTATCCTCTACCACTCACTAACCCACCTCAAATAATACCTTCACTCATAGAACTACAGATGAACAATAAAGATATGTTAAAGTGTACTTATATTCTGAAACATATTACAAATTCAATACTAATCCTAACCCACTAGGACCTACAATCTTCACCAGCCAAGAACAACGGTGTTCAACTCTGTACAATCCAAATCCAAATTCAATCCTAATACCAATCCAAATCCCAACCAAATCCTAACACAATCCATTCCAAATCCAATATCCATTTAATAAAACTCCACCCCACACAATCCTAACCCAAACCTATTCTACTATAACTCAACATAACTCTATCTATTCTACCAGAACATAACACAACCCTACACAAACCCACTCAAACCCACTCCACTCAATACAATCTAATTTCACAACCAAATTGGAAATCCAAAGTCAACAATCCATTTAATATTCATTTTTTTTGCCCCCTTATGCCCAAGTCTTGTTTTGAATGGAATATAAAGCATAAACTGGGCGATAAGAGTCAATACAGTGAGTATTTTACTTCACACAACTTTACTTGGCGTTTGGTGCTAGTTAGTGCGGAAAGACATCTTATCTTTTTAGAACATTTTGGATATTTAACTTTTGATGTGTTTACTGATTATATTCTGAATATTGAATATACTGATGGAGATGTCCAGAGGGAAGAGATTTCCTTTGCTTTTGGTGGTCAACTAGATTTTAGTACAGTTCTTCATCCTAAAGATACCAAACGTATTAGTATTTCTATCTTATCAGCTACAAGGTGTTATGAATCTAAGAAGACAACACCTTTTGCTGGTCTTATTAACTTAGGCTCAACTTGTTACTTGAACTCTTTAATGCAAAGCTTGTTTCATATCAAAGGGTTTACTCAAGCACTTTTCCAACAAGGACCTCAACCTAAGACTTTGGAAATGCAGAAACTCTTCTGTCAACTAGAAAGTGAGCCTTTATTCGTAGATACGTCTGCTTTTGCTAATGCCTTTAAACTTAATGAACCAATTGATGATCAACAAGATATTCAAGAGTTCTTTAAAGTCCTTCTTGATGAACTAGAGAAAGAAGCTAAAGGTACTCCTTTCTTTGATTTCCTCATTAAGACCTTTTATGGTGATTTAGCCGCCTTAATTGAATGTGCTTCTGGTTGTCGTAGTGAACGTATTGAGAAGTACAATGATATTCAGTTGGTAGTTGGTGATCGACCTACCGGTTCTGCTTCTTCTTTAGAGGAAGCTTTACAAGCTTATATAACTACTACTCACCTGACTAAACCTAATCTTTATAATTGTGAGAAGCACGGGTACGTTGAAGCCACTAAAAAGGACTACTTTAAGACTTTCCCACCCGTTCTTTTCTTCCAGATTAAACGGTTCAATATGGACTATGATACGGGTGAGGCCTATAAGATCAATGAATTCTTCTCCTTCCCGGAACGAGTTAATCTAGCACCTTATACGCACCAGCCTGATGAACCTCTCTTCTACTCACTCTACTCAGTCAATGTGCATATTGGTGATGGTCATTCAGAAGGACACTACTACGCCTACATTAAAAAGGGTGAGGACTGGTACAAATTCAATGATTGTTACGTAACTAAAGCTTCCGCGCATGAAGCCGTTTATGGAACGTTTGGTGGAGCCCATGAGTACAAGAACCGCCAAAAGATTGCTAATGCCTACTACTTAGTCTATATTCGTGAATCAGATTTAGCTGAACTACTAACTCCAGTTGATCCTCAAGTCCCCAGTAGTATCCAGAACATGATTGAACGTGATCGGTTCTTACAACAACGAGTGCCTCTGCAGTTGTACACTCGAGAGACTTTAGCTGGGTACTGGGGACTTGGCGCTTTCAATCCGGCCCAAATTCAAACACGGGCCTTACCGGCTGTAGTTAGTTTAGAGAACTCACAAAGTATTCGGCAACTGCTTATGCAAACTAAACGGGTAACTAACATTGCAGCTAGTAATATGCTGGTTTTTGTCATGGGTGATCAAGGTCAGAGTTTAGATCTTCTGAATATGCCGGCTAATAGTATTGTTGGGGATTTACCAGGTAAGGTCTTCTTTGTTGCGGAAAGTCAGCCGGACGTACCAGTTGAAGATACGTTTGTTCTCTTTGTGAAACGCGAGAAGGCAGCTGGTCAGCCCTACGACTTAAAAGTGGTGGTGGAGGTCGAGAATGTCGTAATTGTCCGGCGTTCGCAAAAGGTCTGGGATTGGGCCGAAAGTACTTCATCTTCACCCGTACCTTTACTAGCTGAGATAAATGGGGAGGCTAGAGAGATAGGGAAGGATATTTGTTTTGGAGAACTATTTAATGGTGGATTTGGAGTAGTAGTGGCTGATGCAGGTTTAAGTTCTTTATCTGAGTACTTGGATGCTTTAAAAACGCATCGACTTATTCATATCTTTATTGATCAGTATCCGGGCTTTACTTTATGGGTGGACAAGTCCTGGGGAGATACTGAACTTTTTAAGCAGATTGAGCAGAGTTTAGGTTCAGCAGAGTTTAAGCTAGTTGCCCAATCGGAAACACATATTGAAATTAGTGTGAATCCTGGATATACTTTTGTGCAAGTAGCTATTCTCCTGGGTCGAACGGAGAACATCAATGCTATTCCTAAAACGTGTCGGATTTTAGCAGTAACAAGTCCGGCGGTAGAGATTGTAGGGGCGGTTGGTTTAAATCCAACTTCTCTGCCGAGTAAGTGTCGTGTAGTGATGACGGAGCAGGGTAAAGACCGACCTCAAGTCTTCCGGCTGGGTGATACGCTTGATCTGAAGCCTGGAGTAGTTCTAGCTATTCAGGAGGTAAGTAGGCGCCGACATGCCGAGGCTTTTATAAGACATAATGATGAGGTGGTTGGGCATCCGTTCTTTATAGATACTGAGACCAGAAGAACCGGGATGGAGACCAAACGCCGGTACAGTGTGGAGGATAGTGCTCTAATGCGTCTATCTCAGAAGAGTAAGAGCACGATTGAAGATACCAGTACGGTCAAGAAATCAGGGAGTACAGATCGGTTCGTCTTTGCAGTGGGGTATGCCGCTCGGGAGCAGATTGTCATGCGGTCGGCCTTCTTGCAGTAGGTTCAGTAGTAAGTCAATAAATAGTAAGTCATCTAATAAGTAGTGAATAGTAAGTAGTAAATCAGTAGGTCACTAAGTAGTAGATCAGTAAGTAGTACATAGTAAGTAGTGAGTCGCTTAATAGTAACAGGTTGTTTAATAAGTAATAAATCAGTAAGTCAGTAAATCAGTAAATAGTATGTAGTGAGTCACTTAATAGTAAGTAGTAAATCAGTAAATAGTACATAGTAAGCAATGAACCACTTAATACCCACTCGTCTAATATGTAAGTCAGTAAGTACCAACCCATTTAGTAAGTAGTAAATCAGTAAGTAGTGAGCCACTTAATACCCACTCGTCTAATATGTAAGTCAATAAATAGTTGGGATTCTTCTCTTTGTTTATGCGCGTGAAAGCTGTCTATGGGCGGACCTCGTTTGTTTGTGAGTTCCCGGACGAATCTTCAGTGGCTGAGCTGTACGAGTTGGTGCGAGCTCGGATTGGGAAGGCTGTCTTTCTCTTTACGACAATGCCTTTACAGATGATTGATGAAGTGGAGAAGCGGCGAGTGTCTGAACTTATTGCTGATTGTGATTGTATTTACTTGATGGATACACCAGAGGCCCGGGGGCCGAGTGAACAGAAAGAGGCGGATGAATGTGCGGCTGTTTTTTCGATTCTGGAAGTACCTAGTGATAACTCTTGTTTGTTTCATGCTTTGAGTGAGTTACTGGATGCCCGGAGTAGTAGTGAGTTGCGGAAGATGGTGGCTAATACTATTCTGGAGAATCCTAAGAAGTTTGCGATCTACTTAGAGAAGGATCCTTTTGCTTACTCGAAATGGATTGTACAACCGGATACGTGGGGTGGGGCGACGGAGATTGAGATTATTGCCCGGATTTATGAGACAAAGGTTTGTGTGATTGATCGGCAGTTACAGTGTATTGAATTTGGATGTGAGTATCGCTCGGTGGTTTATTTACAATATTCGGGTGTGCACTATAATGCAGTGATTGGAAAGGATCAGGGTCGAGTAATCAAAAAGTTTCCTAAAGGGGATGTCCAGGCCTTGGCCCGAGCTAAGGAAGCTGTGCGTGAGTCATTTGCCTCCTCTAGTGCATAGTAAGTGGGTGTTTTTAACCTCCTTTTATTGATACCTGAAACTGATAGTGATTGATCTCTTTTTCAGGATATAAATCAGATGCGGTAAGACGGGACCAATCAAAGCTGATCTAGTCATTTCATAAGAATAAATATCAGTGAGATTTCTAAGATATCATGAACAAGATCAACATTGTAATTTTAGCAATCGCAGCAATTCTATCCTTTGGGTTTGTAGCAGCTGGCGGGTATGGCGGGTATGGAGGCGCAGTCCAAACCAGTGAGGAGGCAGCATACTCTAATTCATACGAAGAAACTAGTGTACAAGAAGAAACCGAAGAAACCGAAGAAACTGAAGAAGTCTCAGAGGAAGAAGTTGTGGAAGAAGAAGACTCTCAGGCGGCAGAGGAAACCAGTGCATCGGCCGTTGGAGCAACTAGTTCTAAGTCTGGTGCTGCTATGTCCCAGGGCTCCCAGATGGCCGGCAAAACCTCTCAAAGCAAAGCCAATGCCAGTAAAGCTGATACTTCTGGACTTGTAGGCAGCAGTGGATCATCAAACCAAGCCGACACTTCTGGGCTCGTAGGCAGCAGTGGATCATCAAGTCAAGCCGGCAAGACCTCCAATAGTGCGGCCAAGAACCGTGGTAAGAGTGGTAGTACAAAGTCTGGATCTGCGGCTAACACACAACAAAACGCAGATGATGCTGCAGCCATCAACGGGGCCAGCAGTTCTTCGCATCATGGATAATAACAGCCGGGTGTAACAATAAACTAATTACTTGAACTATTTATTGATTGATATCTGAATGTGTTTTATTGAGTTGAGTTAGATTGGGTTAGATGTGGTGTAGTTTGGTGTGGTGTGGTGTAGTGTGGCTTGGCTTGGGATAGATTTAAATTAGACTAAAGTAGTTGGATCGGATAGAGTGTTGATGGCAGTGATAAGGTCTTTGGCTGTTATGTTTTGGAGTGCTTTTACTAGTGATTGGGCAGTTGGTGGCACGCGATTGCTAGCGATAGTCCAAAAAAGAGTGGGCAGATCAAGAAGAAGGCCATTATCTGGTATTTGGGTAATTAAGTCTTTGATATGCGACTGATACTGTGACAAGACAATCTCTTTGATTGCAGCTTTTGTAAGAGGTATCTTCAAAGCGGGAGAGACAAAGCAGCCGAGAAAGGCGCCTTCTTTAAAGTTCATGAACACAACTTGCGCAGTTTGTTGCCGAGCTTGCAAGTATTGCATGAGGATGCTCTTGATCAGAAGGAAAGTATAGTAAGATTGTGAGGTCGTGCATGCCGGGGCCCGAAATCCAACTAAACAACCCGAAGATAGTTGGGCTGAAGGGATAGATACAGAGGTGGATGAAAAAGAAAGGTCAGCCGACTGAGAAGTAGGTGTAGATGAATTAGTGAGTGTTTTGCTGGATATAACTGGAGTAGAAAGAGGTTTCGGCTTGGGAAGTCTTTGAATGAGCTGCATAAGAGCTTGCGGCTGTACATCACCTCGAGCAACCAGGAACACATTAGTTGGTGACGTAATTGAATTCAAAAAGGACAGAAGATGAGTTCGATTGATAGCTTGTCTATCTGCAGCTGTACCGAGAATAGGAGTTGCCAGCGAAGTATCTTTATAGACAAGACCTAGCAAGTGTTCAAAGTACGTGCTTAAATCCGACTCAGTGTTTAGCACCTCTTGTTCCACTCGCACTTTCTCTTTACCAATAGACTGTTCTGTGATTCTAGCCGGGTTTAAGCACTCCAGAAGAACAGTGGCTAACTTGGCTTGGTTCTGTTTCTGGGCCCGGCCAATAATACCAATATAGTTTTTGGTTGTAACTCCACCAATTTGAAAATCTCGTAAGTCTTGTGGATCTATACCCGCGACTAAAACATGTTCTAAAAGATGGGCAGTTCCACTTGGCATCTTCTGTAACTGCTCAGCCGTTGACCCAGTCCCGAAAAACAGGCCAATTTCACCACTACCAAGCTTATTTTTCATAACTTGACTAATCAAACCAAGACCATTACTAAAGACTTTATGAGTAAGATCTAGTGACTCTTTCGGTTTAATCCAATCTGAAAGTACATTACTAATCCAGCCCATTGATGAAATAAAATCTTTCCCATTCCCGCCAAATCTACATCTTTGAGACTAATCAATCCATCTCAACTAAGTATTCTTTCATCTCTACCATATCTACAAAGTCACAAGAAGTACAATCTGAGGTGTACTTCTGACCAATCACAGTCCTCCATCTATTTCAAGACAGGTTTAAGATAAGACTCTCCAAAGCAATTGACTTAACCCATTAATATTCAGTGCTACAAATGCATTATACCTCTTAATCATAATCAGCCATAACTCATCTAGACTAGGCACAATCCCAATTCAATTTAAAGAGGCACACTAAATTCGTAGTAGTCTATCACATCTTGTGCTCAGCGAAATACTTAGTTGACACTCTGCCAATTACCAAGCTAATTTCAACTGTACATATTATACCGCACATAATATCACAAAAACAGACCAACCCAATAGCTTATCTTATCTAAATCACAACCTAATTTTGCTTTTTAATCAATAAACTCCATATAACTCAATACTAAACTTAGCTTCATTTAATCCTAAACTAAACCCAACTCAATGTTATACTAAACTAAACCCAATTCAACTTAATCCTAAGCCTCACTAAATACTAAACTAAACCCCACTAAATACCAAACCAAACTAGACTAAACTAAACCTCACTTAATACTAATCTAAACTAGACTAAACTAAACCCAATACCAAACTAAACTAAACTAAACCCCACTAAATACTAATCTAAACTTAACACAACCCAATCTAATACTATAATAAACTCAATTTATCTATTTCATGGCAAAATAACGCACAACTTGGCCATTAACGGCCAAATGAGTATAACCCAAATAAATAGTAGATGAATAAGGAGTAGAGATAGCTTGTGTCTTTTTCAAATTCCGCAGACCTTCAATGCGTTTCTTAATCTCTTTATGCCAACCGACTTCTTTAGGATCCAAACCCAGAATCTTCTCGTCATTCACTAGCCACTTGATCAACTCGTCTTTAGTCTGGTTAGTTTTCTCTGGAAAGTACTTAACTACCATATCTAGTAACTGTAAACCGTCTTTCCGGACATCAACAACTGTGCACTTAGTAACTACTGATAGATAAAGAAACAAATACTCTTCCCAGACTTTCTGTTCAGTCGTTAGAGCCTTAGAAAGAAGTGAATTGGCTACTCGATAAAAATGAGATCTAACTTCTTTCTTATCATGAATGGCCATTTTCATAATTTCTTTGATCATATCTTCACTTATCGTTGCTAGTTTTTCGGCTTCTCTAGCCCCTCGCAATCGGACTGTGGCTGAACTGTGTTTTAACATGGCTAGAATTTTAACTAACTCATCTGAGATACGTTTGGCCACTCCAATACTTCGGGAACGTACGGAAAGAGGCCGAATAACTTTGGGACGTAACTTATATCGCTTGAACATGAAAATTTTATTGGGTTTGGGCCATGGTTATCCGATATAAATAGATATCATTATAGATTAGCAAGTATTGTGGGTGGATCAATTTCTTAGCATTAGAGATGTTTAAGATCCCGCGAAGAATACCATCAGAAAGTGTGAAAATTTTAACTTGGGTAGTATTGATAGCAACTACATAATTTTGAAAAAGAAAAACATCGTTGGCTTCCATCAACCAAAGAAAAAGAATGCTAGTTCTTTTGCGAGTACCGTACTGGTTGATAAAGAAACCTAAATGACTGAAAAATACTAAATAAATACCCGGTTCAATTTTGACTATTGATAGTGGCTTGGTTTTGTTCTTGTCTACATAGAGAGAGATTGTTTTATCAAGGGGATCTAGAAGTTCTTGGGTAGTTAGATCTTCTAAATCTATCAGTTCAAAATCATTGGAGGCAATGGCTATATGCGTGCCAAATAAGGCTATTGAGTTAATGTCACCGGCCATGTACATACGGCGATAAGTCTCTTTGTTCAATGAAGATTCCGTGGCATTCATGAGAAGTTTGTAGACAAACAGTTCTTCCGAGCCTAAGAAACCTACCTGCTTGACCACTAGGTAGTCAATTGGATCGGTATTATCGGCTAGCTGGCACTGGTCAAGAAAGAAGGATGAAACGGATCCAGATAAACGTTTCAAGCTAAGATTGGCCAAATCTTCATGGATAATGGTGTAGTACAACGTGCGGAGACTGCGAAAGAAAAGAGTATTAAGATGGGCGACATACCAGACTTGGTTGGTCTCTTTGCTAGAAATAGTCGCTGTTTGGGCTGGTGTTATGATAGATAGGCCGGTAGTACAGCCTAGAGCTAAATCTCCAATAGCGGTAATGGAAAGTTCTTCCTCGGGTGCGTAGTTAGGATTAGGACGTATGACAGCTAGGGAAACGTTCTCACCAGGTGGGTTTAGTTCTAGTTGTTGCACAGTAATCGGAATAAACTTATCCTTTTCCACGGCGATCGTATCAACAATGTCTTTGCACATACCTTCAAGCAACCATTCAGCTCCTTCTAAACAGTAAGTCTGGTCTTTACAGCTAATTAAGAGTTGGTAAATATCACCAGTGACTGGATGTTTAACTAGTTCAGCGGTGATATTGTTTAAAGGCATAAACCCATTAAGGATCTTCTTTTCATAGACGTTCTGGTGATTGGCAGTTGAACTGGAGGCCGTCCGAATAATATTATACAAGATAAACATACAATTATCTAGGAGCACCACTGTAACGGACTGTTTAGACCGATCGGCCTGTAAAGTCATTTCTTCCAGGCGAATGAGTTTCCGGTCCTTCTGCATAATCCCAGCTGAGACTTGGTTATGTGTGTCACGAATATTAGAAGTATGCACTAAATGGTAGAGCGTAAAGTAATTGGCAGAGTACTGGACATTTTGGTTAACCATGATATTGATCTGCTGGATGGCCTGACTTGTCTCTTCAAGAATGTTTACTTCATTCTCACGTGCTTTCTTGTGGATAGCCTGCAACAACAAAGGGTATCGGGCAATCTTCTGCATTGGCCGCATAATAAAGTGCGAGTACCCCAGATGCAATCGGTTCATCCGCATCAGTACTTCAGAAGCCTCACTATCAAAAGCCGGATTCTCACCTAATAATCTCTCCATATCCCCAGTAGCTTGGGGCACCCGATTAGCATACTCAGAATAGATCTGCAACATTCTTGCCTTGCGCTTGATAATGGCCGAACATACTTCCTCAACCTGCTCAGTCGAGATTTCCATAGCTAAGAAGACTTCCTTCGGTGTATTCCGGGCCATGGAAAAGGTCGTGCACATTACTTGAAAGATCTCATCGTGAAGATCAAAGATAGATTGTGAATTAAGCATCACATTAGAAATAAAGACTTGCTTGTTATATGTCGAAAGGTTGGAAGTATTGACTACCAAGTGCTTGAAAGTCCTCGTCCATAAAATCAAATCATAAGTATACTCCGCCTCCGACTGAAAGAGTTCAAGCAAAGCTTGCATCCTCTTTGCCTCGTTCTTTGTATTGGATATAGTACTCATACTCATATACACAGTTTGTTTATTTACTCTCTGCTACTCTTTCTTTTAAGACGAGAAGCTTTTCGCCCGTTTTCGGATCTGTTCTTATGTTGCACATGCGTTTAATAAGTAGGCGAAGAGTCTCTTTACTGCCTGGATGGGCCTTAAACCGGCTTTTGAATTTTTCGATAAGCGTCTTAATTAACATTGGACCGGAGTATAAGTGCATTTTAACATCTAATTCGGTGATTTCAGAAGTAGGAGTTTCGGATATTTCGGTTTTAGGACCTTCAGTTGAAGTGCCATTGGAATCATCCGATTGGGTCTTCTCGTAGTTTTTGACTAGTTTTTTGAGATCTTTACCGGATGAGTCGAGTTTCTTCTTGCGCGCACTTTCTCCTTTTTCAGGACTGATATCTCCCTCATCGTCATCATCAAAGACTTCTTTGTACTCAAACTCATCGTCTTTGTACTCCTCCGTATCATTACGAGTATGTTCAGCTGGTCCGGTATCTTTGAACCTTCTTTGCATCTTCTCTTCGGCCTCTTCTAAGGTAAGAGTTTCGTACTGGATCTTAGGGGAGAACTTGTACCACTTGCGAATGCGATAGAATTTGATTTCGTTCTTCTCTTGAACCATGGCATAGTAAGTGCAGGGGTAGTCTTCAGTGATACGAGTTTGCATGGGATGACCTACAAAGGCGCGTTGTTCACTATCTTCTAGTAACCAGGGAATTCTTTCTTCTTTATGTTCTCTTTCTTCTTCGGGTTCTTGATACTCGAGAATCTCGGCTTTTTTCCGATTGATCTTAGGTGGATTGATAGGAGCGGGCTCTTCATCTTCAATGATAAGTGCAGGATCTCTTTGGAGATACAAAGGAGGAACTAAATCATCACCCATATTTTGAATAGTAGCAATGTTTTTATCTAGTAGATTGTTAATGATAACTCGCTTCATGACGGAATCGGACTGAATATGACAAAATTTAATTACTATAAATGGACATCTTTGAGTTATAGGTTGATTTTGGATAGATTGGATTGAGTTTGGGTTGAGTTTGTGTTAGTATTGGGTGGATTAAGGTTGGTTGTGTTGTGATTTGGGTGGTTGAGGTTGATTTGTGTTGTGATTTGGCTGGTTTGAGATGGTTTGAGATGAGTTAGTTTGGTGAGGAGTAGATTGGAATTTAAACTCTAATTTAAGTCTGCTTGAATTTTGAAATGAAGTCTTGTCTTTGGGGTTTTAGTTTCATATTGGGTTGAGTTTGGATTGAGTTGAGTTGGGTTTGGACTTAGTTAGTATTAGGTTTGAGTTAGAATTGGGATTGAGTTAGTATTGAGTCATGCTGATGTTGAGGTAGCACTTGGTAGTTAGATAGGATGTTAGATAAGACTTATAGTATTTTGATGTTGAGGTAGTAGATAGTTGGGCTTTTATTAGTACTTGGATTAGATAGAGATTGTGTGCTTGTTTGGTGCTGGGGAGAATAAACAATAGAAGATAATAACGGAGTAGTTGGATTGAGTTTGTATGGGATAGATTAATGTTGTTTGTTTATGAGTAATCGGCGGAGGAAAGAGCGATGGATGGCTCTACTAGGGTGTGTGCCCCCGCAAATGAGTAGATCTCAGTTTTTGGAGGAAAGGAAAGGGCTGTATGATAGTTACTTGGTGGCGGCTGAAAAAACAGTTCCTAGTGCAACAATATCTCTGATTAAGAAAGATATTGAACGAACTAGAATAGTCCAGGGCGGTGCGGAAATGAATAATGACTTTGTACAGGAAAGGAAAGAAGCTATTGAAAGAGTCCTCATGGTTTATGCACTGACCAATAAAACTATTGGCTACGTACAGGGCATGAATTGGATCTGTGCAATTGTTCATTATGTAATGATTAGTGGTGGTGAAGATGCGTACGCTGAGTCTTTAACTTACTTCTGCTTCTTTGGGATCATGGTAGATATGGGCGATCTATTCTCTGAGAAAATGGACGTATCAGCCCTAGGAATGAGCGGCCAAACCGAAGCCATCCTTGCTATTCTGCAACAGAATGATACACAACTATACCAGGCACTACATGATATGGATATTTTCCATCTATCAGCCTTTCATTTGCGCTGGATGTTCTTGTTATTTGCTGGTGAACTACCACTCTCCGAAACTCTTTGTTTATGGGACCGATTATTTCAAGAACGACCCATACACCGGTTTCTTCCCTTCTTCTGTGCTGCCGTTCTTATTCAAATGCGAAACCAACTAATGGGCCGGGTTGTACATGATGCCTTACTATTACTGCAAAAACCAAAGATAGACATTCAACTATCACTCAAAAGAGCCGAAAAGATGATGAGGAAAGTCAAAACAAATAAATAAGGTCTATTGTTTGTTTGTATGAAGGAGGCAGAGACTAAAAGAGTACAGAAAGGAACAAGGGAGGTTTCGTTTGTTCTGGACTATCTTATCTCTAAATGTTACATTGAGACTTTGAAGCAAATGCAACCTACGGATGAAGCCAAAGTAGCTCTGCGCCACCAGATCAAAACCTGGATCCTAGCCGGTGAAACCGAAAAGGCACAAGTTCTACTGGACAAAGAACTCCCCAAACTACTCCAAGAGAATCAGGAACTTGCATCTCAGCTGAACACTCAGACCTTCATTGAACTCGTTCGCAAAGACGAGCCTGAGAAGGCCCTGGTCTTTGGCCGGGCTTGTATTCAGCAGGGCCAGAACATTATGCAAACTGATAATCTCTTTCTTCTGCTGGCCTACAAGAATCCAGAAGAGTGCAGTGTTTCTAAGGACTTTCTGAGTTTAGAAAGACGCGATACACTCTTTGCTGCTATCGATGCAGCCGTTAAAGGTAAGTTAAATAGGTCTAATTTTAAGAAAAGCTATATGGAAGAAGATCTTCACTACTTGAATCTTGTGCGCAGATTAGGGAAATCGCAGAGTGGCTCAAGAAGTCCGAATAAAGTCATCAATGGCCATCTTGTTTTTTTATGGTCAAGTTTAAGCTGAAAGGAGAACATTACATTGTTTATCCCGAATTTGCCGTTATAGTTAGAGATGCCATGCAAGAGAAAGGTGAAGGTGAGGTCAAAATCCCAGTTCATAAAATCGGCGAATTAGTAAGCACTCTAATTCGTGAAAAACAGTGTAGTATTGAAGAATATGCTGAGATTAATGGCCGGGATATCTGCATTCGCCAGGCCTCACCCGGTAACTGGTCTGAATTTGCAGAGTATTTGGTTGGTGATTCTGACTTATCGCGTGTAGGAGGGATTATAGTGCAATGGGATAGTGCAGGAGCGACTATTTCGTTATCATCAGTTTGTACTTTTGAAAAAACCGTTATCTATTTTGAATTCCGAGATACAGAGATTTTCTCTAATCTGGTTCATGTTCTCTACGAACAGAACATTAAAGAGGTTGTTTATAAAGATAAGGCTTTAGAAAAGCTCTTAGTAGCTATGGGCATAGCCCATCACTGCTTATCTAAACACCCCAAAGGAGAAACCTTAGCTGAGAAAGCTACCGGTCTAATTGAAGACTTCTTTAACCTCAGAACAAATACCTATACCCAATCAACCGGTCAAATGTCCAACTCATTGCGCATGGACGGCTGGGCAGCTAAATCCCTTCTTGAAGGCGAAGTCAATCTCTGGGATGAGATAAGGTGCACAACCGTACAAGGCAGAAGACTCTTACGCGTGTTCATTCGACTACCTCTAATTTGCCGTGACGAAATTGAAAGAAGACACTCCATTGTCGAAGAGATGCTTGATTATGCCGAAAGTATCAAGAAACAACTAGCTCGTACTCCTGATATTTTAGTGATCTGTAAAAAGCTGGCTAAAACCACTATCTCCATCCAGGATGTTTTGAAAATCACTACTACCCTTACTAAAGCCACTCAGATCTTAGATACAGTTTCATTTATCAAAAGTCTTGAACCCGAGATAAATACACTTAAAGGATCTTGCTCGGCCTGTGAAGAAGTCTTAGCCATGATCGATCGTGCCATTGACCCAACCACCCAAGAAATCCGAGCCAACCAATCGATCAAACTCGCCGATCTCTACACGGCCAAGCAAGAGGTCGAAAAAGAAATCCTCCTGACCTACAACCAGGCAGTTCAAGCCAAGAACCTTCAAAAAGCCAAAGTCAAACTAGAAACTAATTCCATCTACGGCTACCATATGAAAATCCCCAGAACTGAAGGGGCAATCCTTACCGGCACCGACTTTATTCAACTCTCCGCCCAGAAGGCCGGTATCTTCTTCACAACCATCCGACTCAAACAACTAGATGCCAAGCTTAAAACCATTACAGCCGACATTCAAACTGAAGCCGATAAAATCCTCCAAGACCTTCGTAGTAGTATCAATGCATACCGTAGTTGGCTTGAAGTCATCAACCATATGTTTGCCCTTATTGATGTTTTCGCCAGTCTAGCCGAGTTTGCCAAAACCAATGGGTTCATTCGTCCTACGTTCACCACTTCCGAATACAATGTCCAAGGTGTCTACCACCCTCTTCTCCCGGCCATTCACCGCCGCCAAAGTTCCCAAGGCCGGCATCCACCCGAACTTACCAAAAACGATCTCCAACTAACCGCCACTAAATTCTGTGTCTTAACCGGTCCTAATATGGGCGGCAAAACCACCTTCTTAAAAACCATCGCCATGATAACTCTACTGGCCCAAATGGGTTCTTTTATTCCCGCTGATTCAGCCCATATTCCCATCTTTAATTCACTCTTTATTAGAATTGGTGCCGCTGACTCCCCAGAGAAGAACATCAGTACTTTCATGGCCGAAATGAACGATGTCTCCAAAATCCTCAATGAAGCCGACCAGCACTCTCTAGTCATTATTGATGAACTCGGTCGTGGCACCAGTGATGCCGATGGATACGCTATCGCCCAAGCCGCCACCGAACATATTCTCTCACTTGGAGCCACCACTCTCTTCGCTACCCATTTCTACGACATCTGCCATATCCCCGGTGTCTGCAACAAACAAGTCAGTTGTATCCTAACCGATACTACAGCTATTATGACCTATAAAGTTGAAGATGGAATCGGCCAAGGCTCATACGGATTAAATGTCGCCAAATATGTCGGATTTCCTAAAAAGGTAATTGAGATAGCCGAAAACATTTTGAATCAACAAAACGACTAGATAAGCCCAATCGCAAAAATTTTCTAAATGGCCAAGTCTACACTTGTTTCTGTTTTACATAACTTCGAATTTCCAATGTACTGTAATGTCCTAGAGGTCTCAAATGACCAGGAAACCATAATAGCTTCTGGTGGGTACAAACCCTGTATCGCCGCATTTGATCTAATCGACCATACGCCTAAATTTGAACGAAATATAGATGATGAGGTCATCAGAATTTCCATATTAGGCAATGATTGGAAGAAATTAGCACTTCTACATAAAGCCGGCAAAATAGAGTTTCATTCACAGTACGGCCATCATCATACAATTGAACTACCCAATGAATGTCGAGATATGAAAGCCGATCTTAGTAGAGGTGAAATTCTCACCGTTGGCAAAAGACCTTCAATCTACCGCTTCAGTACTAGTGCCGGCAAGTTACTTAATCCTCTACCCACTACTTTAACTAGTATTGAATCTATTTCCCTAAGTAATATTCATTCTCTCTATGCACTAACAGCTGAACAAGGTCAGTGTGAGTTTATTGATGCACGATCGGGTCAAAGTATTAAGCCATTTAACTTACCAACTGAATCAGCTACTGCCTCGGCCTTTTCACCCGATGGCATCTTTTTAGCCGTTGGTACTTATGAAGGCACTGTCTCTCTTTTTGATCTGCGTAGTAATACTCCACTTTTAGTTAAGGATCATAATTATGACTTTCCCATCAGTAAAATAAGTATTCAAAAGACCAATGTAGTTTCTTTAGATAAGAAAGGTCTGAAAGTTTGGGATAAGTTTTCCTCCAAAACTCTAGCTACAGTTGAACCCGATTTTACTCTAGCTGATTTTACTCTTTCCCAAGGTATTGTCTTCCTCGGCGGTGATTCACCTACTATGAAAACCTTCTATGTCCCAGCCCTAGGCCCATTCCCTAAATGGTGCAGCCATCTAGAAGGCACAACCGAAGAAATGGCCGAAGCCGCCAAGGAAACATACTTTGACCACTATCGCTTCCTTACTGAAGACCAAATTGACCAACTCAATCTCAAGTCCGAAATTGGCCGTTCAATCAAACCGCATATGCACGGGTACCTAGTCCCAATTCCCCTCTATGAAACCAAAGTCCATCCCAATCCAATCTAATCTAATTTCAAGTTTATTATACTCTCATAACGTTATATTAGTCTAGTACGCCTTTAGTTTAATAAAATCTAATCTAATCTAATCTCAACTTTAGTTTAACTTCAGCTTAGTACAATTACAACTTGATATAATCTCAACTTTAGCCCAATCTAATACTAACCTAACTCAACCTAACCCAATCCAATACTAACTCAACTCAATCCAACCCAATCCAATCCAAACCCAATCTAAACTAATTCAAATTCAAATTCAAATTCAAATTCAATATAAAATTCCAATTATTTCCATATTTGGTATATAAACTACCCCAATCTAAGCAAAACTTTTAGCATGCAACCCGACCAAAAAGAAGATGCATATACAGTTCAGCTTGAAAACCGTCTTGCCCGTCTCTCTGGCCTTATGGGAGTCTTCCGTGAAAGAGTAGATTCTTTAGAAAAGACTGTCAAGTCTTTAGAAGACAAAGTATCTACTTATGCCCTTGAATTATCCAAAGCCTACAAAGAAACCAACCAACAATAGGTGCTATCTCACTACTTACTCAATCTAATACTACTTACTCATCTTAATCCTACTACTTACTCAATCTAATACTATTTTAAACCACTACTTACTCAATCTACTACTTACTCAATCTACTACTTACTCAACTTAACACCAACTCAACTCAATCTAATACTAACCCAATACTAACTACTCACTAATCTATAAATAGTATAATTAGCTATCATGTCTTTTTTAGTTATTTATGTCTGACTTTCTTACAGATGCGATTAGTCTTTATGGTACAATTGAACATGATATGAGACATTCAAAGGAGTATTTAGCTAATATCAAGTTCAATTATGTTGAGGTAATGCATAAGTATATCTTTCTTAAAGTGTTGCGTGGAGATATGAGTGAAGAGATTAGTTCTCAGAAAGAAGAGTTAGTTAAGAAGAAAGAAGAGATTGAGAGATATAGAAGAAGTATCGAATCCTTATCAGCTGATATTTCTAGAGCAACAAATACATTAGAAGATCAAAAACAAAAACTAAGTCAAATCAAAGAAAAGGAGTTTATCATTCGTAAACGTATAGAAGAAGCAATGAATAAGGCCCAAGCAGTAAGTCAGTTTGCTGAAATTAAACAGAAGAATAGTACATACTTGGCCCAGATAGCTAGTTGTACCTCTGAAATTGAGCAACGGCAAGTTAATATTCAGACGTATAAACGTTTAGTGGAGGAAAGAAACCGGGCTTTAGTTCAAACGAACAGTCGTAAGTCAGTGGCTGATGAACGACTTAAAGATTTGCAACAAGCAGCTAATCAGCAGATGGTTTACTTGTACAATTGGTATACTCAGTTTGGCTCGGTCTTTATGCGCTTAGTTGGGGCTAAGATTATTGATATTAGGAAGAGTGAACAGAAGAAGTTGCAGTCGATTTATAGTAGTACTGGGGAAGAGGTGCCTGATAGGGAAGAGAAGAGTAGTTTGATAAGCATTAAGATTTTGGCGAAGAAGAAGAATCGGACGGCTGTAATTACGTTGAGTTTTGTTAATGGGAAGTTAGATGCGCATACGATTTATAAGACAGAAGATACGTTGCAGATTAAGCCACAAGTATGTGATGAGTTATTTAGTTACTGCCAGACCACTAATAGTACCAAGTTCTTCTTGTTTGAGAGTATTAATCGGCAAATGGCTGATAATGTATCTTCTAGTTCAGTGTTTGATCAGCCATCACGAGTTACGCATCATGACTAGGTTTTGCAAGTACTAAACTGCCTAGGCTACAAACAGTAATTTGTTTAGTCAGTAATCGGTATGGCTTGCGTTTGTTTAACAACACAATAATCAATAAAGGGACTAATGTTAATGAGAGTATTTAAAACGAGTATCTGTTATTAAGGTGGTATTGGGTGGTGTTATATTAAGTTCAGTTTATTATCTTGCATTGAGTTGAGTTGGTGTGGTGTTAGTATTGGATTAGGGTGGTGTTAGGGTTGAATTAGGGTGGTGTTAGGATGGTTTGGCATTGGATTGAGTTGGTGTTAGGATTGGATTGGCTTGGTATTTTAGGAAGTAGGGAATAGGTGATAGAAAACATCACAGTGTTTGCGGTTGACGTATAAATCTATGGTTTTGGTGTATGTCATGAGGATTGGGATGATTATATATGAATTAAGTCCATGTTCGACTGTTAAAGATTGGGTTGTGGTATAATATAACTCTATTGGGAAGGTTGTGGTATCCGATAGATCATTGGCGGCTTCTTGTTGTGTATAGTAAGCGGCGGCTCTCATGGCGGTGGCTATGGTGAGCATACAATTGATACATTGAGTGAGTTCATTGAGGAGTGATTGGACTGGATTGCTGAAATGGTGGTTGGAAATAGTTGAGGTTATTGTTGTGGTAGATTGTTCGAGCTTAAAGAGGATGTTGTCGACTTCGTCTAAAATACTGCTGATGTTCTGGCGTTGTTTTAAAGATAGAGGAACAAGATAGGAAAGTAGGTCTATGTTAAAAAGAAGATCCATAATGGGTAAGTTGAGTTGGTAATGCTTGTGATAGTCCCGGGCCCATGGATACTTATACAGCCGGTTATAAAGTGCTTGGCAGCGCTCAGTAAATCCGCCAAAGTTATTATGGGCGGCAATGACTAAGATTATCTCTTTGGCTAGTGGAAATGAAGGCTTCTTTTGGTTGTTAGAATTACTTGTGCCTTGGTTATTTTCGGTTGCTTGCTTGCGATAGAACTCGTTATGCTTATTGACCAACTCTTTAATCACATGTGCTTCTAAGGTGGCAAGTTTCCAGGCATAGAGTTTTATCCCGTGCAGGATAATTCGTACCCAAAGTGCATCATACCCTTCTTGCTCGGCCAGAGAAAGCGCATCAGATGATAGGAACATAAAGAAGCCTATTGACGAGGCAAGTAACTTCTCAGCTCCTGCCACTTTTTCTTCCGGCTGTTCGTTGTAGGAGTTTTGAATAATAGATAAGACGAAGTTCTTAGTAGCTAAATCACTACGGGCAAGACTAGTCTGGGCACACACCCATTCAAAGACAGATTCGGCCTTTCTTAAATTCTCATTGTATATCACCTTAGGCCGATGTACATTAATGTAGAAGGTCACTCCCATATAAACAACACTTGTTACAACTACAATAGCTAGAACCCATACGCCAATCTTAATTATCTTGCTGGTCTTTAGTGCCATAATCTTATTTCAAAATTATCTTGACCCCTCTTTTTTATCTTAGTTTCGCTGACTCTCCAGTTACTATAGCGATTGTATCGATCGTGTGGGAATTTAACTGAACCAAACTGTTGGCTTGGTTTTAATCTAAAGTCTCTAGCACTTATTTGGGCTGATTGATATCTGTGCTGAATGAAACGATTTAGGAAGGGTTGTAGCTTTATAAGATCATTATACAATCAAATTGACATTCCTTATTATCTTCCAGGACAACTAGCACAGATAAGAAAAACACACACACATAAGCTAGTACATGAGCAACACAACTATCCCCCACCAATTAAAACTATGTTGTTAAGTGGATAGTTTACAATGACAACTAAGATGCTTATCGGGCGCAATAAAGATTAATATATGCTTTGAATTTAATAGTTGTTGTACCATAATCATGGTATGTAAATTGTGTCTTCTCAAATTGAGTTGGTATTGGGTTTAGGATGACTCATTATTGTCTCAGGACAATCCGGTATTTCTACCCTTGCCAATATGCTTTCTAACTTTGTGCAGAAGTTGCTGCTAATATCAAGGAAATCATCAAGGTTCTTCTTAAAGTCATGGCCTCCGTTTAGGGAGATACGGGTTGTATCATAAAGCTTCCAATTTACATTGACGGGTGTGTCAAAAGGTCTAATGGATCCATCGTCGTTCCAGATAAGGCTGTCAATTTGTACGAAGTTCTTCATCACCAGAAGGTAGTGATTAATTGCGCGGGTAAAATATCTATCCTGGCCACCATCTACAGCGCCAACACTGATAGGATATGTGTCCTTCTCGACTTGATATATGCCGCTAACAAGTCTATCTAAGAAAACACTAACGTCCCCAATGTCTGAACTATCCAAGGGCACAAAATGCATAGCTATCTCCAGGAAACCGATGTTCGCAATGATTGTCTTGAAGGGCTCTTGGGTTTGAAAATATGGTTGTGCCTTCATAGTTGTGAGAAGCTTTTGAATGATTGATCGGCATCTATCAATGTCTTCCATGCGACCGTGCGTTTTAGTGGTTGTGGCAATAAAGCTCTTTGCGGCTTGAATGGTCTGTTGTTCTCTTTCCGGACTATTTGCGTGAGTAGAGTCCTTAATCTTTGCTAATTGTTGGTTGATCTCGATTAGATCGTCAAGAGATGCCAACCGAGCAAAATATGCGCTGCTTATGCGAATAAACTCTATCCAAACATACATATATCGCTCTTCAATCTCCGTCGGAATTTCATCCTTCCATTTCCCAATAGGAAACAGCTCTTCTATCTTATTACGGAATTCGCCGCCTTGGCGGTCTTTATTGGAGTCTGATAGAATTCGGCTGTGTTTGGTGAGTAACTGGTGGAGCAGGGGCAACATAGATGTATCCATAATGTGGTGGTGGTTGTATTGGGCAAATAAAGGTAGATAATTCCTTAATATGATAAATTGTGCACAGAGCTGGCCGGACTCGGGTACAGGCATAGGTTGTGCCGGTAGAAATGATTGAAGTGATGCAGAACTAGCTTGGCTTGCTTGAGATATAACTTTAGATTGTGGAGGCTGAGATGGTTGAAACAGAGAAGTATTCTGAGCGAAGCATTTACGGCGTGTGAGATATACAGCATATATAAGCAGCACCGAAAGACATGTGATAACAATTAATGCGATAATTTTGATATAAGTGTTCTTGCGATGTGCCATATTGTATTAACAACCAAGTTTTTTATCTTTATAGTAATATCAAAACAATTCTCGATCATAATTCAAAACTAATACTAGTAGCCACATTTAGGGGGTCGAGGGGGAAATGACTCTTTTAATCAAGGCCATTCCAATACTAAGCCGAACTCCCCGTTCTCAGTTTATCTAATGGTCTTGGAGTTTATGGTGGGATTTATGGTGGGGTTGTGTTAGTATTGTATTGAGTACCGTGCTCGGCTTTCAAGAACGTATTGCACTCAAAAGTTCCTAGCCACTTGTCTTGGAACAACTTCATTGTTATCCACGCGTGCCGGTTTCTCATAAATGCTAGCTTTCTCGTGCACTTTTCGATATCTCTTCCTATTGGGTTAAATAGATAGTATCGCATTCTCAGAGATAAATATCAAAACATCCAGCCATCTATCCCTGATTAGCAGAGTTGTTTCTTGGTAAGGCCAGTTATAAACTACCGTTATTTATTCAAAATGCTCTTTATTTAAGCTTAAGGTTATGATTTCTTACATCTCCTATCTGTAGATATTGGTAGGTGAGCAATTAGCTATGATACAACATTTTGATATTCAAGACAATCTGTTCTTGAGGATCAATAAGTCGCTGTATAAGATAGACCTATCGACATTGACTTTCCATGTAACAATTTATGATCTATGGGCATACAACAACATGGTCATAATATGTAATAGCGCCCTCTAGATTTGAGTTAGTATTGGGTTTAGGAAACTCATTGTTATCTCACGGGTAACTCAGTGTCTGTGCAGTTTCCAATAACAAGTCTATCTCATCGCAGTACGCACGGCCATATTTGGTTAATAGTTCCATATTCTCCTCAAAGGTGATGTAATAACTCAAGAGACGTTCTGTTGGATAAACAAGAATCTTGCATATCGTGAGTATTATTAATGTTTTCCTAGTCGGATTGATACACACATAGTACTCCCAAATCTTTTGACTGAGTTCTAGGACTCTCTCCATAAGATTCATGCATTTACTAACTACGTCGGCAAGATCTATAGTAGGGGACAGCAAAGGATTTCTAATGGGTCCAAATATGTGTTCTTCAAATTCCTCGGGCATATTCTCAATATAAGTTAAGAAAGCGATAGCTTCGTTTGCTATACGACTACTTATGGGCATAAAATGCATAAATACGTCCAGGAAACCAATGTTCGCAGATATTACATTGAATGGGTCTCGGTTTTGAAAATATGGTCGTACCTTCATAATTCTGAGAAACCTTTGAATGATTGGTTGGTATCTATCAATGTCTTCCATGCGACCATGCGTTTTAGTGGTTGTGGCAATAAATCTCTTTGCGGCTTGAATGGTCTGTTGTTCTCTTTCCGGACTATTTGCTTGAGTAGAGTCCTTAATCTTTGCTAATTGTTGGTTGATCTCGATTAGATCGTCAAGAGATGCCACCCGAGCAAAATACGCACTGCTTATGCGAATAAACTCTATCCAAACATACATATATCGCTCTTCAATGTCCGTCGGAATTTCATTCTTCCATTTCCCAATAGGAAACAGCTCCTCTATCTTATTACGGAATTCGCCACCTTGGCGGTCTTTATTGGAGTCTGGTGGAATTTGACTGTGCTCTATGAGTAGCCGTAGAAGTAGTGTTAACACAGGTTTATAGGGATCAGAAAACAGATCAACGTCCTTGTTTAAGTATTTGTATTGTTGTGATAAGCTAAGATGTGTATTGGGCGGGCCGAACTCGAATGGAGGTCTATATTGGGTTAGTATAAATGATTGGAGAAATGTAGAACTAGTTTGGCCTACTTGAGATATAACTTTAAATTGCGGAGGCTGAGATGATTGAAACAGAGGAGTATTCTGAGCGAAATATGTGCGGTGTATGAGATATCCAGCATATATAAGCAGCACAGAAAGGCCAACGATAACAATTAATGCGATAATTTTGATATATGAGTTCTTGCGATAGGCCATATTGTATTAACAACCAAGTTTTTTATCTTTATAGTAATATCAAAACAATTCTCGATCATAATTCAAAACTAAGACTAGCTGCCAAATTTATGGGGTCGAAGGTAAAATGACGTCATACTCAAATTTGAATAATCCCGGAGTATTAGTTAAATTTTGATATGGTCTGAATTATCTACTAACCCAATACTAATGCGATAGTGTCATGAAATTGTGCGTGCAATGTACGGGTGCAGTCGCCCAGTAAATAAACGATTTAGTGTGAGAAAAGAGTAGTGGTTGTGTAACGCCACTACACCAATTATAGTGCCCATGGGTAGGATAATTTCCTGTAACTAATACAAATTCCATCAGAGACATGCCTCGATACGACATGCGTGAACCTTTATTAAATGTTGACAAGGTCGGATGCGAAAATGACGTCATATCAAATTTTAGTGTGAATCCCGGGGTATGTGATAAAATTTGATATAACCGGAATTCTCTACTAAAGTTACGGGTAACGATAGTGTCCGAGAATTGTAGATGCGGTGTGCGGGTGCGATCAACAATAAATAAACGATTTGTAGTGGAATAAGAGTAGTGGTTGTGTAACGGCACTACACCAATACTAACTCAAAACTTCTGAGCTGCTAAGCAAGGAGGACTATGAATTCTCATACACAACAACAGTCTATCTTTATTTATAATTGTGGTATCTGAGATACCCACTACATTCTTGACCAGCGACCATAAAGCATAGAAGATAGGGGGTTTATATCTGTCCTCATTTTTAAACGAGTTTACTACAGGGGCAAAGAACTTGACTATTTATCGAAAGTTTTGAAAAGGATTCATGAAAAAAGCTTTGAATTTGATATCATAATGTTCAGATATAAATACACATTGGAATGGAAAATTATCCAAAAATGGCCAAAAGCAGAAGAAGTAATGAAACATCGATAAGAAGAAGCAACTCGAGTGCTCCTAAGAGCTCGTATCGAAGTCGACGTGAAACCAGAATTTCAGGGAGATCAAATGTAGAATCTACGGTGCCTATTTGCCTGAGCAAAAGCGGAGTGCCAGCAGGAACAACGATGTCTTTAGTTGAGTACTACAGATTTAAAGGCAGTTATTCTTCTCCTGAGCATGGCGATAGTACGGTGTCTCTCTCGATATGGAACCTTGAGCTAACAAAAACCCAACCTAACAACTGAAAGACCTCTTTATTTGCGATAGTTCGTGCATCATAACAATTGATACTCTTGTGCTTGTATTTCTTTATTCTGGTTTGCCACAACCCAAATGTACTTGCTGATACCGCGTAATATAGTTTCTAAATCTACCAAGCCAAATCTAAGATCAGACTTACTAATCTAATACTAACCTAATCTTAGCTCAATTAAGTCCTGAATGTAAACTGGTTGGAAGATACTCTCTAGTCTCATATTAGAACTGGTTGAAATTATCTAGTCTCATATTATTATTATCGCCACTGCTTGATGCAGTTTCATTCTCTTTACTGTATATGTAGTATAACGTGCTATTATGAGCTAGAATTGTACTTATGTATCTTTAGAATGGATGCCCGTGGAGAGAAGACGCGTTTGAAATGGAAGAGGGTTTAGTATGGTTTCCTTGTAGGCATTGGATTAGTTGTGTAATCTCTTTGATGATTTGTGTTGACTTTATTCTTTTAATATTTGTCTGTGATCATTTGATTTGGATTAGTATTTGAGTTAGTATTTGTTGTAACAATTTGGGTGCTTTACATTTAATATTCAACGGTTTTTCTAGCTCCTCTGTTCTGTTAAATTGCTTTGTTTAACAGTGCTAGTCTTTCTTTGAAGGTTTATACCATTAATTGGGCTAGGAGGTTGGTATTGGTATGTAGATGTAAGCATAACTGGTGTGTTAGTGCAAATGAATAAAGGTGGGGTTTCAATTAGTGTTTTGATATAGGTGAGAGGGAAGGAATGTGATTATTTGGGTTGTAAGCCAGTTTTCAAGCCTTCCTTAGTTGTTGTGCTTATGCTGGAGTTGTTTTGATGGGCTTAATCAAGATACACCCAGTATCTACAAAGAATAACATTTATTGGTTTGAATAGAGTTTAGATTATTGTGCTGGTTGGACTGAAAGGTCTGGTTGTTGCTCCACTTCATCGGCAGAACGACTGTTAAGAGGGGGCACTGGTGTGCGTCGAAATTTCATCTTTGAGACAGGTTCTTCGAAGAATCGGGTTTGGAAGTACGAAAGAGACCACCAAACTCCCGAGGCAATGTAGAGTGCCAAAAGAACATCTATTGTATAGTGGAGACGAGCTACTGTAATAAATATCAGCACCATAATTGTGTAGGCCCAGGCCAGTAATCCAGTTATCCAGTGAAGTGCATACGAGTCCGTTATCAGGTAAAAAGAAGACCAGGCATGTGCAAACAACACAATAAGCATAGTATGCCCACTGAAAATCAAATCCCCACCTCTATCACGGCCAAAATGGGCGTAGGTGTCTTCCACCGTCCGCGTGCCCATATTCCAAGAATCCGGCAAACTCGTGACCAATAACGTTGACACTCGAAGCAAATAAGAGATAATAATTGCAATCATAAGTTTCAGGGCAATGAATATGGCCAGGGGATTAAGAACAATAACCACAGCTGTCACTGCGCAAAAAGGAATCAATAAAGAATCAACCGTGTTGTTATATGCTGTAGTATAAGCCGTTACATTAAAGAACTCGCACACAAGATCTTGTAACGGATGGCTGTATGCCTTAACAGGTGCCCAAAATGACGCAATATTAGCCGCAACATTCACAAAGAAGAGAGTTAGCAAAAGCAAAATTACTGTGCCAATTACCGTCACAACTTTAGGACCTGTAAGGTGATATCTATTGATGACCCAATCGGCACTGTCTCTAAATACTCCCCTGTTCATTATACAATTTATGAGCAGAGTCTATATATTGAAATATCGATGCAATCTAAGAATTTCGATCATTTATTGGGCCAAAAAGTCTAATGTGGATATAATCATGAACTAATCGCAGCCAATAATTGGTGGATCAAAAATACACTAATATCCAATTAGAACAGCCTAATTAAATAATCATTTATCAGTTTGGCAATCACAATAACCCCATGATTATTCAGCTTCAAACAATCAACAGACGAGTAAATTGGATTAGTATTGGGTTAGTTGGGGTTTTGCTAGTTTTACACTGTCAAGCCAGCACCTTAGAATACTTAGCCAAGACTTTAGACTTCCCTTGGGCCCAAGCCGTACAAGACCTGCTAGACACAAACAGTCTCAGTTCTTATCACAGCGAGATATGTGCAGTAAATCTACCTAAAGATCCATTGACTCCAGCAGCTAAAGAGGCATTCAACAGAGATGGATTCTATGAACTTCTTTTTGGAGCCAAGTATGCACACCGGGCCAAGTACACAACATTCCAACTAGTAAAGCTCTTCCAACCCAACGGATTAAACTGGATTGAGCAAAGTCCGGAAAACATTCTTGATATACTTATGCTGTTTGCCGTACTGAATCAAAAGAGAAACATCGATCAATTAGTCACAAGCACTAACAAGTTGCCCATTCATACTTTCCTTAGCAATCTCGCTCTACTCATTTTTAACTACCAAGCATCCCATTCCGACTTCACCAAGAAAATAGAGCTAGTTTGCCTTAAACCCCCACAGCCTACTTCTGATAAGCAATCAGCAAAATCCACCAATCCCAAACCATCCACGCCCATCCCTTTCCTAACAAATCAGTCTCTTATCTCTAATGAGGCATGTCTTGCCGCCTTACGTACTAGCTCTATAATCAACTACGTCCATCCACTAAACATACGCCTTCATATGCTAGGCATCAACTACAACTACACCAAATCAACAAATGCCTTTATTGTATTTAAGCACCTTGCCAACAACGAAGACGAACCTCGCATCAAAAACTTACCTTTTGTTACTGCAATCAACCACAACACATTCCAAACAGCCCACATCTTACTACATGCCCAGCCAAAACATGACTGCACCATAATTACAGATCAGGCCAATAAGGAAACATTCACAAAAATCTTAGGCCAATTCCGCCAAGGCATAGACCTAGATAAGACATTCAATTGGATTATAACCGAAGATGACTCCTACAGCGCAAACACAGTTAAATCTAACCCACAGCCCACAAAGAAAACAAAGCTACTTACACGTCTAAAAGGCAGATCAACTTAACTTAACTCAACATAACTCAACCCAAATACTAACTCAACATAACTCAAATACTAACTCAACTCAAATACTAACTCAAGTAGAGTGTTCTGAGCTGCCAAAGAATAACACAACGGTTTCATACATCCCAGGATTGTATACAGTAATCGAACTATCTCGGAATAAGACTGCACTTGCTTTCAAAACCTTCCCTACATATTCATTATTACGATACATGTATTCCTGATCTACCAGTGATTGATCAACAATACCTTCTACCAATAAAGATCCTTTCAAAATATAGTACATCCGACCCCTCGGCAATCTTATTCTCTTCCGAGACAAAATAGTAATCTTTCCCAAGTAACCCGGTAAATCAGACAAAAACACACCATTATCCATATCCTTAGTTTGTGATATACAACTAATTCCACTATCTTCTCTTTTCTCTCTTTTCTCTTTCACTTCTTTCTTAGCACTACTCACAACTAACTCAGCCGATTTTTTCAAACCTTCCTTACTCGGTCGTCCTCTACCTCGTGGTACTTCCTTCTCTACAATCTTTACTTTGTTCTCCCCTATCTTATCTTTCACCTTATCTTTTACCTTATCTTTTGTTTTGATTTTTTCACTTACATCTATCTTCTTTAGTATTTCACCTTCTGTTCGTTTAAGAGCAGCCATTCTTTTCCTTTTGGGTGCATTCTGACTTAATTCAGTCTCAGATTCACTTGGCTCACTAACTTCCTTATCTCTGTTTTGACTATTCCGTCCTCTTTTCTGCAGTAAAACTTCCTTAATTTCAGCTGAAATCCCACTTGATTTTCTTCCAGTCTTAACTTGCCTACTATTCTGACTATCCATCTCTTGTTTACTCTTCAGATTTACTCGACCCAAGCCTAATCTTCCTTTCTTCCCTTCTCTTGATTCAGATAAAGAGTTAGATAAAGAGTTAGATAAAGAATTAGATGAAGAATCAGAAAATCCATAAAGTGTCGCATTATCTAACTTTTTATCAAAATCAGCATCAAAACTTTTCCTAAGTATTTCTTTTGATTCTCTCCCTATCTCTTCTCTTTTCTTTAAATCTATCTTTTTCTTTCCTTTTAAGGTAGTTGTAGCAAAAATCTTGGCATTAATCATCTCCTGACTTATTTCCCCACTTATTTTACTACCCAAAGACTTCCTTCCTATCTCACTCTCTACACTATCTTCATTATTTCCTATCTCACTATTTCCTATCTCACTATTTCTTATCTCTTCACTATCCACACTATCTTCATTATTTACTATCTCACTATTTCTTATCTCTACACCCCCTCTACTATCTACACCCCCTCTACGATCTCTACTATCTACACTACCTACACCACATACACCATCTACACCATCTACACCTAAACCCACTCTTATCTGCTCAAGTGAGATATCTTCATAATCGGCCAACTCCATCTTCTTTAACTCTTTAGTAGCCATAAGCCAATAAGAATCAATATTCTCCATAGAATCATCATCAATACTAACATGCCGATCTGATTCACAACGAGATTGGGCTAAAATTTCCAAAATAGGAGATTTAGCTGGTTTTTGACTTGGAATTGAAGTGTAATTCTGGTTATTTCCTTTCATGGATGTTATTTTCGCCAAAATATTTTAGCCCATGAAAATATTGGCCGATGTCTGTAGTTTAGTTGAGATAGATCCAAAAGGCAAGATGTTTGATGACGTATCTCGTGGTATCTTAAAAAGTGACCAAACAACATTTCATATTGATTTTCATACGGGTTTACTTAAATGTAAAAAGATGGATAAATTAGAGATAGCGATTTTTTCTAATGATAATAAGTTTAATGAAAGTAATATTCCAGATAAGTATAACTATTTAATGGGTAATGGGGTTGTTTATAAACGAGATATTAAAGATGGGGTTTATGTAGTAGATATGTCATTTTCAGGGTTATTAGTGCAGATAAGTCAATCTACACCCATCACTAAAGAACTAGAGGAGGAGAAGAGGTTTTACTTGGGGATAGCTGCCTTGTAATTGCTTTTGATTGGAGTTAAGTGGATTGCCGTAATAAACTATGTTGATTTAGTATTGATATTGGGTGGTTGTTATTTTGAAATTAGATAGTAGATAGTAGTTGTTATTTTGAAGTTAGATATCAGTTGGTATTTTGAAATTAGATAGTAGTTAGTCGTTAGTAGTTGTTATTTTGAAAATAGATAGTAATTAGTAGATAGTAACTAGTAGATAGTAGTAGTTGTTATGTTGAAATTAGATATCAGTTGGTAGATAGTAGTAGTTGTTATGTTGAAATTAGATAGTAGTTAGTAGATATAAATAGTAGTAATTAGCAACTGGAGTGCTAGAGGTACTTGGTGCAGGCATAGGTATTGATGAGGGCGAACATGGCGGCGGCAGCCATGATGGAGTAGCCGATATGGGCAAAGACGGCACCGAGAGGACCGATGTTAGTAATGAGAATGAAGGCTCGAGATGGTTCAGGATGGTTGCTTGTCTTTTCAACTACAAGAGTATATGTTCCGGCTGGAAGAGGTTCTATTTCGGCTACTTTGGTAAGGGCACTACGGAAAGAAGAGGGATTCTTCCATTCAAGGAAGCTGGTGTTTTCTTGGTCGGAAAGAGTATGAGTAAGATTGGTGGGAATAGGGTAGGAGTTTTGGTGGTTGTCGTAAAGAGTGTACTTATCTCGTGGGTAAGTGCCTCTGACTAGTCCGGCGGGATAGATCCATTGACCGTTTTCAAGATAAGGCTCAACATTGGGAGTATTGGGATTATCTAGGTTGTAGTTGGCGCGATAGGCCAAGTGAGTTTGAGGCATGTTTTTGACTTGGGTATAGATATAGACATTAGATTGAGTGGGACGATAAAGCTTGAATTCGTAGGAACAATGATTGCCAATGCAACGGCCGTAATCAATCTGGATCTTGACTAGACGAGGGTAGAAAGAAAGAGCGAGAGCGATACCGACTACTAGCACTAAAGAGTAGATTGCACCGATATAGAGCTTTTTTTCAGGAGAGACTCTAAGCCGGTATGTTTTCATGCGTTGTTCAGCGATATCACGATAACGAGCTATGGCGACATCTTTAATAATGGTAAATAAAGTAGCCATAGTAGAACTAGACATCAAAATAAAATTGATCAAATTATTAGATTGCTGTAAGAAGTGATTGGGTTTGTTTATGTTAAAATAAAGGTTAGTATTGAGTTGGTATTGGTGGTAGTGTTAGTATTGAGTTGATATTGGTGGTAGTGTTAGTAGGGTTGTTAGTGGTGGGGTGATTAAATGGTGGTTGGTGGTTGGAAGAGATTGTTGAAGTTTTGGTTGGTAATTTGAATGATTTCGGCGGGAGATACTTCTTTGATGCTGGCAATGATATCAATGACTTGGTATAGGTTGAGGGGCTCATTTCTTCCTTTGTAGCCTAGTTCGGGACTCCATGTCTTTTTGGCTGGTAAGTATTCTTGTGTGCTGTTGTAGTAGGGTGAAGTCTTTCTTATGCTACACCATGGAGCATCGGTTTCGACTAGTAATCGAGTGAGGTCTAGTTCTTCAATGACTTTGGTCTCTGGGTTTTCTCGAATGGAGGCGCCGTTTATGCCGATGTAGAAGCCTTTACTGGTCAAAACATGCATTTCTTCAAGTGTGCCTGTGAAAGAATGAACAACACCTCGGATTTGGTAGTTGCTAATGAGATCTAAAAAGTCGTCTTGACAGTCGCGATAGTGGAGTAGGTAGGGAAGTGGTGAGAGTTTGGACAGTTCAAGCATTGCCTGAAAGACTTCTCTTTGGGTTTCGCGTGGGGAATAGTCTCGGAAATAGTCCAGACCAACCTCTCCAATAGCAATTATTCGCTGGCTGGTTGGGTTAGTACTGGTAACAATAGATTGAACTTGGTCGCGAAGTAAATGGGTATATGTTTTGGGAGAAGTGCCTGTTAGAAGTTGCTGGATGGCTAAAATGTCCTTGGGAGTGCATTCTGTAGTGCTCCCGGGATGAATACCGATTGTAGCAAACTGGTCGTACTGTTCGGCTAAGTAGATACTTTCAATTGATGTGGAAAGTGACGTACCGAGGAAGACCATCTGGATTTCTTTGGCTCGGGCTCGTTCAACCACTTGGGGAATGTCGCATATGTGCTTGGTTTTTTGGTAGTATTCACCTAGATACTGGTTATCCGTAATATTTACGGCAATGTCAAAGACCATTTTGGGGTTAAAGAAGTCATTCTTAAAACTAATCTGTTTATTCCATTTGGGTTAGCCTAAACTGATACTTGGATTTGTGTTGTGTTAGTATTTGGGTTAGTAAATCTTATGGTGCCTGAAACCGATCTGAGGATGATAGTCCCGCGCAAGTATCTGCTTTATGGTCTTGAACCGCATAATGTCGTTAGTATTAATTGGGCTAGAAGATCTCAACTCTGCTAATACGAATAAAGAGAGAAGAGATACCGGCCCGGCTCTGCCTTCGGTTCATTACTACTGGCTTAGAGAGTATTACTCCCTAGGACATGTCATAGTGCTATTATAGGTCAGCTGGTTCTTTAAATATCTTGCTCTTTAGGTATCTAATTATGTGTATCAGTGTCTTATGGTTGAATTGGATTGAGTAGGAGTAATTATGACGTTATTGAGGTGTTAGATCGAGAGTAAGAGGTAGTCTATACAAGGTACGTGTATCATATCTATTTATTTTTGAGAATTTACATTGACATGACTGAATCTAATTCTCGTTTGGCGGCTATCTTGGCTGGATTGAATATTGTGCCTAATAAGGACATTACAATCGAAGAGGACGAATATGGTAATATTTTTGTTGTGAAAATGCCGATAGATATTAAACCAACCTATGAGCTAGGTATTGATGAGGCCGGAAGAGGGCCACTGGCTGGACACTTGGTCTACACGGCTTTGTTTTGGGAGGCATCACCGATCACTCATTATCGAGATTCCAAGTTAGTTTCGATTTCCCGAAGAACGGAACAGTACCTGGAAATATGCTCCCAAATGCCAGATGTTGGTTTTGTTGCCTGCGGACTATCACCACTATTCATTAGCTTAAACATGCTCAACCATATGAGAGATGTTGAATTAGTCAAAGCTCGCAACCGCCTAAACAATAGTCGACGAGCAGTGCGCCAGCCCAAACCAAGCAAAAATGGCGAGACGCCAATTGAGACCCAAGCTCTTCCCCCAACAGAACCAAATCCGTGCTTATCTACAACTAACTCTTCTAGTACCCCAATCGATCCCAACCCGCTGTATATTAGTCCTCATCGGTATAATCTGAATGAAATCTCACTGCAGTGTGTGTCACAGATTCTCTCCCGGTATATTCTAAACAAGATCCCCGTGACTAGAATCTTTATGGACGCCCTGGGACCCATTAAAACGGCCGAAGAAACTATACGCAAAGCCATGAGTGGTGCCGAGGCCCTAGCCAGTGTTGTAGTGGAAAAGAAAGCTGATACAAAGTACCAGGTAGTATCAGCCGCTAGTATTATTGCTAAATCCATTCGTGACCGATTGATTAACGATCCTGGACTTCAATCTGCTTTATACGGCCAAACATACACTAATCTAGGATCTGGATATCCATCAGACCCAATTACCCGTAGTTGGTTAAAAAATGCCTTTATTCCAGTGATAGGCGTGCCTCCTATTGTTCGTTGTTCATGGAAGCCAGTGCTTGACTTTTTGAAAGAGCATCGACCCGCCACTGATCCCAACACACCTCCTATCGGAACTCTTTCATTGCTTTGTGCCAAACCTCAATCTGAATCCGGCCAAAACCGACCATGAACTCGTGATTCTGAAAAGACTGCTAGACGACCATCAAATAGACTAATCTCCTCAGATGACACAGCTGCACTTGGATCTTCAATGTACCCTAGTTCGGCTAAGAGGATCCGCACGATCTTAGGATTCACTTGAGTCGTCTTTTCGCAACAGGCCCGGAAATCATCGAGCTGGGCTGCTTTAGGATTACTAGAATCGCGCAGCCGATAATCGCCATAGAAGTATATTCTTGTACAAATGTCATTATTCTGATTAATGGCATCAACTAAGTACAGAATGGCAGACTCAACTGAGAAGAAGGACAAAAAGGCATCGGCAATTTCCTGCTGGCTGCCATTGTACGGATCACTAGCCGCATACTCGTGTGGATAAGTTCGATTGGTGGGACTATCAATTAGGCCCACATCAAATTTCAAATGAAGAATGGACTTCCAGTACTCCATAAGCGAAGTAGGAAGAGACTTAATATTATGATTGATTAATCGCGCAGTTTGCTTAACTTTCAAATCGTACAGATTAATGTTAATAAAATGGTTGATGCGATCTTTAGCCGTATAAAATGCTAGTTCTTCAATACTTAACTGATTAGGACCGAGTTTCTTGATTTCAGCCGGTTTCCAACGAAAAACACGCGTGATTGGAGTTGTTAGGATAGAATTAGGCTTTTTCAGTTCCTGATAGATCTCATCTGATAAGGTAATTTGGGAGGAGTAGGCCCAGTAAAGTTCCCGGTACCCATAACAAGAATAAAAGTCGCCATGAACTAATAATGGACATCCTCGCACGTTCAATTTGAACCTCATCTCCTTATCTAAAGCCATAATAATCTCGGCGGGAATTACTGTAATACTGGTCTTGGAAGCATCAATACTAACCAACTTACTAGGTAAACTCTTAAGTCTACCAAAAGTACTAATCTTAGGGTTATCAGATATATCAATAGCCCGTAAAGTCGCAATATTAAAAAGACCTTTTGGTACTTTCTCCAACTGATTACCGGTCAAAATAACTTCCTCAAGTCGTTCTAGATCAGACATATATTCAATAATCACGGTGAGTTGGTTATAAGCCAAATTAAGATAAATCAAATGGGATAGATTTTCAACCTCCCTCGGAATTACTTTAAGGCCGTTATATGATAAGTCTAAATAAACTAGTCCTGAGTTCATACCAAAATAAGTCGGAAACCCAGATAAGTTCTCACAATGAGTAATAGCTAAGTTCTCAAGAGAACTACAATATGGCACATTTTCACTTACCTGCGTAAACATCGGACATTCTTTAATAGAAATAGTTTGCAGTGACGTCAGATCTTTGATAGCCAGTCCCAAATCTTCAAATTCACTACAGTTTTCAATCCAAATCTCTTTAAGGTTAGGCAGGAGTAATAAATCATCAGTTAAACTCTTAAACGTACACAAATAACAACAAAGTTTCTCAATACTATCCAGCTTATAAATATGTTCAATAACCCTTAGTTTGTCATTATAAGGTGAATAATATCCAAATACGACTGGACCATCACTATTATTCTTTACCTTAATCAAAAACTCCGACTTACCATAAAGATACAAAGTGCCATTTCGAGCCAGTGTATAGTTTGTGCCAAAAACAGCCGGCCGCACGGGAATACATCCAGTCCAACTCAATAACAATCCAAGTAAAACAAGTTGAATAATCAGTCTAGCCATCAGTCTTAAAAAAAGCAAATCATTTACTGATGTATTGGGTTGGTAGTGTGTTAGATATGATAAACAAACAGTTGTTTAGTTAAGATAAGTTATGTTATGTTGTTGTTGTTTTATTAAGATAAGATAAGTTATTGTTTTGTTAAGATAAGTTATATTGTTGTTAAGTTATTGTTTTGTTATTATAAGATAAGATAAGTTATTATAAGATAAGATAAGATAAGTTATTATTTAGTTAAGTTTATAGTATAGTGTTAGTATAGTGATAGTAATGGTATAGTGATTAGTAATGATAAGTTACTTAATTATATCTTGGGACAGGGTAGGAAGTCTATATTTCGTAGTGATAATGAACCGAGATAACGACCAGTCGTGATATTAGCATGAATTAACAAAAGAAGAAAAGATAAGATTGTATCACCTTCTGTATCATAAAAAGTCTGGCCATTCATGAAATACACATTGAACATCTTCTTCCTCTCTAATAAAGACTCCGTATCCTCAACTAGTAATCCAAACGCACTAAACTTAGTATTGTGAATATCCTCAAAAACAAACTCATCCATTGGATTAGCATAGTAAGACCCTCCGCCTGGCATAATAGTATTGAAGTAGTTGTATAAAGTCTTAAAAAGAGCCCGGCCGTGCAACTCGTTCTCCTTATCATAACAAATAAACCCATTATTAGCCATTAACTTAAGATCGTCCATTTCCTGCTTAGTCAATGGCTTAGCCACCCACCCGGTCGTACTAGAGACATTACTACCCTCTTTAGCTGCTGGTATCACAATATTAACATGAACCCAAGTTTTAAACTGTTTCTCTAGTTCCTTAGTTAGATAGAAAGTACTTTTGTACTCACTGTACTTTTTAATGATCTGCTGGATAGGCGGACTGATTTTCTTATTGCGTTTCCGAAATGACAGTTGTAGATTGAACTTATTCTTACTTGGTTCTTCAGTCGGATTACTTATCTCACCCGTAGGATAGAACTTACTTTCCAGGGGTTTTTTAGTTTTAGGCGGAATAGGTGGTTTAACTGCTCTACGTTTAGAATCAGTCGAAAGATTGATAAAGATCATAACTAGTAAGAAACAAGAATTAGCTCCAAAATATACTAATGCAATCCAAAATAGAATGATTGCCGTTTTAAGATAGATTAAAATACTAAAAGATAAGAAGAGTATTTGGAGGAATAGTGATTTAAATAGACCTTCAGTATGATTGTAAAGGAAAGAAGGTTTAGATAAGCTAGTAGCAGAATTAAGTAAATTCATGGGAAATAGTGAAAAAGAAATTATTTCTAAGAGTAGTTTTTGTTATTCTTTGGTTGCCGTTTGATTAGAATTTAGTTTATATTTAGATTGTATTTAGATTGTATTTAGATAGGATTGTGTTAGGATTGTGTTAGGATTGTGTTAAGATTTAGATAGTATTGGGTTGGTATTTAGATAGTACTTAGATTGTGGTTAAATTTGAGATAAGATAGGAGTGAGTTAGGTAGGGGAGGGGTGGGATGAGTTGGGTAGGGATGGAGTGAGTTGGGATGGTAAGAGGGGTCTGGGTGCTCAAACTTGTTGTTTGTGTGTTACAGAGTGTTTCTAAGAAACCATATAAGCCAAGGCAAAACCTAAACAATGGAGTGGGAAGTAAAAGAGCTCGATATGGTGGGTGTGGCGGATAGTGCGGCTAAAGTTGTGCCAATAATAGGAAGTATTAAAGGTCTTTTATTGGGGGCGGCGGCTAGTCCGTTGTTGTTGGTGTCGATCTATTTCTTCAAGGCGAGTCCGCGGTTCTTTTCGAAAGAACATACAATATCCTTACTGCTGTACGTGTGCAGTGTTTTGCTGGCTAGTATTGGGGTGATTTGGTACGGACTGTCTTCGGTAGTGGCGGCCTTTCAGATCTTGCCGCTGTTGAATCAGATCTTTGTGAGCTCATTTGCTTTCAAAATAGAGAGCTTTGTTTCAGTTTGTCTCTCTGGGATTAGTATCTATTTTGCGATTATTGGGCATAGGGGGACTACTTTGGTGGTGCCGTTGTCCTGGGTGGCTGTGGTGGGGTTTTTGGCAGTACTGGGCTTGACGCTTTGGCGGATGACGGCTAGTGACCGAGGACTGGCCCGGAGGATTGAGGAGATGAAGATATCGGATTTATGGTGCACGATCTTCTTTTCTTTGGAGGCCGCGATTGGATTTGCCGCGATTTGCTCGTTTTCTTCGTTCCTTCATCTGGGAGTGGTTCTGTTTGGCGGTCTGACCAGTATGTGCTTCTTGGTGCCAATGGAGAAGGCGCTGTATTTCTATCCAGCCACCGCCGTGATTCCTATTTTTACTATCTGCTTTAGAATTGTGGCTGAGCTTATTGCCATGCAGTCTTATACGGGCGGCTCTAACTTCTTTATTGCTATTTCATTGGTAACTGGAATACTTTCGGCTCTTTTTCCTTTGATTCTCTTTTGATAGCCGTTAATCAATAAATCTATTAATAGACAGTGTTTATTGGGGATTGGGTTGGGTTAGTGTTGGTGTTAGTATTTGGGTTAGTATTTGGATTTGGATTAGAAGCAAATGCTCTTTTGGATAATATCGGTCAGGTCGACGACGAATTCGTCTATGGTCATAGATTTGAGATTGGCGCTGGTGGCATTATTAGGACATTGGGTGATTGAGGTGAAGGTTTCGTAAATGGGCAGGTGAAGATCAGATAGAACAGTGGAGGTAATGGTTTTGCAGTTGGCTTTGGTAGCGACCGATAGTGGGACAAGAAAATCTAGCCGGATTATATCTTTGAGTTGGTTGAGTGAGTATTTGGTGTTACACCTCAGTAGGTACTTTAGATCTCGCACAATGTTATAGATAGCGGGAGTAGTTGGGTTAATTTGGACTCTGAGAGAGGCGAGACGTGGGAGGGATTCAAGGAGCTTGTTAAAGAGGGAAGGGACTCCGGCTGAAATTTGTTCGCGATAGGCTGCTTCAGATTCTGATTCGTTGTAGTTGAAAGTAAAGGCCTTGAGTGTCTGTCTGGCGTAGTTGTTGGGGTCTTGGATGGCAAGAAGAAGATCGTGTGTGCGGATGTGGACACCGGAGACGTCCAGTTCGGCGAGTGTTTTGATCTTTAGCGTCTTTTTGAGCATATCGAGGTAGGAGCCGCTGTAGGTGGGACTCATACCTACTAAACGGACAGTCGTGATACCGGATAACGATCGGACATAGGTGGGTAGTTCAGACTCTTTGAGGTCCTGTGGCATTTCGGTGTCAGAAATAGAGATAACAATTTCACGGAGGTTGGGGAGTTGAGATACTGTGTGGTCAAAGAAGAATGTTTTGTATGGTGAAACTAGTCGGGTGGTGTTTTTGGCCTGAGCAATTGGGATAGAGTACTTGCCAAGGAAGTTTGGATCGCGGTTCTCCAGTGGGAACATACAGGTGTGGTTGGCCTGGAAACAGCATTTACGTCTTTGCAATTCTTCGTAGTAGCCCGCGGTTGTCATGGAAAGGCCCATAAATTGAGACTTGGCAAAGTTGTTCAATGAGTAGTAGTCGTTGATAATTAGACCGCGCAGCACTGGAGCCATGCCACTCTCCTTTCTCTTCTGTTCAAAGTCTAAGATAATGTTAACGAGAGCGAGGTTGCCCTTGATGAAGCAGTTGTTGCCAAGCGTTCGAATTGAGATGATCTCAACGGCCGGGAAGAGTTCTATTACCGAGCCGAAGTACATTTCACCGACACGATGGGTTTCCTCAATGGAGACTTCTAGCTGCTTAACATAGAGCGGGTTTTGGTAGAGGAGGTAGGTAGAAAGATCAACGCCTGCGGCACTTTTCTGTTGCGGCGATCCGAAACGAAGCCAGATGGCCTTTTTGCCCAAAAGGAAGCTTTCTTCGGCAAAGGTAATGGCTGATGTCTTGTCAATATAATCCTTCTTGTCGTTGCAGAAGGCGGCTATGAGATACCAGAAAACATCTCGGTTGGACTCTCTTGAAAGTGCCCAGGTGGCCCATTCTTCGGTGTTCTGCGCTTTGCGAGGGATTTCAGTGAGAAGAGTGTGTCGGCCATCCCGGCGGATGCCTCGAAGGATCGTTTTGTACGTCTTTCTGGCGACCTTGCTGTTTTGAATGAGCAGGCGGAGGTTTTCTTTGAAGCAGGCCCGTTTGGTCATATCAAGCTTGAGTGCGTTTTTCTGGGAAACCGGAATGCGCTCGGTCTCATTCATGGCGAAGACTTCGTACAGCGATAGGATTTCATGGATGTCTTCGATTGGCAGGAACAGGCCTTGGGTTTTGGCGTAGTACGGAATGTTCGCCATATTGACCATGGTGGAGAAGTTCAAGATTTGTTGGTCGTATATGTACAGATTAGTTTTGGCGTTCCAGCTCTTCATCAGATCGGAGAAGTAGTCAGTGCTGTAGAAAGCTGATGTTATGGTTTCGCGGAAGTCATCAGGCATGATCATATTAATTCGGTTTTTCTCATTGTTTCGGTTGCTCAGATACTTCAAAGCGGTTGTGTATTTCTGGAACGGCGCAAAGCCATCTAGGAAGGACTTTTCAAACTGCTCAAAGAACGATCTAGGGGTGCTTGTCGAAGCATGTAGATCGTTGTAGGAGTAAAGTTTGATAACACCAGGAGTGGAAGAGTTTTTGGATACTTCTCTGGCACTGACTGGTAGGCCAAAAACAATCCACAGACTGATCATGCAGGAGATTTTGGCTAGAGAGCAAGTCCAAGATCCTTTAACAAGTATTGATAGTCTCATTTGATGTTAAATTTCGATCGATCTATTTAAACATTGATTGAAACTTTGTTTCACAAAGGTACTAACGGCCAAGATGAAACTTCATCCTAAAAAGTCGTTTTGTCCTATCAGGAGCTAAGCACTTGGCTGGTTACCCAATGTTGGTTAGAAGTAGTACTTGGGTTATTATTGAAGCAAGGCCTGCCAATCAATCAGATTTGTGATCTGGCGATACAATCTTTGCTACTTCGGTAACTTCTAGACGACTATCAACTTCTACTCCACCCCCTAACACTACTCTAACATAACATTCCTCGAGCCCAACTCAACAGAACACCATGTAGTATTGGCCCTGCTTTCTTTCGGGGCATGTTTTCACCCAAGGTCATTTATCCTATTTAAGCCATGGGCTTAGGCCCCAATACCCACCCAATACTTAACCCAATAAACAAATACACACCCCACATAGACCAAAGGCCCCAATCGAGTCCCTAAGTTCTCATTTAGTTGAAAATAGCAATATACATGCATATATATATCAGGTGTTGTTATTGCTCAATGCACTTTCAGGGTCTGATAGTTCTTCTTGTAGGAATAGTCGGAGTTCTTTGGGCGTCCAAAGATAGTTCGCGAATGTCGATTGCAATGTTATCAACATATCCACCAACTAATTGTGGTATTGCTGAGTTTGCCAAAAACATGCTACTATCAATCCAGGGCGCAGGCAAAGATGATAACCTTTCTCTTGAGGTCTTTTCAATTTCGAAACTCCCTCATTCCGGGCCCGCGCCTCCATTTAATGGCATTACTGTGCATCAGTACGATCTAGATCGTGAAAACGAAATCAAAATACTGATGGATATGGCTCATGTGATCAACAAAAAGCGATTTAATACCATCTTAGTCCAGCACGAGTACGGGCTTCTGTTTAATCATGATAATTACAACATCTTTTTGAAATCACTTTCTCCCAAAATCACCAAACTGGTCTTTATTCATACGGGTATTTCGTTTGCTAAGTCCGACAGAAGACACGCAATCCAAAACTTAGCGGTCAACGCCGACTACTTAGTTGCACTAGGCTGGCGAGTCAAGCACGCAATGATTCATTTCTATGGTATTCCCGAACACAAGATCCTTTACATTCCCCATGGTCTGTTCGCACCAAAGAACCTGAACAAGAAGGCCGATAGCAAAAAGGTAACCCTGCTAATGACCGGTTTAATGAGAGACTCCAAAGGTCTGGAAGAAGTACTTGCTGCACTCAAAATTCTCAAGGAGCGGAATAAACTTCACAACATCCATCTAGAAATCGCCGGTAAGGATTATAAAGAAGGCGCGTACAAACAAGCAATTCTAGATATGGCCAAAGAGTATGGTATTGCCAAGCACGTAACCTGGGACTATGGCTTCCATTCACTCAAGAAGTTAGCCCGACTCCACACAAAGGCAGACATATACCTTACTCCCTTCCCTGTTGACGTCCCCACCTCCGGAACCATTAGTTTTGCGATGGGGTACGGTCTCCCAGTTATTTCAACGCCCTATGGCCTTGCCGAAGAACTACTCGGTCTATCCGACAAACCATTGAAACTCGTAACCAGCACTGTTAACCCCGCCAGCAATAGCAGTGGATTTGTGAAATACACCAAGTACGGGGCAATTGTTCCTTACAAAAGCGCTCTATCCATCGCCAATGCCATTAGTCATCTAGCTAAGAACCAGAACATTCGCAAACGAATGGGAGAGTCAGCTGCCAAGCGAGTAACTCCATTATGTTGGGAGAATGTCGGCCGAGCCATTGTTGAGTTTGTGAAGACCGGAAGATCCACCAACATCTTCCTCCACAATCCCTTCGAAAGACACATGTCCCGCACCCCCGGCCAATGCACTGCCGATAAGATCACCACCATTCGAGGCCAAGAACTTACCGACATTCCCGATGGCGGTTACTGTCTCTACATGGACTCATACCTCACGATCAATGCCCATATCAAACGCAACAAAGTTGTTGAGCTAGGTGTCCGCGCTATTTCCTATATTCCAATTCAGAAAGAGATCGTCCCACAAGAATCCTTCCTGTACGCCAATATCAAAACTCTTCCTCCAGTCCCCACCCACACTAACATCACTAAAACCATTGGTAAATACATTCAGTACATCTCTCTCAACAACGAAGAGAGCAATACACCAGATCAAACACAAGACCTAGACGAATCAGCAGTTATCATTCCCTATAAGAATCATGCTATTGTAAATACCCCAAACCTCGTCTTCTCAGTCGAAGCTTCCAATAAGGAAATTTGTCTCTACTTCTACCGCATGTCTCGATTTGCGGCCGCCCGAGGTCTCCTCGGCAGTGATGCCCACACAAGATACGCCGAATTCCACCAAGATCCCAGCCCAGCCCCCAAAACATGGCGTCTCCGAAACTGGTCCATGAATATCTTCAACGCCACCCACAATCCCATCAAAAAGTCCTGGATGCGCGGTCAGCTCTACGGCCTCCCAGCGACTACCAAACGAAACCTCGCCGACGAAATGCCCGAATCAGTTGTTACCTTTGAAACCACTAATGACAAAATCCTCCAAGACTCCAAATTCGGCGCCCTAACTCGCCAAAAACTCATTGACTACTGGAGCAACCCCAGGATCCATATTTCCATCAAAGACTTCAACAGTACCGAGCCCCTTACCCAAGGCAAAACCACACTTGAGAACTACATCATCACCTGCCTCGCCAACGAAGGTTCTACCCCATCCAAGTAATAAACTTACATAGCATACACCATACCCCACAACCAACAACTCAATAACGCATTCGTATTTATTGTAGAAATCCTATCCATTTCTTATCTTATCTTATCTCTCATCCATCCCATCCACCAAAAGATTAACTCATCTTATCTCAACACTACATTTACCAACCCAGTACTATTTCAACTAAATTCTAACTCCACTTAACAATCACAAAGATACAGACTATCAAATTAGCCAAAACAAACAACATAAACAGTATAAAAACCGATATCCCAAAAAACACAGCATCCCGCACCCAGGCCCGTTTAACTTTCTCCACAAACTCTTTTCCCTTCTCCCTTTGCAGCCGAGAATTAACACCAGTATCCATACCCCAAACGCCCGCCAACTCTTAAACACCAAAACACCAATCACCACTTCAAACTGCCTCAACTTAGCACAACTCAATCTCAACTTAACTCCACCTCACCTCACCCCACCTCAACTTAACTTAACTTAATCTATGTACGGAACAAGAACATCAGCAGTAAAAGGCCACTAAACACCACACCACACACTATCATCCAAAACATAATCGGAGTCCCAGATACTTCTTTCATTCTCAGAATAGTCTGGTTAATTCTTCCTAATCCTAATTCAGTCTCTTTCTTAGCATAATCTATCTCAAGCAGATCTTCTTCTAACTTCCTACTCAATTCAGCAGTCACTCCTTTCAAATTCCCAATATTCCTTCGTAAAGTAGTCATTCTTTCTCTATTCTCAGCCATTTCTCGTTTCCGATCTTCATCCATACCAAACAAAAAACCAGCAACACTTGTATTGAGTTGGGTTGGTATTTAGATAAGTTGATTTGAGTTGATTTGAGTTGGTATCTTATATAGATGCTACCTTATTTAAACCAAATACTACTTTATCTAGATACTACTTTCTATAAACCAAACTCCTATCAAACTAACTCTTATATAAACTAAACCTTATCAATACTAAACCATATCTATATACTACCTCATCTAAACACTACTTTCTATAAACCAAACCTCTATCAAACCAAACTAAACCAACCCTTATCTAAATCAAACTCCTATCAAGCCATATCTAAACTAATTCTTATCTAAACCAAACCCTATCTAAACCAAACCTTATCTAAATCAAACCAAATACTAAACTAAACCATATCTAATCTAAATCAAACCAAATACTAACTCATATCTATACTAAACTAAACTAAAGCCAAACTCATTTATTCAAACCGCTTGGTCTTTGCCCGACCAATACCCGTACGTCGTGCTGCAATTTGTCCCACCTTCTGTCCGGAAGGCGCCAAACGCGACACACAAGATGACCGACCAATATGCTGATGGTTACCTCCACCGTGCATGTGATCAACCGGGTTCATGGCTACACCTCTTACTCTAGGCCAAGCACCTAACTGACCTCTAGCCTTATACTTAAAGTATGCCCGAGATGCCTTCAGTAATGGCTTCTCATGCACTCCACCAGAAGCAATAATCCCAACTGTACCCCGACAATCACCACTAATAACCTTCTTAGTTCCACTTGGCAGCTTAATTCTGACTTCGTTCTTCTCTGGAGTATATCCTACTACTGAAACATAAGATCCACTAGTCTTAGCAATACTACCTCCATCTCCTGGCTTCTTCTCTACTGAGCACATAATAGTACCATCTGGAACGTACTTAAGCTTTAAAGTATTCCCTAACTCCATAGGAGGATTCTCTCCAAAGAAAATACTCTTGCCAGTATGCATTCCTTCAGTTGCTACAATCACAACTCTTTCTTTCTTATCGCCTTCTGGCGTATCCATCATTGTAACCATGGCTAAAGGTGCATTTCTACCTTGTTCGTGTACGATATCAGTAATAAGACCTTCTCTTATCTCTGGTTTTGAACCTCCAGTTTTAGGGAAGAGAGCTGCTCCTTTTTTGTACATCTTATTGGGCCTATGATGGGCTCTAATTAGTCTTTGCTTTCTTAAGACTTTAGACATTTCTGGGGCTAAAAATTAAAACTAAATTTATCTGAATTTAATGGTGACGTCATCGGGTAAGCAAGAATTACTAAATAAGGCAATTAAAAAGATATCTAGAGAATATGAAGAATGGGACAAGGATAAAGAATTAAAAAAGGTGCAAAGGAAGCTTAATGTTAAGGGGTATACAGTAGAGCAAGTATACTATCAGATTAAAAAAGTTACCGATTGGGTTATTGACCGAACAGAAACTTACTTGGCTATGGAAATGGGTGATATTAGTGATGTGAGTGATGATGTTAGTGATGAGGAGAGTATAGATGATGTTGGTGATGTTGGTGATGAGGAGAGTGATGTTGGTGATGAAGAGAGTATAGGTGAGGAAAGTAAGAGTATAGGTGAAGAAAGTGGGGATGAGATGAATGATGAAGAGGTGAGTAATGAAGTGGGCGATGATGAAGAGGTGAGTAATGAAGAAGTGAGTAATGAAGTAGAAGAAGAAGAAAGTACTAGCTCTTATAATGAGGAACAAGAGAATATGAGTAGTGAGTCTTATGATTCAGAAGGTAAGGCTATGCTTACTAATTATTTAGAGAATGGTGAGAGTATGGATGAAGGTGAGAGTGAAGATGAGTTTTTGCAGGAAACGACCGGACGGAAGATTCTTAAACGTCTTGATGGATAGATCATAATAAATTAAGTTAAATTAAGTTGTGTTATGTTGAGTCGAGTTGATTTTGAAAGTGATCTGAAAATTACCCGATTTGGTAATTTTTGACTAGAATTACTAGTGGTTGTTAAACAAATTTTTAATGGCTAATTCTCACATTATTGCCCAAATTGAAGATGATCTGGTCAATGGTAAGGCTTGGTATGAAAAAGGTGAAGTAACTATCAAGGATAGACCTAAAGGTACTTTAGTTAAGCCTTTAGTGAAAGAAGAAAAGATAAGAAAACGAGGTAAAGATAAAGTGGGTAGAGATAAAGTAGGAAAAGAAGAAGAAATAGAAGAAGAAGATTACATTCATGAAGATTTAGAATTTGTTCGGAATAAGACAACCTTAAAGATAACAGAGAAAGTTTCAAGTTTATTAGAAAGAATAGTTAAAGATAAGATTAAAAAGAAAGAGTATGATAATCCACGTAAAGTGCAGAAGAAGAGTAAAGAAGAACTAGCTAAACTTATATCTTCAGAAATAACTAAGACTGAAGAACCAGAAAGAGGGCCACTTCATGATGTTTATGCTGGGCGTAGAACTGAAAATGACCAGTTTATGGCTAAAGCCCAATTAGTAGCACTGTTTAATGAGATAGATAAGGAATTATCAGCTATTACTGATCATACTTACACGGCCTCTCGACCTATTATTCTACCAGATGATATTCCAACAAATCAAAATGATACGGATTTATAAATTGAATTAAGTTTAAGTTGTTATTTGTGTTAGATTAAGATAAGATATGTTTATGTTAAGTTGTTATTTGAGTTAGGTTGGCTTAAGATGAGTTGTTGTGAAGGTAAGATAAATGCTATCCCTATTGCTATTGCCATTGCTATCTCAATACTATCCTAACCCAATAGGGATAATACCTTTCAACCAAACATACTCAACTAAAGACCGATTTTGAAGTGAATAGGTTGGTATGGGTTAGGTTCTCTTTATCGTACATCATCTTGAGAGATTGTTCGCTAACTCAGAGTATAACTACTAATCTGAGATTGTGGTTTCTAACTCGAGATTTGAATCGCACTCGCTGCAAACAGGACCAGGCCGATAAACATTACAGCACTACACTCCTGTAGATACCTCACTTTAAAGCGGAGGCCGACGAGGACACTACACTAACCCAATACATACCATACTTTAACTAAACTTAATCTAACTAATTCAATATCGAACTAGCTGTTAGGACTAGTTTCAAAAAGAATAAATAAGCTGAACATGAATTGAGTAGTGTAGAGGTTAGAACTAGATTATTATTTTGTTAGACCACTTTATTGATTCAAAACAGTTAAGATAGGATTTAAATTGGGCTAGTATTTGGGTTAGTGTGAACTGGACTTAGTTAGTGGTCAAGAATGAAGAGGGAGCCAGTGACGATTTTATCATCAAGGACAGTTCCATCTGGGATAGAAATGGCTTGGCCTTCGGCGGCAATGATGATAACAGTGCCTTTGAGGACTACATTACGACCGAGTTTGACATCTCCACTGATAGTTAGGTGGTCAAGATCATCAATAACAATGGGGCCGGCGACTCTTTTGCGAAACTCACTGACGGATTTGAAGTGTTTGCCGACGAGACGAATGATAGGGATAGTATCGGTGGTTCTTTTGCCGGAAACAGAAAGACTGCCATGTTTAAGCTGGAACAAAGAACTTTGGAGTAAGAAAAGGTCGCTGCATGTTTTGACCGGTAAGAAACGATCACGAGGAACGACCATGCCTTTAGAGTTGGAGAAGTACCTGATTGAAGCACCGACTGCTGTTTCCAGTTGAATAATCTCTTCTCCAGTTGAGAGTTTCTTCTTGTTTTCGATTACTTCTAGTTCAAGAGTGGTTGATTCAAGGACTTCTTTGATGGCTTTAAGACTGATCCAAAGGGAGTTAGTATTGAAGATCTTGAATTTACGAATACTAGTGAAGTCGGTTTTGTGGTACTCTGGGACTTGGGCTATTTCCAGAAGTCGGAGTTCTCCATTGTAATCAACTAAAGTCCCACCTTTAATATCAGCTCGCGTCTTTTCAGTGACTTCCATGAGAAAGTCTATCTTTTCACTTGTAATGTAGTTTAGAATAGCTAAATCAACTACTGAGCGGAGATTATCAATGTTACTTACAAAGAGGTACTCCTTACCTTCGGCTAGTAATTTATCTAGCATACCTGAATCTTGGAGGGAAGAGAAAAGATCACCATGACCGGGTGGGTACCATCCTTCCTGGGCACTGGCTGGATTAGTACTATCAGATAAGACAGGCAATAAAGTATCCGAATAGATTCTAGGGAACGCACTTTGTTCAAAAGTCCAGACATTTTTGTACTTACTGATTAACTTAGCCGTTTGTTTGCTGGTGTTGAAACTGTTCATCAGAATAATGGGGACTTCTGTGCCGTAGGCAGAGTTAAGGTGTTCAATTTGTCGGACAGAAAGGTCGATGAAGTTAAGGTGATCTTTGACCTCAATAGCACTTTTAGGGCCAGTACAGCCCATACTAGTGCCTAGGCCGCCGTTGAGTTTCAAAACAGCTAGTTTAGATAAGAGATCGGCAATATTCTCAGCAGCAGGGGGAGATGATGCCTCGTAATCTATAATCATTGGTTTTGGAGGCGGAGCTATCTTCTCCCAATCTAGTTTATTTGAGCGTGTTCTGAGATACTGTGAGAAAAGAGTGAAGAACTTCTTCATGTCATCGGACTTAGATTCAAATTGCTTTTGCAGACCTTCTAGTTCCTGTTGCATTAAGACAAGTAAAGAATCAGATCCGCGTTGTTTAAATTCAAAAACTGTATCGATACGTGCGATTGCTTCTTCAGGGGTTTCTTTCATCCTTGAAGGAGTTAGTTCATTGTTTGTTGAGTCATCCATGGAAAACAAAGGGGCCAAATATTTATAAGACAGTGTTTCAGATGTGGTATTTGACTTGCAAATAGAAGTTCACGATGCTGGAGCAGAAGGCAAGCATAATTGTGTTTATGGTTTTGAGTGGGATTGCCAGTACGGTTATGAATAAGTACTTGGTTAGTCGGTTACAGATCAAAACAAAATTCTTTATCTTATCGGTGCAAACCTTGGTTATTCTGGTGGTTTTGTTGCCATTAAACCTTCTTTTCTTCCCGGAAAGGACAAAAGAGGCGAGTCAGATGATAAGTCAATGGTTCTGGATCAGTGCATCTCTAACGGCAATGGTTTATACTGGTTTGCAGGCGAACACCCACTTGTCAATCTCACTTTTTACGGTGTTGAAGAATGGAAGCATTCTAATCATTGCTGCGTACGACTGGAACTTCAATCAGTATCAGATTACAGGATTAACCGTTGCTTCTTTTGGGCTGATTGTTTTAAGCTCACTGCTAGGAACTGTTTCGGACTCGTTGGGGAAGAAGAACCAGGTGGTTGACTATAAGCAAAAGGAAAAGTTGTTAGTGGGTTTGGCTTGGGTGGCAGTGAATTGTACGACTTCGGCGTCGTATACTATTCGGCTGCGGATGATAGGACAAAGTACTGGGTTACCGAGTACAGTGATTGCAATGTATGCTAATAGTTTGGCCTTACCGTTTATTGGGTTATGCACATTGGGTGAGTATATGTCTATGGGCAGCTTTCCGTTTAAGCATTTATGGGTGGTTGTTCTGTCGGGGCTTTCAACGGCTTTAATTGCTGTTTCAACGGCTATGGCCGCAGCTAATTTTACGTCAACCACTGTAGCAATGATTAATGCTCTGAATAAGGCGCCAATTTCGTTGAGTGGAGTTCTATTTAGGTTCGAGCAAATTGAGTCGGGCTGGAAATGGCTGTCCCTAGGAATTAGTGCAGCAGCCGGTATTTCCTATGCACTATCAAGAAGCTCCCTATCCATGCATGCATAACCAATTGAGTTATAAGTTGGTAGTAAGTTAAGTTATGAGATGGTAGTAGGTTGAGTTATGAGATGGCATTCAATTGAGTTATGAGATGGTAGTAAGTTGAGTTATGAGATGGTAGTAAGATGATATAATGTTAAAGTAATCTATTTATTGGGTTGGGCGCTTGATGAAATAGGCCCCAAGAAATATCAGTAATGTTCATATGGTTACTGGATGGCGTTAGTTGAGCTAGTAGTGAACTCTTATTCTGAGGACCCCATAGCTTTAAGAAGTAGCTAATTGTGATAGTGATAATAGGAACGATTCAATTAAGGCTGCACTTCTTGGCTCTTTTCTATACACTCGCTATCCTCTACGTGATAAACAGGAAAACGATGGTTTAGCGAGGAGATTGTATTGAGATTGTGCTGGAAAAAGGGAGAGTCGGCTGATGCGTGGCCATAAACAAAGACTTGTTTAGTTCTAGAATGAACCAAGGCCATAGCACAGAGAATACATGGCTCATTTATCAGAACAACTGTCCGGCCTGTACATAAATATCCCTCAGTGGTTGCGGATATACTTCTTATCATGGCTAGAATAGCATGGTCAAAACAAGATTCTAGCTTACTGGCAAACCTCTGGTAGTCAGTTGTTTCTTCTAAAATACAAGCAACCATTGAGCATTCCTTTGTTTTATAACTATCTTGATCTTCTTTAATGCGGGCGTGTTCTTGTTCCAGTACTTTAGTTACTTGGGCTTTAGTAGTCAAATCCAGTTCAACCACAGGTTTAGGATGGAAAGTGCATGGCCAGGTACGGGCCATTTGTTGTTGCTCTTCAATAGACTCAGGTTCTTGGGAGGAGACTTGAACGGCCACTAAGTTATTTTCAGTAACTCCATATGTCTGCATTTCAGCTAGCAGTTCGGTTTGGTGCTGCTGAAATTCCACAAGAGGAGCTAGTAGAATCAGGAGACTGTTTTCTTGGGGTTTGGCTCGTTTTAGATGATTGGGCTTAGTGGGAAACATCTCTGAAAGACGTCTAAGTTTAGTGGAGGCGTCTTGTTTGGGTATTTGGGCGGCTTGCCAGGTAGTAGTAGTTAAGTTTTTGGACTCGCGAGGTCGATTAATCGGTGTAAATATCATACAACTCTTCTATTTTTGTCTTTTACCGAATATGAAAATATCAACTAGATTGATAGTCTATTTGGTTTCCTTTTATGGTAAGTTCTTAGTAGAGAGGTTGAATTTAGGTTAAGGTTTATTGAACTAGTCAAGTAATTGTTCCAGAGCGTTCTTGGCTAAGAATAGATGAGATTAAGTCAAATCAGCTGAGATTGTATTAGAGTTGGCTTGGCGCGATGGGATTATAGAGGGGCACAGCGCATATGGAGAGCATTTATGTTGGCCATGTTACTTCCTAGTGATCCACCTCCTAGAATAGCACCGGCCAGCATACTATTTAAAAGAGTTGAGCCGCCAGCACCACATAACCCACGGAATGATCCAATGCCACCTTCAAAAGTAGATGATTTCTTGCAAGCACCACCATGACCATTTCCTAAACTACCACACAGGGCACTAGAAGATCCAGAACCACCGATTA